AATTCAATTATTTCTTTATAATATCTATACCCCAAATCAAATATTATTTAGGCTAAATTCAAAGGGCATAGTTATTTTAATATTTCTCATGAAGTTTTTGTATTAATAGATTACATAATAGACATTTCTTTATTAAAGATATATGATGTTATAGAAAGGTCATTTGATAAGCAGTCTCTTGTGAGAACCTCCTTTATTCTGATATGAAAAGGAAAGGATTCCGACAAAGGCGATGGCATTTTAGGGAATTAGAAACAATCAAAAGGGACATTTAAGAGGAAATATGGCATTACCAAGCCATTTAGGGAAGGATGTTGAATTATTTGTGAGTAGTTGGATAACCAGCTTGTATGAAATCTGGAAATAACAATCTTTAAAATATACTTGTATACTTGAGGCTCAAAGAATTAGGAAATAAAAAAAGTCGATGATTGAATCGCTTGGCAAATAAGAGTATCAAAGAAGTAATCTTTGGAAATAAGGAACTAACTAAAAATAAAAATCATAATTATTTTAATTGAAATGATAAATAATAAATAATAATAATGATGTGATTTAAACCTTGTAAACCCAAAAGTTCAGGTTCGGATGTATGATATAATCCACATTTCAAACTCAAAATTATTTTAAGCAATTCTATCTAAAGAAGTTCAGCATAGAGTTTTTAGATTTATTCCTCAACTTATTAATTCAATACTAATTATTTCTCTTATAAAGGTCCTGTTTATCATCCCCTTATGATAGTGTGTTTCTTGATATTACACTACACCTAACTATTCAACCAAATACATTAATTTAGCAAACTTGGATTTATATTTATGAGATAGGCCATGCTAAATGTAAACTGAAGGCAAGCTGAGATAAAATTAAAAAGAAATAGCCATATTATTGCTACATGCAATGAAGTCTGGACTCTCATAAATCAATAGAATCTTCAGAGTTAAATACAAATCTCTATAAACATTTTAATAAATATTTAATGCAGGTACAAAATATTGTAATGTGCATTTAAATAAAATAAGGGCAAAGCAAGTATATTATCACGCACTAATTCTCAAACAAATAAGTATCAAAAAAAGTACTAGATGGTTATTACATAATTTTAGAGATTACTGTTCTGTGCTATATAATCTTATGCAATATACTATAGTTCTAAGGAAGTAAAGTTTTCAACATAGCAGAATAGCATTAGGTGAATGGGCATTTACAAATAGGTAGAATCAGAGCACTATCCAAATATACTAAGGATCATATGTTGATAAGCAGATTCTTTTTATTAAGTAATCATAGCCTTATAAAAGTAGTTGAAGCAAGGCTAAACAAAGAAGCATCACAACTATTAATACATAGAGCGATTATATTATAGTTAGGCCCTCTCCAGAATTATATAATTGACAGTTGCACAAGTCATGTAAATAATAGTAGAGCCTGCTGTAATTACAGATGCATCACAATAATGTGTAAAGTAGAATGGCTTTTCAACTTCATAGATTAAAAGTATTGGCGAAACTTGATTTAAGTCATTTAATTATGGCTTTAAATCAATCAAGTCTTTTTTTTAATCAGCATATTAATTGATTTGGAAACTAATACCAAAAATTTTGTTATTATTTCATAGAACGCCTTGCTTGAACCTTGGATCTCTGGTACAAGTAACATTACAAAAAGATGCAAGTTCAAACATAATACAAGGATTAATAAATGTAGGATGCTGATCAGTATTTCTAATAAATATCACAAAAATAATAGAATCATAAATTTGTTTTCACATACTGTCGTACAGACATGGATTTTGAACTAATTGGTATTGAAGTAACAAGTTGATTAAATCGTAAGAGCATATTACACAAATTTTAGTTGTTAATCTCATTAAAGGAAGAATTCATATTGATTATTGGGAGCCATAATGCAATTTATTTAGCTACAGGCTATCATGAGACTTTTCAATACAATTTGCATTAGTGTGCATAATTAGATTCACTTATTACAGATCATCAGCTTCTAGCATTAAATGATTAGAATACTAATGAAAGAAATTAAAATTTATGTGAATGAATGAAAATAAATGTGCTTAACCATTACCTGCATTCATAAAAAAAATGGCAGGTTTCAAAGAATACTCATGAAAATCAGCTTAACGCTGCACAATACAAAATAATCTAGTAGAACCAAAAGTTTGGTAAAGCACACAAATATTAGCTAAATGAAAAAGATCAACACCAAAAACAAGCTACTATATTTATTTTGGTATACATTGTTTTTTATCCTGTAAATAAAAATAATTAGTAGTGGTTGTTGATTGAATGTTGATGAACTCTAAACTCTGAATTTAACCAATAGGATTTAATGTGCACGTAGGAGCTTTTGGGCCAAATTCTTAACGGTAGTAGGAAGGTAGGTAACATACAACCAACAGTTAGGTTAACATGGTACCTGCTTGTGACACAATATCCATTTCAGATGATTTTGTAGTGTCATAGCTACTCCACTTTTTGAGGATTTATTTGATGTAGACTAATAGAAAAAGCTAGATTCACAAGAGTTTTATTATGTCCTGAAGAAATAGAACGTCTTAATAATCGTTGCTGATTTTCCAATATGGCAAAAGATGGAGCAATAGGTTCATGTTTGCCATCATTACAACAAAGACCAAATAACAAATTCAGTGTTGAAGTATTTAAATACTAATTTGAATGTTGTATACAAAACTGATTGATTACTAGTATAGGATACTCAAAAACAACAATATAAGTTATCAATAAGTTTAACAAGTATCACAGATGGATACTTGGTACAACCAGAAGTTGGGAGTGTTCATAATTTTGTAACCCCGTTAGCAAAAAACGCAAGATCCACAATCAACATGATTAGTTTGCTAATTGCAAACATTATCATAATTAGCATAATGTTTGTCATTTCAGCTTTTAGAGAAAACTGTTGCTATAAAAACAATTTGTGTGTGTATTGTTACAATTATTAAAGTTCAATAGGCAATTATTAAGTGCCATATCATTGTTTATTTGGAATTATAGAAACATTATGATATATAATAATATTTTTAAGTTCGCCATCTTATGCAGGTCATCTAATTCGGTAGCATAATTTCAATAAAGGAACCTTTCAGATTTACTTGCAACTTAAGCATGTGAAAAAGAATTTCTTGGAGATGCAAATGTTGTTGAAGCATTAAAAAACCAGCAAAAAATTTTTGTTGTCTTAACTAAAAATGCAAAAATTAATACATTAATTTAGATAGCATTTATTTACATTGATATCCAAAATACATTCAAATTCTCACCATCTGTAAAGCAAGCTTCCATAATCTTATAATCCTAAAAATCCTGTTTTCTAGTGCATTCCACAACCTATTTTATTATACAATAGCTAATAAAAATTACATTCCTCATCCCTAGTAAGATGAACTTATGCATTATGGCACCTTTTCTAGAACCACCTTTTGCAAAGTTGAAAGGAAAAATATACATAAGAATAGGATTAGACATCTGAAGGTCCAATTGTGTAAAGCTGTTCCTAAATTTTTTCTTAATTCCAAAAATAATTAACTCCTTTTAAGTCCTTTATATATCACTAATGAATTAAGCTCTAATTACATCCTCCATTTTGAGAGGTTACAAAATCCAACACCTCCCCATAATCCTAGCATTATTGATATTTTTAAAATGAATCTAAGCAATCCTATTTGAATTATCGAATATAGTTTAAAATCAAAGTATAATTTTTAGCCATTCAAAATATTTCTTAAGAAAAACAAAGATTTTCGTAGAATTTATCGCACATTTACTATTATACAAACCAAACAAGTTTTTCTTTTTATCATTAACAGTAATTGAAGTATTAGACCCATGAACCTTTAGTTAATACATTCGTGACCTTAGTCATTTAAGATCAACCTATCTAAACCTTATATACACATAATATGAGTGATAAAATATATAGGTAATTCTTTACAGTCAGTTCATCTCTACACTATTTTTCTAATTCCAAAGCCCAAAGCAATACCTGTCACATAACTATAGGATTATTAACATTAAATTTTTTGTTAAAAAAAGGTATAATCAACTAAGCTAACTCAGTAATCAAAATATTAACTCCATTCCTTTATTATTCTGCAATCTTCTTCTTGCATGCATTCCAATTCTAATCCTTCTTCAGTGAATGTTTTGTGGAAACTAAATGGAAAACCCAATTCTACTAAATTCAAATCTTGAGCTTTAACGTTGAGTTAACTAAATACATGCCATCAAAGACATTTTGTTGAGATTTTCTGACTGCGAAATGATAAAAATATGAAAAGTAATGTTTTTAGAAATTTTTAAATTCATTTTAAATCTATATAATTATGAAATGGATAAGATTTCTTTAATATTTTCTATTTATAATTGTTTTAAAAAGGGTTTCAATATAACGTTTTCAAGAATTTAAGCAAAATTCGCCATAAACTTGCAAATTTCTTTTGGGTAAAACTTAAGAATTTTTGTGCTTAAATTCTCTCTTATCTACTATTTTTATTATAATAATAGCAGAAATGGGCTTAATTTCTATGAATTTTTTAAAAATTATACCATAAGCTTGTATTTCAAGTATTAGAAATTCTATTGAATCCAATATTAATATTGATAAAAGCAAATTTTTTTTCATTAATATTTTTAAATGATAATACATATCTTATTAATCCATGGGATTTGCTAGTTAACTGATATGCATTTCACAAAGGAAAAATAAATTTCGTTGTACCCAACATAGGGAGAATTTTACGAATACTATTTGTCAAATTTTCTACCAGATTATTAATTAAACTGTAAAATTTATCCTTAAGTTCCAAATGTATAAATAATGAATTAATGTGAAGAAATATACAGATTAAAAGGAAATTGTAAACTATAAAAAATTTATATAGAATTGATATCATTGTCCTCAAATACTACACATTTTGGTACTCTGTCAATTGGAAATAAAATAATTATGTATGAGTGGAAGAATAAAATACTTCAATAAGTTGGAGAATCTATAAACATTGATAATTCGTTTAATTGTTTTAATATCAATTTGTCAAAATTTTTTTCAATTTTAGTAGATTGTTATAAGTAAGATGAACTCTTTTTAATTCAATTAATGGATACATAATCAATTATTGCTTATTAAATATAATCATCTGAACCTAATTCAACCAAAATACAATCAATTATTAATGGAACAAATGCGTTTATCATATATGCCTAATATTTTGAGATGTATTCAATACTTTCATTATTTTCATCATTTTTTGTAAATTAAAGTAGCTTATATAAATAATTTGTCGATTTTGATATCCCAATTACCATAAGTCCTAAGATTTATGTAATGACTTTGCAAGAGATATTATAGTTATCAATATCTTCAGAGTCTCAATTTTATTAGGAATATAAATATAGCATCCCTTTTTTTCTGAATCCTGTTATTAGTATTAATGTTTATTATGATTTACGGACGTTTCCTTAATGCGATCAAATTGCTTTAATAAGTTCATAAAATACTGTTTCTTTCCTTTTGGGATGTGAAAATTCAATAGTCCTTGTAGGTCTAAATGAATAGCTTTAATATGAGTCTGCTTTTAAGATACTCTAAAACAACTAATTTATAGTATTTTAACTAAAAGATAAAATACTCATTTAAGAATTAGAAGTAAATAACATCTACAATTATCATCTAAATCATTCCAAAAATTCCATAATTTATTTTAATTCTGATAATGAATTATTTGTATTCAACCACCACATCATTGTTTATAAAATTTAATTGCCTTCCTTATAAGTAAATTTAACTAATTTAAAAATTGCTGGAAATAATTATGCTTTTTCACTTATATGCCATAATGAATTGAAATATTCCACTTTCTCTAATATTTAACTTTAAGTATTACTTTAGAATGATACAAATGTGTATGTAATGTTTAATTAATATTTTCCATAATATAGTGTTTTGGAAGTTTCAGCTAAACATACATTTATGAGTTTTTCAGGGTAATTATTACAATATAAATAAAATCCAGATGGAATTCCTTTAAAGTTTACTTTAACATCCTAGCAAAAGGCTGGCGAAATTATGTAGAGTTATTAAATAGTCTAATCCTTGTCAATATTTTAGCCTAATTATTATTTGTCATCATAATATTTAATAGGATTTAATAATGATTCAATTGATATTTTGTGGAGCTAAAACATCATAGTATCTTATTAATTCACTAAATTATGTTCAATTAGCATTTCCATAAATGCAAGCTCCTTATAAATTGCCTATAGCATTTATCCTTTAAAAATAATAATTGGACTCAGTGATAAAAATACAATTTATTTGTTTTAATACTACAATGAGAGTAATAGTATAATTAGTTATGCAAATTTTACGTTTAAAAGATCCTTCTCAGATTTTGTAGCAACATACAATAGTATAATTATTCTAATTCCAAAACAAGAAATAAAAATAATGACATTTAATTTTACAACTATCTTTACATTAAATTAAGAGACGATAAATTAATTTTTCAACAAGATTCTTTTCAATCCTATATAAATTGTTGTTAATTTTTAACTATAGTCATCTTTATTGTATATAAACAACATTAATGAAGTCATCATAATTTCAATTGATTAAAATAACGTCCCAATACCTATTTCTTTGATTGAAGTCAATTTTAAAATCAAATAGATAAATTTAGTAAATTAATAATTAATTTTATCATATCTATGTAATAATGATCAAAATATTTGCTTTTAAGTTTGGAATGTGTAATATTTACCTAAATATTATTATTTAAAGAATCTTTATAGTCTAAATGTTGATAATAAAGTAGTAATATAATCTGATAACCTTTTTTTATATGTTACTTTCAGTAATTACACAGTTTATATTTATAATCCTTCCTTACCTTATCATTCTAGTTTATATTAAATTCTACAATTAAGTTCACCAATTCAATGTGCCTCGGCCATTAAAAGCTTTTAAGTTTATATACCTCAATTCTAGTATTTTATATCGATGATACTTCTTTCAGACAATACTATTTATCAAATAAATAGAGACTAAAAATTTGAGCTGTCTGTAGAATTTAACAATTATAACCTAAACTATTCTGTAAATTACCCATATATCATTTATAACTACACTGTAAGTTCTTTATTAAATAACACAGCCTTTTAGTAGACTCCTAATTAAAGTTTACTATTATATTCTAACTTTACAGTATTTTAGAATTAAACAAATTTACGAATAAATTTAAGTTTAGATAATATAATTCCTTTGTCTTTTAAGTTCACTTATCCATTGAATTTATTTCTTGATAGATAAGTGGGATATTGTGGAATAGTATACAATAACACTTATAATTAAAATAACTAATGCAGTTTATCTTAGAATAGATCTAACAGTATTCCTAATCTTAATAATTTCTCCTTAATTACTTCAATAAACAATGAATGTTTTGCTTTACAGAATAACTCTTATATTTAAATGGTAAATACTAATTTAAATAATTTATCGAATTTGAGTTATTAATATCTAAAGTTAAGCTTATGTCTAAATTCAACATCAGAAAATTACACATTATATTCAATTTGTTAAAATCAAACTTCTTAGTATCTACTTAACTTTACTTTAAATTGTGACAACAAATTAGAAATGAGTAGTATCAAATAATTTCCCCATAAATTTTAAAATATATCCAAAATGAGCGTCATTTTAAACTAAATTTTTATTTTAGGTACTTTTCAATAGTCATTTTAATAATTGTATTGGTTTAACTTCAACTTAAATGAATTAACTGGCCCATATCATTAAAGTGACGATTTTTCTATAGCGAAAATCCCATAAATGATTTAAGATGGTTAATCAGAAAAAATAATTGTATTTTATACGATGAATTTTTAAGTTTACTATATAATTTTATCGATTGGTGATTCAACAATTTAATCATAAGGTGTTGTTGATATTGAATTTTGTGATTAACAATAAATTTGTTCTCAGCATCCAAATTTATATATTTTAGTTTTAATTATGCAAACATATTATTAAAGTGTTACAATAATTGTGAGTGATACTTATTTTAGTTATGTTGTAGTGGTAAGATTAGAGTAATTTAAATTGTACAATAAAAGTGATTTTAAAGGCAGAGCAATTAAATCTATTCCAAATTATGGTAATTTAACTAATACTGGTAATTCTTTTTATTTGAATGGTGTTTTGACGTAGCAATTTTAATTAAACTATTAAAATATAAGTCATTTTATAGTTGGGGTTTATTATTTCAATCTCTTCGATGAAAATTTTATATAGCCAATTTTGATGTAAAGTTCATTCGAAACTTCAATCAAGGATTATGCAATTATTATAGATTAATAATATCGAAACGGAACATCCATGTACTTTTATAATTAAACTATATATAATTACTCAATAGGTACCTAAAATGTGACATGTATTGCTTATACAAAAAAAGGTTATATGATTGTTCCGATATTTTGCTTAAACGAATTTTAATATGGTATTTACAACATTACATTTTACCTGCCTCCAAAATTTCATCATAATTTTGGCCCATCAGCTTATATTCTATTTTCAATGATTCTTCTATTGCTATCATATTTTTACTTTAAATTTAAATCCAAAACAAGGAATTTGGAGCCTATTTATTCTGAAATTGAATTATGATAATTTAATAAAGATTGTAATAGTTAAATTCGCATAAATTAATCTTAATTCTTGGTCTTGATTCAATTTACAAGAATAAATTCTTTCTTATTGTTAAATGAGCAAAAAAGATCATTTAAGATTTATTCTTAATCTAATCATTTAAAAATTTAGGTAAAATATTTATCTTATTTTACACATTTATGATATTCAAATTTTCACTCCTGATTAATCTTAGCGTACTTGAAGTCATTCTTCATATTTTTTAAATCTTATTTACCCAGATTCTAGCATGATAACTAATTATAAATGGTGAACTATTAAAATGTTCCCTTCTTATCTTAGAATTTAAGTATGATAATTTTATACCCAATTCAGAAAACTTTGATAAATATAAGGAATTTCTATCTTACAATAAATTACATCTCAAAATTTTGAATTTATTGGTCTTATCAATTGAAGGGAAATTATGTAATTTAACTTATGTTTAATTATTGCAAACTGTCTTTTGGTGAATAATTGATAATTCTTATGGGTCTGGTTTTATACCCAACCTTTTTAAACTCCTTAATTTAGGTTTAGACAGATCTTAACTTTTAAATAAGAGAATCTTCTAATTAATTAGTTCTAAAAAAAACAGATTCAAATACTTTTTGGGTTTTGTATTCCACTCTGTATATATCTTCCAAAAATATGAAGTTGAAATTTGCAGAATTTTAAAAAACGTATTTAAACCTAAATGATTATTAATTTATTTTACTCTGATTTGATGATTTTCTATATTTTATTACTTTCCTTCCATTTAGAAGCATTAATCATCTATATCAATTCTAGGTTAGTTGTATAAATAATTGATTATTGAATATAAAATAAATCCCAAATACACTTCTTTGCCAGATATTTGTTTTTTAGACACCTCAAAAAATATTTTCATAAAATGTGGTGATTGATTATGGGTGATATATCAAGACATATAAAAAATAACTCATTCTCCAAAAAAATGATTAAAAATACTCTTTAGAATGATTCTTTAATCATTCTGCATTCCTACCTTGATACATAATGATTATTCTAATAACTTAATTATTTTTAATCAAATCAACATTGAAAGAGAAAATCTAATTTATTTGACATTTAACCGAACTGTTTGAATGAGAAATAAAGCCTGAATTAAGAAAAACCCATTTCAAGAATTTAAACATTAGAAATGTAATAAAAATTTATAAAATAATTATTTCCTATTCTTCGGTTTTTATCGGCTATTTTCATTTGACTGAATAATGCTTCTAATTAGGTCATTTCTTAAATTATAATTAATAATTTCAATATAACTCATTAAAAAACCTTAATTAGCAATTATACAGGTTCTCTACAGATTAAACACTATTTTAATGCTAATTCTTTACAGTTGTGACAATAGATAAAATGACCACAAGGAGAGGCCACGTATTACTTTGGAAATTCAAAACAAATCTAACATAAACTAGAATCATCTAATTTAGTTTATTGTTTTTATTAATATTGGATATTTTCTTACTCCTTATCTTCCATTTTTTAATTATCAAATTATTTTACTATATCTAAAGGCTATTTAAAGACTTATGGTTATTTAGGTTGGTTGTATGATTTTTTATTCCTTTCTTTCTCATATCTTTCTTATTCTACTAATCGTTTATTTTTCATACTCAGGTTCTTAAATATATTGTTTAAATTGTTTCTCTTCATAATTAGGTTTATTCCTTTGACTATTTTTACAATCATATATATTGTATTAAGATTGAAATTATTTATCCTTTTAATATTTAAAAAAATTCCTTTCGTCTAATTGAGATCTTTCCCTTAGCTTGTTATCAGCATCAATATCAATCTAAAATATGTCTGCTTATTAAAATAAAAAATCAACACCAAATTTCAGATATTCATTTAAAAGCTAAAAATTATGAAAAAATTGTATACATCATTGCAGTTATGGCAAATTTAAATAAGGGGATCAAGATGTTTTTTTTTTAAACTTAGCTTTGTAAATTAATCGCTTATCTATTGATGGAACACAATATTTAAAAATTTTAATTTCTTTAAGATTATGGTAGTGCTCCAATTTTTTGATCTTAAGTAATTTAGAGTTATTGAATCAATCCATTGTACACCAAATGATAATCTTTGGCAATTTAATCTTTTCGATTGATTTTCTGTAATTCTGCTTCTAAATTCTATAATTTATTGTTAAGCTTAGACTTTTTATTCGAATTGTTATTTTCAATACTTAACTATAATTGTTCTTTAGTGGATTATAATTTTTAAATGATTTTCTATTTTTTTTCTTCCGTTTTCTAATTCATTCCATAAAATTTTCCTTTAAACTTGTTTTAATGGCTGGTTAATTTTTTTTGAAAGTTTTATGCCTCACTTTCAAATGATTCTTATAACTTTTTCATATTATTCTTTTATAAACTTAAATGATAAAACTTATGTTATTACGAAGTAATGAAAGTGTTTGTATTATTTGATAAATTCTGGTTGAAGATTTAAAGAAAAAATTGAAATATTTGATTATGGAAAACATGGTAACTGAAATAGAGAAAATATATATTTAAATTATTATTCAAGAATATTATGATACGCCCGGGCTCATCTATGAGTAAAGCGAAATAAACAAAAGTCTCTGCTCCAGTAGGTGGAGGATTGGCTGTAAAAGTAGTTGAATAAAAAATGCCAACTCTCGAGGATTATGTAAAAAATAGGGATTGGGTTGGAGCAGTTGCTCTATTGGAAAATGAATAAAAGTAATTTTACAATTAGAAAAATAAGCTTTAATGATTCACGTGCCGAACCCAAGTTGTGGCTAGCCTACGCATATTTCCACAATGGAGATTACAAGTAAACAATATAATTATTCAATTAGAAAAGCAATTTAAGTTTACGATCAAATGATGAGCAAACCTGACTACAATAAGGAGATACATGTGTATAAAGCCTGTTGCTATTATGCACTTTGCTAATATGAAGATTCAAAAAGAGAATGCTCAAAAGGACCAGAAACTCCTTTGGCTGTCAGATTGTAATAAAATTTGAGATATAAAGATAATTTCATATTGCACATAAAAAAAATGATGAAAAGAATCTTATGACTTATCATCATAAGATATCTGAAAATGTGCATGATTAATTATGCCTAGCTGCTATTCATTATTTAAGAGGACATTATGAAGAAGTAATTAATTTGGATTATAAAACTTTAGGCAACGGATGCGTATAAAAAACTATTGTTAGAGAATCGAGAATATACAGCTATTAATGTTTATGTGGCTTTATGTTATTATAAAATGGAGTATTTTGATGTTTCAATTGAAATCCTACAGTCTTATTTAAATCAATATCCTACGAGTGTTACTGCTGTGAATTTGAAAGCATGCAATTAATTTTCATTATACAGCGGTAAGGCAGCTGAAGAGATAATGAAGCCTTTACAATAAGCTTATGAGGGAGGAAATGTTTTCGCTGATAATGATTTATTAAGACATAATTTAGTTGTGATGAGAGGTGGAGAAAATGCATTATAAACATTGCCTCCATTAGTAGAAATATTTCCAGAGGCTAAATTGAATCTGATAATTTACTATTTAAAAAACGATGAAGTCGAGGAGGCATTCAATTTAGTTAAAGATCTCTAACCTACTTCCCCTAAAGAATATATACTTAAGGCAATAGTATATGCTATGAAGGGTCAATTAAATCTAGATTAAAAAGAAGCATTAAAAACTGCTCAATAATTATTTTAATTGGTAGGATCATCTGCCAGTGAATGTGATACTATTCCAGGAAGGTAGTGTATGTCCTCATGTTTCTTTTTATGCAAGTAATTTGAGGATGTGTTAGTTTACTTAAAATCAATAAAAAATTACTTCTCAAGTGATGATGATTTTAATTGGAATTATGGAATTGCATGTGCTGGAGTTGGAGATTATAAGGAGGCTGAAGACGCACTCGTAGCAATACAAGCTGAGAAATATAGAGTATTGATTATTAAATAAATAGTCTGATGATTGTTACTTAAAATGGATGACAAGAACCTTCATTATGAATGGAAAACCAAAGTATTTTCATTAATTCATTTTATAGAGAGGCTTGGGAATTGTATTTGAATATGGATCCTTCTTCAGAGTCTTTCTAAATTTTGCAACTTATAGCTAATGATTGTTATAAAATGGGCCACTTTTATTACGCTGCAAGAGCGTTTGATATTTTGGCTAGATTAGATTCGGATCATGAATATGAAGATGCTCTCAAAGGATCTGTTGTTGGAGTATTTTAAATGGTTATTGCATCCAAAGCCACCTTAGATCAATTGCTTGAGGTAATGAACCTGTTAACTACTCTTGGGGATAATCCTTAGGTTGAATACATCATTACCATTATTAAGAAATGGGGGAAGTAAAATAATTGGAAAATCTGATCATTATAATATTTTAATTATTAAGATTAACAATGAATCCAATCGATATTTTTCAAACGATGGTCAAATAGGATGCCTAGTATCATATATGATTCATATTCACAAGATTTGTGAACAACCATGCTCAAAACTCTTTTCGAATTTTCAAACAAAATGTAAAAAATTCTAGAATGGTTTTAAACAACAAAGTAAATAATCCTTAAGAAACTTTTACTTCGAGAAATGCATATTAAGTCCCTTAATATCATCTAAAAGAGTAACAATATAAAAAAGTCGAAGAATGGCAAAAATAATAGGACTTATTGGTTAAGTATTCTTATTAAAATAATCATTTCATTCCAAATTACCCTTCAAAAATAAAAGCAGATTTATCTCTAAGATTTTAAAGACATTATGCCTAAAACCAATAATTTGATAAGGTAAAAGATCAAAATGATTCTTATTAACAAACAAACGAGATTAATTAAACTACGAATAATAATACTGAGTTGGCTGAATAAATAATATAGAAAACTATCATAAAAAAAGTGGAAATACAAAAAAAATCAAATTTAAAGAGAGCAAAAAATCAGACAACCGAAAAAAAGACAGTCAAGATAAAAGATAATAAGAAATCAATCTCTGAATCACCCGAAAATCAACCTAAGCTAATCAATAAACCTCCTTTACCCAAAATTCAAAATGATAAACTCTCGGAATAACAAACATCCCTATAATAATAACCTGGAATGGAAACTGTAGATTCATTTCTTAGAAATGCCAAATGAAAATAAAAATTCCATTTATAATTATTTCAACAGAAGCATTTAAGAAAAATTTCCAATCATTTGTTCCATATTTTGATTATTTTCCTTTTATTTATATTAAAACCTCTTTTCAGAAAATTTGAAAGTCTTTACATTATTTCTATATTAGAGATAGATTTGCTTCCTGATGTCTTTGGAAGGGCAAATATCATTAGTTTTTATTATAATCAGGTATATAATAATAAATGAAAGCGTTATGAAAAAGAATATTTCCAGTTCTTAATTTTGTAGCAAAGCGATTTCTAGTTCTTGAATATAAGAAATACATGTTTTTTCAAATTCTTTTACTTAATTAATTGCTGTGATCTCATTTTATTATTATAAATATTCAGATTAAGAATCTGAATTTTATGTTTTTACTCTCAAAATTTTTTAAGAATTTTTATTATTGACAATATAAGAAAGGCTTTGAGGTTAAATGAGTTTATCCAGTATATTATCTTAATTGCTGTAGTCTCTGTAGAAATTTCTTTTAAAGTAACAACTATAAATGTCTATCAGCTCCCTTAAATTATGAATTAGCTCAATTATATTAAAAAAATACAGTTATAAAATTAAACAATATTTTGATCTATATGACACTTTTTCAAATTAATCTTGATATTTTGATCTATAAAATTTAACTCTACAAAAAGATGATCTTATTTGAACTATAATGATACAATTATATGTGAAATTGTCTCTAACTAACTTAAAATGCAACTGATCAAATTTTTTATTATTAAAGCTACCCTGATTTATAATCTAAATAAATCCAGGCAACACTTTACTGAGATTAGTTTTATATTTAACAGCTTAAGAGATATTTGATAAAGAATTCACTTGATGTTACATAAATACTCCCTGAAAAATGAAAAATAAGGAAAGGTTTAATTTAGCTACTATTTCCTTTTTATCTTTTTCTAATCTTAGAAAGCTCTGCCAAAAAATTCACCTGATAAATATGTAGACAAATTATTTAGGTCAATAATGTAAACATTATTAAATAGTAGTAGTATAATAATAGTTTCCTTTTTAGTCATGTATATGTGATATAAATAGAGTGTAAAATAAAAGAAATAGAATAGATTAAAAAATAAATAAATGTATTTTATAATTCATTTTAAAATATATTAAATTAATTCTGAAAAGTCTCTTTTCCACAATGATTTTACATTTTCAATATTCATATCAAATTAAGATCTTAAATTGCATTTTGAAACATATGTGTCGATTAGTAAATCTTCAAGATATTGGAGATTTTTTGGCAGCACTTTATAAATCTCTGATAACTCTTATTCTGTAGAATAAATTTGCTAAAACTCTTTGCTTAGAACAGAAAAAGGGTTATCAACCAAGAGCTCTTTGATTGCAGGTAGAATTTCATAGTTTCTAAATTAAATCCATATATTACTTTTATTATTTAATACAATCATCGTATTAAGACTTGATTTTTTATAAATATAAAACAACGCTATCGTTTTTGCATTCCCATTTGACTTCCACTTATATTCCTCTTTCGTTTGCCTTACCCATAATAAATTGTCTACAAGCATATATGGCGGATATTGAATCACTTTTAAATAAAGCTTGGCCCTACTTAAATTTGATTTAAAGATAGCTATCTAAGGTAGCATTTCTAAATAAATGGGTTTGTGTGTCTTCCTATGAATTTTGTAACTATCATTATTATCAAATCAATTACATCTGTTAAATCATTAACCCACATTATCATATCTTACTTAGTGAATTCACCCTTTAAATTCAACGTACTCAAAGGTAAATGTTTGATATTCATTAAATTAATTGATTAATACTACCCCAAAGGTTTGACATTTATAGAAAAGCTTTAACTAGAATTGATATCGATTGGGATCACAAAAATATTGTAAATATCACTTTAATTAATAGTAATTTCATAATTGCTCACTTTAAGATCCTTTATTGTATAGCACTTTTAACTCTTTTGACCATTCAATACAATTATATCAATAGGATATTAACAATCTATTATTAATTTATAAGATCCATCCTTATCATTTTTAATCAATTTGTGAGAAACCTTAAACTTAACTTACACTTTATTACTATTGTTTTATTTGCTAACATTACCAGTTTTTTAACTATCCTTCATTTATTTATTCTATAGCTCTGCTATTTCTGTTTTTAATTGTTTAATTTGAAGTTCTATATCTTTTTAATTCTTTGAGATTGAGTTATTTTACCCTTCTCTTAAAAGTAATAATCTCCCTTAAAAAGTTGATATAATAATCTCCGTTGGACCATTTAAATTAAAAAATTATCCACATTCTATACTAGTGATTCCTTCATTAATTTTTTTTTAAACCCTCAATTAATCATCTTAATAAACTTCCACAATGCCATCTTATCTTGCAATAATTAAATCAGTTTTTCCTGTTTTGAAGAAATCATAAGGTTTAATTGAAGCAATGCTGGAAACTTTGAAGGTAAATAGAATATTAGCTCTTTCTATTCCAAGGTCAGCGGCAACAATCGTACCATCTTCTAACCCAAATACAAAGCATCTTCTATGTTCAATTCTGTTTTAACTTGAAATTTCTTTGTATTATGGAGCATAAACATGCATGCATATAACAGGAGAAGTCATAGCAACTACATATAAAACTTAATCTTAATTTAAGACCCGTACACATGAATCCTAGCATCCTAAAATAGGATGTGCCTTGCTTGATAAATAATGCACTTATAAACAATTAATTTTTCCAGGACTCAAAAAAAAACACAGTTAGCCAACTTTATCATTTTAATATGTATATTCGTTTAGCATATATTCTCCAGCTGTAAACATTTAATTCCCTTCTATCATTGCAAATTAAATCAAATCAGCACTGTATGTATCATGCTTTAGGTATTCTTTTAATTTTTTAGTCAATCCTAAAACCTAACTACCGCTAGTCACTATTATTCTATCTTTTTCAGATGTGGCTGGTGATATCAATAAATCTAAGTAATTTATATCTTTTCCCGTTGAAATTTATTGTTTATTTTCTATTTTTAATTAGTCACCATTAGCTTCTAAAAGATATAAGTTTCCTTAATCGTCAGCCACCAACAATTATTGCAATTTATTGTTATTTGGAAATGCGCGGATTGCATTTTTCAAATTTTAGAGTCGAAACACCTCACTCTATAACAGGGTATTATCCATAATTATTTATTTATTAAATATTAATCAATCATGATAGGCCTACTGCCTATTATAAACGATCCACAAGTTTATTTCCTCCAATATCATATGCTGTATTGAAGATATCTCCTAGTTAGCATTTCAATTTGATTATCTGATCATTATATCTTTCCTTTTCTTCTGATTGTTATTATTTTAGTTTGATTTCATTTTAAATGGCTTTTTGTACTTAGTCTTTATATTAATTTAATACTCTAAATATTATAATTAATTTGATTACTTATTAAACTATTCTTCATTTGATTAATATTATGTTAATTATTTTCTTAATTGTGAAATTTAAGAAGCATCTTTATTGTCAAAATCCTAATCTTTTTGTAATTTATTTATTAAATCTGTTTTATCGACTAACTAAGCCTAGACATTTTTTAATTGAACTTAATATAAGGCATAATCTTATTCTTGTTTTTTTTATTCTCTTTAAATTTATTTTTCTAAATCATTTATTTTTTTTTACATTAATTCCATGTCTTTATTATTCCCAGCTGATTTTCTATTTTATTACTATTATTCCAATTCTTCATATTGGCTTATTCTTTGCTTCATTACTTACATTTAACCAAGAGCATTTGATAACTTCTAATCAGATTAAGCTACTAATTATTGTTTTAATTTTAATTGTTCATTAAACTCAATAATTTATTACTGCAATTATTTATTTTAAATCTCCAATTACTTTACTCTGTTGTCTAAATTTTTCCTAAAATCGTCATGACTAGAAATTGATTCCTCATAGTTTTATAATTTATCCAAAGTCTCATAAAGTTTTTATTTTGTTGCTTCTAACTATTATTTTGTATCTGCCAATTATTCTTACTTAGTTTCAAGACTCTACTCTAACTATGATATCAGACTATCTTTTTGCTATACTTTTTTCATTTCTTGGCTTAATAATGTCCTAATTTCATCCATATCCGATTCTGTATAGAGAGCTTGCTGTTGATATTAATTTTGTTAAGATTATTTTTCATTTTGTATATTTCCACTATCATTCTGTGTTATTTAAGAAGCTGAACTCTAAATAGTATTTTATTGATCTTCTTAATCCATATTAGAAGCAAATGATATTCTGCTCAATTAGTCAATATCCAATTCTTCAAGACATTTGAATTGGAATCTTATATGAATTTTTGCATGTCTATCTGGACATTTATCCAACTTTAGTTCTTCTCTTATATTTTCTAATTTTCTATTCAAATATGATGAAATGTCTACAGACACTTACCCTGCTACTTTATTACCCTTTTATGATAGAAGAGTAATTGTAAATAAGCATTTCTTTTCTTTGAATTGATTATCCTGAAAATACATGTTTGAATTCATTTCTAATTCCTCATTAAAATTAGCAACATTCACATTCAAATCCGATTGTTTGCTTTCTAATTTTTATTTTCCTCTTTTCCAGGCTACTTAGAGTTTGCAAGGAAAATTGATTGCAATGACTACTCTTTCAATGAAAACTTTCAAACTAAATTTAAACACTCTTATATTATTCATATATTATTTTATAAATTTCTAATTCAAAATCTCTAAGCAATTACACTCCATGTTCTTACAATATGATAAAGTTAGAAGAACCAATCCTCCTTAACATACTACTCAATTAATTTTATTTAATGTTTCAATAAGCCTGCTCTTGGGTATTAGCGAAGAATTTTATCTATAACATCAGCCACATCATCCGCATTCAAAATTACATATTACATTTTCATTATCTTTTATTATGCAAACAATATCATCATTTTCTCAATAGGGCATTTGTAGTAAAATATAAAATCAAGTAAATGTTCTTATTTATTCATTTCTTTAGTTGAATCATAAAGATTGAAAACTATTACTTAAACCATCCATATGATCAAAATTTCATAAATACGCTTAGGTATTATTATTTCTTTAATGGAATTGTAAATTTCACAAATAATCATAGTGGCCAAACTAATAATTAATTTAAGATTGTTAGATTTTATTGTTGTAATCCAATGATCCTAATTTTAATTATTTTTATACAATGAGTTGGAATATAATAAATTTTTTATTAGAAATTCTAATGAACATTTAATATAGTAACTTTTCTCCAAATATTTCAGCATTGTTCTCAGATATTTATTTGTTTTTGAGGACTTGAAATTAATCTGCTTGATTTTATTGCTAACTTCTTTGGAATAAGGAAACCTCTAAAGTATTTATACTATTGTACAAGTCTTAAAATTGTAATTAGCTCAAATTAAATTGATTTAGAATTTGATTTGATTCTTCGATACTTACAGATCCTAATTATTTAAGCCGATCAGAGAACTATTTCTAGTTCATCTTTTTTCCCAATGAGACTTGCTTAAGAGAAGTAAAATGATCATTTTCAAGCACTTGTGCTTATTAACTCAGATTTATTTATTAGACAAATTTTAGTGTGCGTTGTAGTTCATTTCTATCTTAAGAATATTATTCTAAAGCCATAAAATATTATATCGTGTCACAAACAAATCCAATCAAAGCCTGGCTTGATTAAACAATTTTAATATCGTTTTCTTCTGTCCCTTTACATTGATTGCCCATGAAATTTATCGAAACAAAATAAATTTTTTATATATCAATTATTATGAATTTTTTACATTCACTCATAGTATTGCAATATTATTCCAAGGTCGAATGAAAATCAAAATTTCATTCATGTTGCATTCAAGATGAAATGGAAAATCATTATTCCATTTTTATAATTATTTTATACATAAAAACATATTTCTTTTTATTTTTTATTATTGATGAATCAAAAATATTATACTTTTGTTTCTCAGCTGCTCTAAAACAGTACAAAATGTATTTTTATAGATTGTAAAGTAGAAGGGGAAATTACAATATTTATTTTTTTTAATCTACTACAGCTCAAAAGCTTTAATATTATCTTCATTATAACAACATAATTAGATAATACTAAAATTTTAGTAAGGGTTATGAGAAACCGAAACTTTCTAAAATATTGTATTTGTTACATAGTTTATTATCGATAATTCTTCATTTAATATAGAGATTTCTTTTTGAAGTAAGAAAATTAATTCAGATTTATCAAAAATATTGAATTTAATTTAACACCTATATTATCATTTATTTTTTCTTTAGAGTTTGGAAAGCCATTTTAGCATTTCATCAATGTTTGAATTTTTTTTGGCCGAAATACTGAAACACGCAACTACTCGATCTTTTATTGAATTTAAGTTCATTTGTGTAATAAGTTCTTATTCCGTAATACTAGAAATATCGATAAATATGTTACCATCCTTAGAGATCGTATTTATTTCCTAAGACTAATAAAGGGATCCCCTCTAAACTAGGCCAAGAGATTAGCTAATTAAGTTACTACCTAGCTATATCTAAGTTTCCTTAATCTTGTGCGTCCACAACAAAAATAATTACATCAGCTGATCTGCAGTATTTTTCCCATTGTTCTCGAAACCTTGCTTATCCTCCAACATCCCACATCTTCATCTGCACTTTTCCTTTCTTCACTGATCTAAAATTAAATCCTATTGTTGGAATGGTATCCTCCTCGAATTTTCCAGTAGCCATAGTATTAACGAGGGTTGTTTTCCCAGCATTTTATAACCCAACCAAAGCGATTTCAAGCTCTTTTCCAAAAAATAACTCTCTAAACCAATTTGCAAATTTCTGCAACATATATTTTGTATTTATTTAATCAAATTATGAATGACAACACTTAGAAATAGAAAATGCATACAATCAAAAATTTATTATTGATATTCAAAACTAATAACTGCATTGACAATTATTTTTGCTTTTTTCTACTACACAATTGAATTTAACCTGCATATTTCTCCTTAAATCAATTTTATTTGATATTTATTTTTGAGTATCTATTCTATCATCATAATTCAAGCTATTCAACTTTTTCGCTCATTGCTTTATTCCCTCTACTTAAATTGTTCCCTTTTTTATAGTGCGTCCATATTACTAGGATCAAATTCTAATATATAAGCGCTATATATTATTGGATTCAACTTCTTATGTAGTATTTGCTAATTCTTTTATCACATAGTATTCTTTTTATTTAATATAACAGATGGATTGTGATTGCATGGAAGGTACAAAATTTATACAAGCCATTAACATTTATTTCTTAAGTTATTTTTGCCATAACTTCTGAATCATTAATGACTCTGTCGTCTTTTATTACACATTAGAATATAGTCATCAAACTTAGAAGTTTTTAGTGCTATCCATCCATGCTGCTCGTCTTTAAAGTTTTCTTGATCACTTATGGTGGTGAATTTATAAAATTATTAATAGCATGGACATAGAAAAATTGAAATATGAAATAATTCATTTATTTTAATTTTCATCAAAATTTTATCAACACATATATAAAATAATATAATTATTGTTAAATAATTAGAAAGGAATAATCTATTATTAATTCAATCAGATAAATTATTTTAAATAAATAGAGGAGAGATCGAGCAAAATTTTAATACTGCTCATGCTTGGAAAATAAATTCATTGAGAATAATATAGAAATCATAAAAGTCAAAATGTTTTTTATGAGATTATAATATATCACTACTTTTTTTTTATTTGATTTTATAGTAGATTGCTTGCATAAGTTGGAGTCATTTTTTTAATATCGTCTTAATTGTATCCTAAGTCTGAAAGATCATTTTTCATTTATCTTGTAATCTAAATTAATGATGAATTTATAGTTATTACCATAAAAGGAATTTATTGTGAAGTTTTCTCATTATTTGGATCTAAATAATCAGCAAAGTTTTCAATTTTCTAAGCACCATATTTAGCGATTTTTTCTGGATCTGTCACGTTCTTTATCACAGAAAGAAATTTTTTCATAATTAATAATATTAACAAATATTTCAATGTTTATTTCCCCCCTTTCTTGATGATTTCTTTTTGTGTCTCTTGATATTGAGTTGCATAGTTTTGAGTTTTTTTAATTCCATTTATTGTTCTTCCAACAATCTCAATCCTCTAAGATATTATAAATTGTTATTTACTTTTTATATCCATCTTTTTGTTTGTCAAGTTGATGAAGAAGCTTGTCCTTTTTAATTTTATGCAATTGATTTTATTCCTTATAAAGTTCTCTCATTAATTTCTTTTTAGTCATAATTTTTTTTCTCTGCATTGATCTCAGTTCTTCTTATTTAGAAATGGCATTTTAAGTTTTCTTAATTTATAAGTGTTTGGGTAGATACTCAGATTTAATTCTAGGAGTCAATGGGAAAATCTTTATTATTGGTTTGTCAATAATTAAAACAACATCCTTTTAAGTGTTCATCAGCTATTCGAATTCGTGAATATTATCCAATTGTTTTTATTTACAAATTTGGAACAATTTATCAAAGATGAGATTGAAATTTGGGACATTTGTTTTATTTTGGACAATATGGTTGACAATCTATTGACTAAAAGGACTATGATCTTAAATAGCCTTTTCGTAGTTCTTCACAAAGGTCCCCACATATTGAGTGGACTATAATAATTTGTCAGCTTATAAGATGGCTTCAATATTGGGTTCTTGAGTTGAGAGATACAAGATTAAGGCCACGAATGATTTTCCTTTTAATTCTGTGAAGTTGTTTGAATATGATTGCAGGATTTGAATGCCCTAATTATGATTGGTTTCAATTAATTATTAAAGTAACTCAGAACATGAGAATCCTAATTTTGTCAGCTTTTTTGTAATTTTAGGAACCTCATTTAGAGCTAGGATGTCTTGTAATTGGGATAAACGTTCTTGAGTTTATTCTTCCATAAATAATTAAGTTTAATTTATATTACTCAAAATATTTATTCAATCATCTGTCTAGCATAAAATTGCCACTCCTCTTTTGACCCAATGGTAGGGATGATGATCAGGTGATATAGGTAAATATATAGAAATAACAAAGTTTGTAGAATGACCGGTGGTCGATAGTGTTCCTGCTCTTCTTGAGGTTTTATATACAGGGCATTCATAAACCTAAGGAACATTAGAATTATTCTTACAGATGTATCAGCATCCCAATCCTTTTTCTCCTCACTTGGCAATAACCAGAGATATGGTACTGAGTATTACAAAATTTTAGGCAAACTTTCATTGAGACATCTGTTTTCTTCATCCCATCTTGCTCCATCAAGGAATAAACCATAAACATAACATCCATCTTCAGGGGGTTTAGTAAGATCATACTCTTATGATGAAGGAGGGATCACAATAAATTCAAAGGACAACGTATCTATTGGAATTTAGTACTAATGATGATGAAATATTTAAATACCCTCCTAGCAAAGTTTTATAGTGTGCCAGTTAAAAAGGACTAAGTGAAAAAGAATCCGGAAACCCAGAAAGTAGGTGGGGCACCGTTGTCGATCCATAATTGCATAAAATGCAACCTCTCAATAAAATCATTAATCCAGGATCCTAAGGGTTTAAGTGATGGATAAGCCACCTTATGCCAAATATCAGGAACTTGATTATCAAACACTTTATTAAAAACTTATTCTAAATCCGCACTCATCACTACCAAACCATCAATTGCCTTGCCTAAATCAATCAAAGATTATGTAACTGCTTATAATAATTTATTGAATCTAATCAATTCTTATTGCAATACAGTGTTCATACTCTGATTGTATTAAACAGGATGTTTACGAGCAGCCTCTTCAACATTGAATCTCTTAGGCAATTTAGCTAGAATCTATTTACACTTTTCTTTTATAAGATCTTCTGCAGATGTGCCCGCACCTCCAGTTGATCTTGGAAGCAATGATAATATAGTTGAAGTAATAAAATTGGTTTCGATGATTGCTGATGATATTTCAGCATTATCATGTAATCCAAATACCTCAGTTTAATCATTCAATGGTAGGTTTCTTATATACTCCTTGTAATCTTCTAGAACTCCATTTGGAGGAATGTAATAGGTTCCACTTGGACTCAATTTATGTCTATCAATCTACAATACATCAGTTGTATAAAATTATTTAAGTAAAATGGCAATTAATCTTCTATCTTTTGGATCTGTAACTCTACCTCCGTAATTAGCTTCAGCAACCATATAATTAAGAGCTTCCCAAGGGATATCCTCAAAAGTATCAAGAAAATTTCTTAATTAAGATACAGAGATTGCTAGATCTGCAGACGTAAACTCATATGGAATATTCCATCCAAGAGGTCCATACTTACGACGCTCTAAACAAACAGCATGGAAGAAGTTTAATCCGAAAAATAATTTTTTCCATTCTACAGGTTTCTTGCACTATTCAAAACTTTTATTATCAATTGATGAGAAGTTTCTTAGCATATTATTTTTTAATCCTCTTGGCGGTTCATAAGTCATCTTAATACCTTTCATCAAAAGAGTAACTGGAAATACACTAGATGGCATTGAAGTTAGCCATATTCTGAAATCTGTATTGACATCTGGTTTTGCACATATTTCCTATTCATGAATTCTCTCCAATTCTGGCATAAATGATGGAGCAAGATGGCAATTCTATAATAATACCCATTTGCCATCCTTTACTGCTCCTTTAATCGCATTTGTGGCTATTTCCCCTTATCCTTGTCCCAATGAGAGTGGAATAAAGTTTTACCTAAATCCAAATTTGTCAGCCAAAGCTTGTATTTCCAAACGAGGATCTGCACCAGGTGATAAAATGAAAATCAAGGGTGTGAATGCATCTGCATCTTTATAGGCATATTCAAGATTAAAGGGTGGAGGATCCATGAATTATTTACCCATTTCTGTAATGATTAGATTCTGAGTTGCATTAGCAAATTTATCCGGCCTAATAATTCTCAATATTATTAATTTTTAAAAGGCTGATAAAGATGTAGCCCAAGGTTCAGGCAATTTTTAAGTTTGCGGTTCAGAGCTGTCATATATCTCCTGCCAAACTTCAAGATTCTTTGTAACTGATTCAGGCAACCCTTTGAAACAAGCTAACACATCAGCTGCTTCAGTTATTAAACACCACATCTTCTTAGAAATCCACTCTGCCTATTATGGATGATGGTATGTGGGATCTGTGTAGGTTCCTCCCACCATAGTAAAACGAATCTCTTAAGGAGTAATCTTGCCATCACTTTACATCACTTTCATTGTCATCAAGAAGGAGAATATTAATTTATCCTTCTCTAGAAGAGATCTGCAGATACTCTCATAGAGAGATATTTAAAATTTATCTATTATATTTTTACTTCTATTCTCCTTTCCTTAAATTGATTCCCTGATTGCTCTTTCAAATAGTATAATATAGAATTCTAATGACCATTGATAAGTTGGTTCAATCAATGAAAGATCCAACACAACAAAATATAAATTAGCAACTCTCTTAGCCACTTCTCTGTAGAAATTACGAATCTGATTGAATTATTCTCTATCCTATTCCTACTTCTTCAATTTATCTTAAATAGTTATTGACTCTGCTTTCGATCTTTAGAGAGTATCAATTAAAACTTCATCATCCAATAGATTACCTTTAGATTCTTGCAACAATTACAAAATATTATCTTCTGTCATCTTTTATTTGTTTTTATTTTCAAAGAACTCCTTAATATTTCTTTGTCTTTATTCATCTTTAGCAGGTTCCTCTATCTTTACAACAATATTTAACATCTGATCCTCTAATCCCTCCTAAGTAACTTAGAAGTTTAGCATAGTCACCTTGACACAGATTTCAGGTGGATAATGAGGTCTGGCTAATTTGGTTGTCATGTAGAACTTGAAATCTTTTGAGTAATCAACCATCTTATCTCCGAATTTCAATTTATAAGCTGAGCCTTACTTGATTATTTTTTGTTGTAAAATCGATTCAAAAATAGCATCTATGCTCTCTCCAACATTTTCTAATAGTACACTTTAACCAAATTGCAATGCACTTTCCAAAGTCTTAGACAATACATTCTAAGATTAAGTCGGTCTCACGATCACCAAAGATTAGTTCTCTCCATGTTTCATCTCCATATGCTTAACCCATGTATTGGCTTATGTTTAAGGATCAATCATCAAAGGCCATCTTGTAGAATTTTTTAAGATAATTGCATTGTCAATTGAAAATGAATCATTTGGTAACTTCTGCACATTTGTCCATTATCCCATTGTGATTGGATCACATAAAATCTTTTGTAATGAATAATCTGGATCATATTCCAAATTCAACTTAACTAATAAACCTTGCCATGCCTTTATTGTATCATCTCTATAAGCAATAGGAAATGCTCCCAAATAAGCCACAATTCCTGATGACAAGATACAATCACCAACAATTGTTTTAGAATCAACTCTAAAATCAGCAGCCTTCTTCTTCCAACTCTCCTTTTCTCCTCCTAATTCTGTTATCAATTTTTCTGCCCTACTCAATTAGATTTTACACTTATTAACCTTGGCCTCCAAGTCTTCCTTTTCTTACTTGGCCTTATTATACTCTGCCTCTAATTTGGCTAGCATGTCAAGCACTTCTTACAATGCTTCTTACTTAACTCTTAGTGTTTCTTCGGCTTCCTTTAATTTTGATTCTGCTTCAAGTAATTATTATCTCTTGGGATCCACAACCAACAAAGCATCATAAGTTTCTACGACTGCTCTGACCCATAAACTGAGATTACCTGCTGCAACAGATGCATTAAACACCTTATCCTTCTAAAACAATGGGTTTTACGAGAATGCTCTTAATTTATTGATCTTTACTTAAGGAATTTATCTGATTGAGTCATCTCTGAAATCCTTAATTCTCTTAATCAACTTATCATTCAAAAGATTCTTTTTAGAATACTCCCAAAAATCTTACACTTTTTCCATAGAACCAGGTTCTTTTGGTTTCCATGGCACATCTTGATCTTCCTAAAAGATGTAACATAATCCTTCCATGACAATGGCTGCAGAAGGGGGAGGCTTAGGAAATGATTTCAATTAAACCATATCATTTTTATCAATCTTTTCCAATGCTTCAGCAGCTTAAGCCAGAATAGGTAACACTTTATCGAGATCATTTTAACAATCATTTCTTAAAGCATTTGCCCCATCTCTTTGCACATTACAATCTTTCTCTTCTTATTGACAAACCTATTTTCTTGCATCGGCTTCTTTCTATTTCTTTTACAGATTAATTAACATTATACTATTGTCCTTAGTAGCCTATTCCAATTTTGGTTATAAATCTTCTAACTCCTTCTACATTTTGCTTACTTCACTCTCGGTAATGATAATCTTATCAACACCTGCCTCATAACGAGATATTTATTTAATCATATTTTGATCTCTATCTGATTTCAGTCTCTTAAATGTGTTGAGCAATTCCAAATAAGAAGTTGGAGTAACATAATAATATCTTCTTAATTCATTATAATATCTTTTGGTTAGATCAGACACTCTCATCTACATATCGACTGCAATATCCACTAAACCTTATCTCAATTTAGTATCAGTAATGTTCATATCCCTTGTAAATACTGCATCAGCAGTTGATCTAAGAGCCTCTTCTGGCCATGGCAAAAACCAATCAATAGTTGTACAATTAACCAAAGCTGGAAAAGTACGCAGTCTTCTTCTGAATGCCTCTCCAACAGGTGACATGCAAATCACAAGATGCAAATTCTTCTTACATTACCTAACGAAGTAACTATACTTTTCATTCGGTGTACCAGAAGTATAACTGCTCATTTCTTCAATGATTTTACTCTTCTCTTCAGGAGGGAATAGATTAGGCACCTCACCATTATTCAAGATATTACAAATATCCTCAACCATTGATTCCTTGATGATCTAAGTGTCTGAATACATAAACACAAATTCTTTTTGATCAATTCCTCCCATCTTCATAACCTTTTGCAATTCTTCTATCCAATTTCTTGAGTCAACTTGCAAGGTTTCATTTTGGAATGCTATGAATGATGCCAATTAAGCCAAACTCTTTCTTCCAGATCCTCCCACTCCAACCAATAATGCATGACCAAATGTGGTATTAACAACACGCACTATTTTAAGCACATGTTGAATAGCATTCATAAATAACACTAATTCCATTCTATTGCTTGTGTATTGAGAATTGTATTCATTTAATTATTCTTAACATACTTTCTTAAGTGTCTCTCGATCTGTTAATTCACAATAGATATCAGTCATAGGTCTCTTTGTTCTATCATCATCAGGATAGAGAGTGGGAACAAATGAAGCCCATAAGAGTGGTTCTATTTACACTAGTTGTTTCCAATCTCGCTTGAAGTGTTTCAGAATGGTTTCCTTTAGAATCTTATCAAAAGTTCCTTAATCATCTTCATTAATCAATCTATCTTAAAACACACGTTGACATTCATGTGCCCATAATTTAATGAAATCGTTTTCGTCTCTGAATGATTTGATTATTCCTTTAGAAATTCCTTGGAAAACTTTACTGATATCTCTAAGATTGTAAATGTAATGAGATTTAGCTGGAGTAGGCAAAAGCTCTTTACAAGTTTAGATTAATTAATAAATGTCAAGTGTAGCATTAACTGTTTGATCTCTAAGATTTGTAATAGATTTCATAAACGGATTTGTTTGTCTAGCATAATACCATTCCAAAACATTCTAGAATATCCTTTGCAATGAATCTCCTTCGAATGGTTCTACATATAAGAGGACATAGTGTCTTAAATATCTCATGCTGACTACATTTCTACCTCCAGTAGGAGGCAACATACTTGCAATAAATGTAATTCCTTAAAGATATTTAGGCTCCTTTGTTTCTAAATCATACCATCCTCCAGTATCCATCCATTGTCTTAACAATTCTATTGGAGGTTATGCGCCATATTTTTCTTTAGCTGGCATATTCAAATCATCAATAAAAATCACAATATACTTCTTACCCTCTTCAGGTCCAAAGTATCCCTTTCTTCTTCTCGAATTAACTTTAGCCTCTATAGTTTTTTGAACTTAATTCACTAAAGTTTAACCTGAAAATGCAGTTATCAAATTTGTATATTCTGTATTAAAATAATTTTTATTGATTTCACTCACAATGTTTGATGTTTTACCAGTACCAGTAGGTCCAGATACAAGAAGATGTATTTTATTTTTCACACATAAATGAAGGAAGTAATTATTTCTAATTGAATCACTTGTTGGAATTAGTAAATCATGATATTCGCATCCTTTTGGTATTATAAATGGTGGCTAGGTTTGAGTCCAACTTATGAAATTATTTTTATTTCTATCATAAACCATATCAAATAGATTAGCTTTATCTGGTAATTTGGCATTTATTGAGATTGGTTAGAATTTATACTACAATTGTAATTTATAGGAATCTTGAACATCTTCAGATGATATCAATTTAATTAAAAACTAATTGAATTGTTTTCTACAGACTTCGTCAATTGCTGCTCCAAAACTCCAAACACATGAGAATAATATCGCTTTTGAGATGATATCTTTAATTTCATTATGATTAATTTATTTTTGCGATGCCTTGTCATCCATATCTGTCCATTCCTGCACATATGTTTACAATATGAGTAACATATTTTTGACTAAAGTCATTTTCACTTCTATATATTGGGAATTTACCATTCCTTCTCAGCCATTCCTAGCAACAATCAATCAAAACTCTCAACAAATCATCTAAATAATGATGTTCTATAAATTTCTCTGGAATTGTTTGTATATATGATTTCACTAAAGCATACCATCCAATTTATTATGTCTCCAAAAACACCATACCACATCTACTAACAGTGGCAGGAGATGCAACGGCTAGATCTTCTACTTCAAACATCATGGTCATCCAATTTGTCATCTTAATGATTTCACCTGATGTCAAACATAATTTCTTGTTATCATCCAATACAGTATTCATATTTTCAATCCAAACTGCATCAACAGGTCCATCAAATACAACCCACTTTCTTTCTTCAATTTCTGCATCTTATGCACACTATCTCATAATAATAGCTATGACTCCATCAGTCCATGATTTTGTATCCGGATCCAATTTACCATATAATTAATCTGAAGTAATTGATTTTGGATTAAGTTTAAGCACAGCAACATTCACAAATGATTGTATCTTATTTAATGATGACATTGCTTTGCCCAAGCATTCCAAAACCTTAGATTTTCCTGCAAACGCCTATCCTACAATCATTAAACCATGACGCACATTGATGGTGTCAAATAATTGGATGCACTTTTCAATAAAACCTTTTTCTGCTTGAATATTTATATCCTAAGCTACATTTTTGAGTGCTGTTTCCAATGCTCCATAATCTTATTCTGGTAACTTAATACCTGGAAATAGATCAGATGTAATGGAATTGAATAGAGGTACATCATTGATTGTGAATTTTGGAATATTGACATCCATCAGTGCTCTTAAACAGATGATATCTTCAATATCATTCATGACTCTTTTTAAATTACCTGCAGCTGTCAAAATAGCCTTCAAAGCTCTCATACCAAAATCATAATGGTCTTGTGATGAAAGCTATTCGGATGATAACCTGAGTGATGCTACAATTTTACGAGCTAAATTATTTGCATCTTAAAATCCTACAGAAGCTAAATATATTTCAGAAATCAATGCATAATCTGGAACCATCATAGCACATGGTCTAAATAAGGCTTTTAAGTTGTCAGGTAAATCAGATCTTCCAGCATATCCTGGATTCATTGTGATATTGATAGCACAGGAAGGTACAAGCTTTATTGGAGTTCCTTCAAATTCAAATTCTGGTCTCTTTTGTTTGATAGCATCCTAGATAGTAAGTACTTACTAAGCTATAACTGATAACACCTCTAAGTCAATACGATTGAATTCATCAAAACAACACCATGCTCCTGAACTTGCCAACCCTTTAAAGAATTTACTCATAGCCAAATAGTTCAAACCATCAGAACAATTAAACACAACACATTAGACTGCCAATGCCTTAGCTAAATCTTTGACTGTTTCTGTTTTTCCTGTTCCTGCAGGACCTTCAGGTGCACCTCCATATTATAAATGGAATGCTCCCATCAAAGTACGATAACATCTATCAGTCAAAGGGGTAATAACCAATCTCATGCTATTACCCAAATATTCATATCCATATAGTAAATCAGCGTTTATCATTTTTACGTTGCATTTCATTACTTATTCAGTCCAATAATATCTTAATTATGCCATCCATTAGAAATTATTAATATCATTGCAACCAATCTTCACCAACTATCTGATAACATCTCTAGCATGGACATCCAACACTACCAAAGCTCCCAATGTTAATCTCTCTAAAGGAGACAAATCCTATCTAACTAGGTCTACTATATCTCTTAGTTCATTTATTAATTATTATAAGAATCCTGCCAATCCTCCATGAGAATTATCCTTATCATTAATTGATGTTTCACTACCCCTAGTCCATCTGACCATGTTAACAGCTAATACAATTTAAGCTGGCCATTTTCTAACCCAAGCCACTCTTTTAGTATCTACATCCAAATGAGATGCCTTCATAATCTTTTTAAGAGTATCAATCATAACTGCTTCAATTTCACATAACCATTTTTCAACATTTCCTTTTTTATCTCCCTCATTCACATTTATGGCTTTTGAAAAAGGAACTTTTTCTTTTTCAGCTGAAATCATTGCTACTACTTCTTATCCATTAACAAATTCCAATAAATTGATGGCTTCAAAACATTTATTAATATGCTTTTATACAGTTTCAGGATCTTTGGTTTATGCCAAAATTTCTAACAATTCTTCATCTGACAAAAAGTAAAATCTTGGAAAAGAATTACGTTTAGTTTCTAAATACTCACTTAAAGATTTCTAAATCTAATCCAAAGCTTTATTATCTTAATCAAATTCATTTTTCATCTTATCACTATCCACTCCATCCCATAAATTAGGTTCCTTGCTAAATTGTTCCATTACAGTTCTCCAATGTGAATCCACCTTCTAAAACTTTAGTGTTTCCTAAGGCATCTTCTTCTTGATATCATCAGATGTAAAGATTGGTTCTAAATACATCCATCCTCTTTAACATTTTAGTCCATCCATCCAATGTATCTTAAATCAATACTATTTTATATTCTAAAGCTTAAGCCTTATGTAAAACTGCCTTTATTTATGGTTATGCCTTTAACATCAATAAGATATTAAATTAATCATCAAAGCATTGGACCACTTCTTCAAGAGACTTTAACACAAAAGTTCCAGTCTTCTTATATGGGATCATCTCGACCTTTTAATCTTTCAACTTTTCTTAAATTAAATTAAGATTCTTTTCAATTTACCATTGCTTTTCAGCCCTTCTTGATACCTCCTCAATGTCACTTCTATGATTCATCAAACCATGTGAGACAAGTGTATCTAATGATAAGTCATCATTTGTTTCTTAATCAACTATTCCAACAATCTTCCAAATATCCTTCCACATATTCAATTTAATTTTCATGGCTTCTGTAGTAAGTAATTCAATTAACCATAACTTTTCTTTAAACTCATCAATCTGGCTTTTAAGTTTCCTAGCCACTTCTACAGCTGTATCATCTACACTGTATCTGAGAATGCCTTAATGAGAATGTTAACATTTCTTTAATTAGTTCTAACTTTAGAATCTATTTCAGTAAAGTTTAGTTTTAAAAATGATCCAGTACACCAATCTCCCTTTTCCATTTCAAATTCAATGAAATAAGTCCATAAATTATAGTAAATAGCAAAGTTCTTAATTAATTACTCCAACTCATCATAGACAGATTCTGGTGATTTAAATAATCTTTCTCTTTCATTAAAGGATTCTACCTTTTCCTTAGCCTTCTATAACCTTTCATTTAATGACATCACTTCAGTGGCATTTTCTTTTGCTTTTGTGTAATCATCAAATTTCTATACTGTGAGATATAACTCAGCTAATTCTCTTAATTCCCCTTAGAACTTATCCTTTTCATTATCCAAATTTTCTATGAACTTTTACTCCTAAAGATTAGCTTTTCTTTATCCTTCAATGACATGATTCTTAATTTCGGGTGGGAAACTATACAAATTCCAAAATTCATATAAATTTTTGTCCTCAAAAGTATGGCTCATTTCCTCAAATATTGTCAAATAATCATATAAGCAATCAACTTCTTGTTTCTTTTTGGCCAAATTAACTTCATGTTCAGCAATGTAGGTCTTTAATTCAACTAGTTCAGCCTCATTCTTTGGTTGCTTTGTAATTCTTTCACTCATATCGTTATACTCAACACTAAGACGACTAATGTTGTCTGTCACTATTTCTGAGCATTGTTTCAAAATAGAAGACACAAATTCATTTGCCTTTTAAATTAGATTTTCCTTGGCAATTCTAGTTTTTATCTAAAAGAATTATTCATTTTTCTCATCCAAACATAACCTTTGTATCTATAATTTAGCGTTGATAAAATCATTCAATTTCTTTTAGATCTCATCCTTATCCAAAGATGTTATGATTGGTTTCTTAGAAATATCTCCAAATAGACTCTTTAATATGCTTGAGACTGGCTTTTCTAAAAGAAAGCTGTATTCTCTAAAACGTTAAAGCATTTCATTGGGTTTCTGAAAACCTATTTCGATGTACTCCAAAATTTTGTCTCTTGCCCATTTAACCCAAATTTAATCCTAATCATTTTCAATTTCATAGGCTCTTAATCTCCCTTTAACTTCCTTTTTTTAATCAATATCAACCAGAGGAACTAGATCCTTTTCTAGACGATTAAATGAATTGACTGATTCTAATAATAGATCTAATGGTTTCAAGAGAGCAGCTTAGATAGATTATAAGCTTGGAGAAAATATATAGCATTTGTAGGATCTTCCTCAAATAATGGAGTATCATCTTACTTGACCTTCTTTTCATTTTTCTTACTCCTTTTGAAACTAAGATTGACTTCAAGATTAAGAATCATAAGTGGGTAATCATTAATCCTCCAATATTCTCCTTATTTTGGGGTAGTAAATTTCTTAATAAAATCAACCCAAGCTATACAATTCCATTTAACTACATTCTCTCTTATATAATTAGTAAACATGTAATCAATTCTTATAAGTAACTTTTATAAGTCACTATCTAGATAATCTTCAGTTTCAGTCTAATAGAATCTATACTTTTCTCTTAATTTATCTTGTATGTCACCAACAATGGTACTTCTCCATTGCACCTATAGAGTTTATCTTCCTTGCACTTAATGTTGTTTTTGTTGACTTTCAAAATTGGATAGAGTCATTGGAAGTGATTGATGATTCAGTAATACATTTAGCAAGGGGAAGTTTTGGTATAATTGGGATCTTGCAGTCAAGGCATTAAGTGTATTAACAACAACAGTCAATTTAGAATAATGCAATGATTGAATCGTTTGTCTTGTAGGAACAAATGCCCAGTTATCTTATTATTTAATAAATGATTTAGCAGATTGACCCTATGATTCATAATTGATGACTTTGGTATCGCTTCCAAATTATTTGCACAATCCATAGAATGGTTTTTTGGTTAATTCAAATCTATTTCTGATTCTAAGTTGGATCCATTTAATATCATTTTTATTAATTTCCATATCTTTAAGGATAGAACATTTCTTCATGAGCATAATGTACTCTTTTTCTACTTGTTTGACTAGATCTTTTTTAAGAATATCCAAATTTTGCAATTATTTTCTCTTTATTTCTGGGTCAGTAATCATAGTTTTTGATTCATCCTTCAAAGTTTGTATTTATGGAAATCCTGGAGCTGTTTTGCTAGGATCCTCTTTTGTTAGATAAGGCAATTCTCTGAAATAAGTGAATTCGTCTATCTTTTTTTGCATTTCAGTAGATAAAATAGATGTCATTGAATCAGGCAAAGAATCGATGTATTTAAGAAATCGATATTCGTCATCAGCATTTCTTTATCTTTACTTGCATAATTCAACTCTCTATTCGAATTTTATGGGGTCTTCTGCAAAGAATAATAGGGATAGTCTTCCAATCCATTTGATTTTGTTACTTCTCAACACCTTCACTTCATAGCGACCATTTTGATAGCCGAGAACTTCAACATCAGTCCAAATGTATTTGTCTGAATGATCAAAAAGGGGACATTTGGCATGTGGAGGGTTGGTTTTAAGACATAATTCAATCCATTGCTCAGGAGTTTTGTCTTCGTCCCAACAATCGTAGTCCTTCAATTTTTTATTGGCCATTCTACCTCCATAGGAGAAGTTTTTATTCTTTGGAATGTCTTCTGGTTATGAGTCATCATCATCTAATTATGGAATTAAGTAAATTACACATCTGAAATTCGGTGAATTCTTCTCCCAAGGTTCCTTTCACTTCCACATCGAAATTCCTGCCTGAATTTATAAAATTGGGAATGAAATTCGATCTTTTGGAATTGAATTAGGAATCCATATCAAATTTCAATGTATTGGATGGAGAATTGAAATTGAGTGAAGTTAAATTCTTGATCTAACCAGTTAGTAATGGCACTTAACTTTTCACCTGTCTAGTAGTACGTATGTTTATCTATCATTTAGGATATATATTAGAATTACCTTTTTCTTCAACCCAAATTATGAACTAGTCAAGGTGCCCTCTATGGGTTGTTAGTTGTCTCTATCGTTCAATAGATTCATCACTAGTTTCCTTGAATATATGTGAGTCACAATACCTTGGATCTTGAGTTTCAGTTTCTTATTTAATTCTTTCCTCTACTTCCTGATGTTCCTTAAAGGCCGATTGAAAATCAAAGGAAGGAGTATTGATTTTTTATATTGGGCCTAAATGCTTCATGATTTAAAAATACCCAAAGTACGCTTGCCCTTCGAATGCATTTCTTGTCTTTCTAAAATAAAATAATATATTACAGATACACAAATTTAAATGAGTTTTTCAGATGATTCAGAAGATGAGGAGGAAATCAAAAAGCGACTTTATGCAGATCTAGATTAAGTGTCAGTCAATGATAATTAGACTGAAAGGAGTTTCATATTTGAATAGCACAATTATGAAACCCATGATTATAAGCAATCTAAAATATGGTTAGAGTTCATGAATCAAAATAAACAGAGAGAGGAAATGTTGGACAAGATTGAGAACGATATTTAGTTGATGAAGTAAATTAATCAAGGCAATTAATGTATTGAAATTGAAGATTATAATGGGGATCGTCTCAAAGTGGAACTAAATGATCAACTGCCAAATGAGATTATTACTTAAATCAAAGAACAACCCTAACAAAAAATCATTTTACACGAGGAAATCTTGCTTCAACAATAACCCACACCAATCTTAGATTTACAAAAATCTAGCACTTCATTAACAGTTAATTAAAACTAAGTCCGAGCCCCATCTGCTAAACAGACAAAACCCAATAAATAAAATCTATAAGATCAAAAGCTAGAATTAATGTATCAATAAAGAGAGATGATGCAAATGGAAATTGAGGACAATTATTCTAGAGAATATTAAGACTAATGGATGAGATAGCTATTTAAAAATAGACTCTACACTCTACCTGAAGAGTTCCCTGCCTTGAAACCAATAGCATTCCAAATAAAAATACCAGATTTCAGTATACCGGTCTTCAAAACTCCCTCAATCTAGATACCTTAAATATTGGATTTGGTGGAAGACAATCTCGCTCCAAGTAACACCAAAGAGTTGGTTTTCACGAGATTACAGAATATTAAGTTTTAAAAATTTAAATATGTTGAAACCCAACAAGAAGCAAAGCCAAACAAAGAACTCTAATAATTGTAATAGATTGATTCTGAACTCAAATATAATATTGTCTATTAGGATTATTTAAAGAACCAATAGTAATTGGTGTTGAGTGATACAGTTGAAGACATTTATTGGAAAAAGGTGAATAATCTGCATTAGGATTTAATGAATACGTAATGCATTGTTTTTATTTTAGGATTAATAAGTTGATACAAAAATTTCCCAAGTACAATTCTTATCGATCTCCTTTTACTGAGTACGAATAGCCTAAAACGAATTTAGATAACATCAGCATTGCAGAAGATAATTCTAACTTGAACCTATTTCAATAATATATTCAAAACAATCAGGTTTCTAAATATACCAGGAAATTGGAAATAAAACTTGAAAACCTAACCACACTTGATGGGATTTAGGAAATGAAGGATATAAGAAAGGTGATCCTATCTTGCAATCAACTCAATGACCTTTCTCCTCTTTCAGCATTAAATAATATAATTGAAGTGGATCTTTAATAAAACAACATTCAGTCATATAATTAATTAGGTAAATTGAGTAATCTAAGAATTCTACGTCTCGAAATGAATCACATCTAAGAAATGAGTAAACTTCCAAACTGCCTATTTCTGGAAGTGTATTCTTTAAAGGGCAATAAAATTCACTCAATGACTAATTTGGAAAATTTAGAGTTCTTGAAGCAATTATACCTTTATAAAAATTAATTAAAGAGTGTAGGGAATATATCAAAATGTTTAATTTTGGAGATTCTTGATTTGAGTTCAAATCAAATTGAAATTGGATTGAATGAGAACCCTTTTAAAAACAACCAATGCCTACGTAAATTGATTCTGACTAAGAACAAAATATAGCATTTACCTGAAATGAGACTGCTTTTATTGAATGAGTTGTATCTGAACAAGAACAAACTTGAATCCCTTGATGGAATAATTTACTTACCCTCATTGCAGGTATTCTTTTATTTTATAAGATTTTATAAGTTTAAGATAACCAATTACAGACTTGTTATGATACTGAATATTCGATCTCTTACATTCCCAATATTTAGTAGATAGATTTATCAGGCAACAGAATTTAATCCTTTGGAACCATAATCAATTTCATTCAAAGATGCAATGAATTAAAACAAATCAACTACCTCGAGAACCCGTTTTTGCTTGGTTTGTCTGAAGTATGAATTAACCATTATACTAGGAAGTACTTCAATTGTATCGATACATGTTGATTATTAACTGTTCATAGTTGATTGAAGTCAACCAAGCACTATTAAATAAGAAGGATCAAGAATTCTTGAAAGACAAATTTTACGGTTTTTTAGAACCTCCTTAACGAAGATCGTAATAGTTAGATTTGGAGAGAAGTTTCAATAAGTTAGTCAACCAATTGAATAACAACACTCAAATAATGCATAAGATTAATGGATTGGAGCAAAGGAAAATCACGAAGATTCATCCCTTTACATACACAGAGAGATTCAAGATCATTCAAATTTTAAATGATTTAACGTTTATCAAGAACAACTTCTAGATCAATGTTGATGTAGACAAAGAGATTTCTGATTTCAATTTAAAATATTAGAAGTCCCTCTTTAAAGTTTAGTCATTGTTAATTAAATGGATTTACAGGTTCAAAAGAAGATAAAAGTATTATAAGTCAAAAGTAAATTAATTGATAATTGTTCAATCCTTAATAAGGGGGTATATAGCAAGAAATCAACCTAATGTAAAGTAATTTAGGCAGAAGAATAATAAGAAGAAATTGCATATATATGCTATTAGAATTTAAAAGGCTTGGAGAAGATACATCATCAGGAAAAGAAAAAGCGATAGGATGAAGAATATAAAGTTTGAAGACAGTGAATTGGATGAGTTAGGCGAGATTGATGTGGACTTTTTACAATAAGATATTGATCTTAATTTTGACTTGAGAATTCCCTAAGGAATAGATTTGTAGCAGGTTTTCAAATAAAGTCAAAATTAACATCAAATACTATAACAATAAATCACTTAATAAGCACAATAAAAGGTTTAGTAACAATAAGTGCCTTTTAAATAATCAGCTTCTAGCACCAAGAAACCACAAAACAATGTCGATGCCTAGATGAGAACTTCTCATCTATCAGGGACTCAATCGTAGTCTCAAATGGGGCAAAGCAAATACAGTGAAAAAACTACAAAGACAGATTCTCTACCAACAATTGGAGAACGTACTAAAGTAAGATTCTGTTTAGATTTAGAAAATAATGCAAAATTGGAACTTTAAGGATCCTGCTGTGGCCTACACAATTGCTTGCAAGTTGGAGAAGGAACAGAAGAGAAAGAGCAAGACTAAGGAACTAAATCATTAGGAGAGATTAGAGAGATTTAAGAAACATTGAAATAATTTTTATTTTGCTTATTAAATGGGAACATCTGCTCAATCACATATGAATTCTACTTCTTTCTTCAAGACATTTAGGAGTTAGTTTCGACCGATAGAGATCAAGGGAGAGAAGATCGATGGACAAGTTTATGTTTGTGATGCAAATTAAGAGATGATCATCGAATATCCAAACAGAATCCTCGATTAGGAGTCGGATGAACTCTGGCACTAATCTTAATCTATGATTCAACATATTTAAGCCCCCTACATTATCAATTATTATGGGAGTGCGGAAAGACAATCGCAGGAAATGTGTTCCTCATACTCAACGATATTCAGTTATTACGAGTATATTCCTCATAATTTATAGAAGTATGTCATTATGTTTAAGATAGAGAAATTAATGAAAGGAAAGATAATCGAGAATAGTTTGCAGAAAAGGAAATTTGGTATTTGTTATGGTCTTTGTCCCAGGCACTTTATGAACTAAAATAAAAGGGTTACAATCATAAAGACTTAAGACCAGTCACTGTTGCATTAAAGCGAAATGGCATGGTCAAACTATGTCCCATAGGTGTTCTGTAGGACCAAAAAAACTCGGTTGCTAGGTTTGTAGTTGAAAATTAATAAACTTACATTCCTACTACATTGAAGAAATAGTTGATAAACTAATCATAGCCATAAATCAATTGGAACAAAATAGATTCATTTGCCTTAGGACACATAATTCTTGATCTTATGATACTTGATGTGCCCGTATTGGTTGATAATCAATAAATTTCATAATTATAGATGTTATGTTACAATCGCTTTTCCTAACAATTAATTCGAATAATGGAACATCTTATGTTAGAAACTGATAATTAACTACTAGTAGAGGATGTTTACTATTTATTGAAACCATATTCAGAAAGAATCAATAACTTATAAGACTTTTAAATTAATTTTGAAGATGTCAAATAACTAGCAATCCCTTTAAATAGCATGTCAAAATTAAGGTTAAAATCAATTATAGAAACTTCATATAAGCAATCAGAAATACTATATGAATCTTAATAAGTTGATAACACTCAATATTAATAACAACTAAAGGTGAATATCCAACAGCAATTAATTATAGAAGAACAAAAGCAATAATTACTACTCTAATAATAAAAATACCAGTAATAACTTTAAATTTAGCAACAAACTTCAAATCAATAACAATATACTAATACTGTTTTACAATAATAAATTTAACAACAATTATAATAGCCCAACATTAATCAATAAGCAGTATTAATCCAATAACCCACAATTACTTAGTAAATCATTCCATAACCTCCGCCTATACAATAATAGCAAGTCATCACCTAATAACAACCTCCTAATATTATATAATAATAGCAACCTTCTCCTTAACAACACGTAGTAATCCCAAGACCTCCTTAAACACAACAGCAGTTAATTCAAAGTCCAGATTTAAGAAAGTCTGTATCTCCTTAGCCCTAAAAGATCGTTAATTAATAGCCTCAATTACTATAAAGATTATTAATGTAATCATAGCAGATTCCATAACCACCATAAGTTATACCTCCAAAATAACAATAGCCATTGCCTATAGTGACTCCCATATCACCAGTTAATCCAATCAAAATACCACAACAGTATTACCAACCCTAAATTCCTCCTCCTCAACCTCCTCCTGTTGCATAACCTATTTAAAATGTCTATGTACCTCCACAACCTCCAAATATACTGTAATAACAACCCATCCAAAGACCTGTTGTATAGTAAAATGCTCCGATTCAATTGCCAGTTATTTATTTGAATAGGCCTCCTCCAACAAACAATTATAATTAGTCGCCTCCAGGTTAAAAAATTCCAGTTCAATTAGTATAAACAGTAGCTCCGATGGTATATTTGTTATAATAATAAAATGTAGAATGACTAATTTGATAGGGAGATCACTGTTTTGGAGTACTAGCCCTAAAGAAACCAGCCATTAAGGGCTTCTAATCAAGTTCCATAAACATAATAAAAATATTCCTCGCCTTAGACGAGATAAGTAAGATGATTGATTTAAAGTTAGTCGAACAATTTTGATAGAATTCGTAATGTCATTTAAGATTCAGATGAGTTGTTGTAATAATAGCATAAGTGAAGAAAATTAACATTATATTTATTAAGTGGATACAGTCAAATTATTATTCTAAATATTTAATTAAAAAATTCATTTTCCATATAAAATGATGAATTCTTATCGTTATAAAAGATGTGTTGCAGGAAGAATATGTTTTTATTGTTGTGTTTTTGTGGAATAGTGATAAGTTATTGGTGTAAGTCATAGAGGTTGTGCATAAATAATAATAAATATTAGATTTTCTTATATAAAAATGAGTATTTCTTGAAATGAAATGAAAGCATATAAAAATCAATCACATTTTAATAAAGAACTTCTCGTTTAGATGTATTTTTAGAGAAATTTATCTTCAAATAAGATTAACTATTTAACTAATTCCAAATCTTAATTTGTTCGACTTATTAAAGTGAAGAATTCATCAAGATGCTAAGCATTTCTTCCAAATTTCCTACGGAATTATTTGTATATTTCATTAATCCTTTACATATCTTCATTAGAAGTTGAATTCCATATCTTATAATGTGATAAATTCGATTTTTTAAATTCTATCTATCTTTTACTTAGTAGAGTGGCAGGCAGCACTGCTTGATGCATTTTTCCAATGGGAACATCATCTTTTTGCGCCTTCAGCATATTAACAACATCGGGTGGTAAAGAAGACTTCTATGCTGGCGAGTTATTATCACTTATTTATGTTATATCGCTAGATTGTGACATTGTATAAATGAATATAATTTTATATTAATTTTATTATTGATTTAATAATGAATTAAAGAATACCATAAGATTAGATAAATTGTATACATATATCTATATTATATAATTCATTTGTAAAAATTAAACTCTTTCTCAGTTTTCCTAACTACAATTTTGTAGGCTTTATCGAAGTCCTTCTGTATGACAACATACCTGTTCTTCCTTACAGCCTGCATTCCAGCTTCTTAACAGATGGCAGCAATGTCAGCATTACTAATCTTATCAGGTCTGTTGATGAAAGCCTCCAAATCAACTTCCTCTGATAAATTCATTTTTGATGTAACGGTTTAGAATATCAATCGCTTTTATCTTCTGTCAGGGAGAGGGAATTCAATCTTCCTATCAAGACGTCTAAAATGTATAGTTAAATTAAGCCTACCCAGGTCTGAGAAGTGCTGGATCAAGAGTATCAGGCCTATTGGTAGCCATGATCACTTTAACATTAGTACTTTAATCGAAACCGTCCATTTGATTGAGTAATTCAATAAGAATTCTTTAGACTTCTCTATCAGCTCCTGTTTGTGCATCAAAACGTCTAAAATTTGAATAAGTTGCTGAAATACTTTGTTGCAATAGAATCGACTTCATCAATGAATATGATGCTTGGGGCATTCTCTCTTGCCAATCTGAAAACATCTCTAACCATTCTAGGTCCTTCTCCCAAATATTTCTATACGAATTCTGATCCGACAACTCTAATAAAGGATGCAGTGGTATGATGAGCAACAGCTTTGGCTATCATTGTCTTTCCAGTACCAGGAGGGCCATACAGTAAGACACCTCTTGGTGGATCAATACCAATTTGTCTATATAATTCAGGACAAGACAGAGGCAATTCAATAGCTTCTTTGATTTCTTACTTCTATTAATCCAAACCACCAATGTCTTAATAGCTTACATCAGGTTTTTCTTTTTATCAAATATTATTAAATACCTGTTACATGCATCATTTGAATTGAAGAATCTGTTTCTGTCGGCAAAATATCAACAACACTATGTGAATGTCTATGTAAAGCAATTGAGGTATTGGGTTTCAATTTTTCTCTGTCCAAGGTGCTGAGCACTCTGACATAGAGAGTAGCTCCACCATTTGAATTTATCAAAGCATAATTCTCATTCATCATTTCATTAAAATGACTATAGATTATTAGATTCTAATATATACCCAACTGTTAAGGGGACTGCCTAGATTCTTTTTAATTCTTCTCTGCTTCTCACTAATTCTCTTTTCAATCTTTTTTGATCATCTTTCAAATATTATTCTTATATGTCTAAATACTCCAATTCTTGTTCTTTCAATTTGAGCTGTTTGAAGAGTTCAAGTTCCTCCTAGGTTAAATTCTGAGTTTCCACTTCCATTTAATTTCAAAATTATTTAATTAATCATACTGGTGACACGAATTGTCATCCTTATAAAGAAAGATAAAAAAAATAAAATATGTTTATATATGGACTTCGTGTGGATGCTTTTCAGTTTTTCTCCTGGTCTATTTTTTACTGCAGCAAATGATGGAAAGATGTAGCTTCCTGATATATGTAGAAAATTTTAATTCAACTTCAAGTTTTTTGCGAGTCTCCAATTACAATTCTTCGGTTTGTTTCTTCTGTGATTCCAGCTACTACTTTAATTGGCGCTTTCTCTCCACTTCAATTTCAAGGTCCAACTCCAACAATTTATATGAGTGAGGCAAATCTCTTAAGCCCTTTAGATTTTCAGACTGGATGTATTTTGTATAAGCGTGATGCACTTCAACACCACTCTCTTGATACTTGTGCAATACAACTATTCCGATGTATATTTTGAATACCCAATTTCTCTCGATCAACCTATTGATTGTATTTCTCATCCTCCAACTATCTAATTGCTTCTGCCTTGAGCCCAATTAAATGCTGCATAGATAATAATGAGTCCCTAAGGAGAGGATCAATGAAACATATTTTTTAATTGTAATCTAATTGATATTTTAGAAGTTTACTTTTTCTCTTTAAATCCCAGACTTTCTATTATAGAGTTTTAAAAAACAATTTCAGATCTTTCAACTCCTAGGTCTTCTGATCCTCAATTATTTGCAGTTCATATTTCAACCCCTATATTCAGAATACAAACGATCTTACATTCAGAGCGTCTAAATTAGTATTGTTCTTTATCATTATTAATTTAATTTAATATAAATATATATATATTATTATTATCATTTCACTATTAATTAATATTCCTTCTTTTATTGAATGATTAAATAGGGTTCTCTTATAGTAAATCCAAATCCTTCTATTTAGAGAACCCATTCATCTACTGTTGTCTCAAATAATTTAGATTTAAATATGGCGTCGTGGAAATTTATTGAGTGAAGGTTTAATTAGATGTAGCTCCGACTTGATCCTCATTCTATTGAACGAACTGATCGTTGACCAAAAATGGAGAAGCCAATATGGATCCAATTATGAAGGGAGATGCAGAACTTACCTTATACATATTGGCTATTTTCGGCAACTGTAAGGATGAATTTTAATGACAATCTCCTTCATCAACAATTCCAGGAGACAATTGTCTCAAACATTGATTCTCAAAGTACTGATATCCTGGAGAAGTTAAACATTATAACATCATCAAAGGGGTTGGATTTTTCAAATCATCCTAATTAAAAGTGGATTGTAAGTTTAATGCCAACTTCATTTCTTCTGGATTAAAATTCATCTATTATTGTAACTACTACAATTATTGTAATTATTAATTTTATTATATTTATTATTACAATTATAATTATTAAGATTATGCATACATTTATTATTACGCTTATTAAACAAAAGATTACTGAGATTATTGTTCTTCCTATTTTATTATTTTTGGTATGTTTTTTTGTTTTTTAGCATCTGCTTTTTGTTCCTTATTTCTCATTCCCTTCTTATGTCTGCCTCTCTTACCAATTATCCCTTACTTATTTGAATCCATATGCGCAGAACTACTAATATGATAGTCACATACTTTTTTCTGATGTATTGTTTGATCATTTCTATTTCATCACATTCATCATCCTTGCATATTTTGTGTATTAATGACTTGTATCTTATGTAAGTGTGTAATTCAATTACCTATTTTTGACTTGATTCTCAGTTCTCCCATTCAATTACTGTGAAATTTACGACCACTTTTTTCCATTTTTCACAACACTATTTAAAACAATCAAATCTTCTTTGAGCAACCACTGTTCTCTAAGAGTAAGGCTGATAAATTACTTATTTAATTCAGGATTTAAATAATTCATCCATCGCTCTCTAATTTATTTTGGTGTTCGAATATGCCCTTGCAAATTCTTCTCATAAAGAGACACAGCAATCTACGTCCAGATATGCTTATTCTTTTGACTATTATACAATAAGGAATGCACTCTTACTTCATTTAATTCCTGATAAAATCGTCTTCCTCTTAAGTCCAATTGGTTGATTTCATCTATGGATTTATCAAGGTGATCCATCTTTGCTATAAGGTGTGCTTATCTATTTTAAGAATGTGTTCAAAAATAATCCAATCCCTCGCATCCTAAATTATAATCAATTAAACTTCTACCGGTCGAATGGCAATTTGATTTTGCTTCTCAAAATATTTAACTAGAAACCATATTAAAAATAGTTTAAAGGAATTATCCCATTTTCGTTTGCTTCGTAATTTTTCATCTTCCAAAAAGCTAACTTAGAAACTTTAGCAAAACCTTTAACAAATCTGATCAAACTTCTTGTTTTGTGGGTAGATGAACTCTCCTCTAATCTTGAATTACTTTCTATAATCATCAGAAATGGGAGCCGATAGCTAATCACCTAAACTCGCTAGGAAGGTCTGAAATTCATCCATTTTTAATTATAATTATAAGATTGAGAAATTATTATTTTAATATAAGCTAACTTGAGAAAAGTGATAGAAACAACAAAATAAAGACCGATAATCTTATTCATCTTAAATGTAAATTTGAATTTGTAATGGTGTTGATAATTTGATAATTAATTAAATATAAATGCAACAATTCTCTAACTAAACAATTATTTCTGACTAAACTCATATTCAGCAATCTAATCGTTATTTTTAAACATCTGATAAACAAGACTTAAACACATTTCAGTAATTAGACACTGGCTTCCCATTCCAAAATATTTTTGATCTCTCCATATTCGAGGCCAATCAATCTCAACAAGAATAGCCAAACAATTCAATCAAAGAGATGGTTAATTCAATGCTTGCTTCGATCTCCAACAACGAGGAGATCTTGGGAATGACGTCTGCTAACATAGATGATGATCAATTTGACGATTAGTTGGATGATCTAGAATTTAGGGAATGTCTATACGAACTATAACAAAAGGCCCTTAATCAAAATTGTATCTTACACCAAGAGAATTACAAAACCCAAGTGGCAACTTTGTTGATGTGGAATTAATTGTATAAAAATCCAAACAAAAAAGTTGGAGTTTTGACAACCACAATTCAGAAAGCTGACAACTTAGCCAAATAAATCAAAACCCTGCTACCGAGATTGGTTGAAACATATTTAGGTGATTAAAGCATTTTGAAAAAGGCACAAGAGTTTTGTGACAATTTATAAATCATACATCCTAATAAATGTACAGATTTGTGGAATAATTTAGTTTGGTAAGTAATGTTGCAAGAAAACAATATATATGTAATGACAAGTGAAATTTTTGTGAACTCTTTAAGAAGAGGCTATTGGAATTTTACAGATTTTAGTTTCATTTATTTGGATGATTGCTAAAGCACTATTTTTGACAATTCTTATAACCATCTCTTTAAAGAGTTCTATTTTCCCTTAAAGTCATCACTTCAGGTACCCATTATTGTTGGTGTGTATAATAATTCTATGTATGCAAATAATAAATTTATAGCTGATGAATAAATTCTAAAAGACCTAGTACAATTATGTGCTAATATGGATGCCCGCTTTATAAATATTAATATTGAGGCAGTTAAATAGAGGATCAAAGAAACTAAAATAACCATCTCTACATATAAATCCTAAATTGATGAATCTAAAATTCATAAAATGCTTTATAGCAATAATCAATATAGGAAGCTTAATAGCTATCTCCATGATAAGGAGATGTCGAATAACATCTCGTACATGTTAAAAGACTTTACAGATGTTCTCTCAGAATTTAAATCTAATCATAATTAATCAGCCAATATTTCCGAGAAAATAATAGCCAACTACTTTGAATAAGTATTGCTAAAACAAGCTTGGGCCGTGTGTTTTGAACTAGGTTAATATCCATTCAGTATAAATAATTAATTACACTTTAGATTTGATACTAAAATTTATTATTTAACAATTTTAATTATACTTCAACACTAAACAGCTTTAATGTACAGAATTTAGTATACACAACAAATTGGAATGGTTACTGACTGAGACCAGATAACTAAAAAATTAAAACACATTATCCCCTAAGATTAAACTTCTTCATAATTTACTCACTTAGACTTATGAAAATCCATAAATTGCTAATAATCGTATTCTTATCTATGTAAAACATTAAAACTTGGCATTCTATCTCCTTAAAACATTGTAATATATCTCTTAATCCAAATCCTAAGGTAACCTTTCATATTTAAATAGGTTTAAAAATTGGGATGGTTGAGAAAATCAAGGAGGAATCCGATTAAAAGAGAATGTAAATAGATTTTACTTACATTTATTAAGAACTATATTAAAATCTTTAAAGATCTCAAATTCAGTTCTCACTTTCGGATTTAAAAAACGAATTGGTTTAATTAGATTAGATTTTTAATTTAGATTAATTAATATATGAATCTAAATAAAATTGTGAGTTGGATTAATGTTAAGTAGTAATTACATCTTAATTGGATGTAAACTTTGCTTTCGATTTCCAACAATTAATTTGCTTTAATCCATTACCTCATACCATTTATGATTAACTGATGCGCCAGATGAAGGATAAACAGTTATAAATTATCATGATGAGAGAAGATGAGAACACAAATAAAAAATAAAAGATTTAATTCAACTATTAATCTAACTTTTACAATCCTCAAAAAGTTGAAAAAATTATAGATGAATGTACAATCCCCTAAAGAGAACAAATTTTACAGAAGGCGATCGATAATTTATGTATAAATCATTGATATAAAGAAAACAAGGCTATCCACAACATGCATTATGAGTGTTATACGATACAAAAAAGCGGGGCTTTGCTGAATACAAATTGGGCTTGTAATTTGATTGAATATTTTAATCTGTAAATTAATTTAGAAAAAAAAGGTACAAAAGTCTCCAAGTATGCTATTTATTAGTTAAAAAATGGATAGCAAAAATAAAGTGATCATTATATCGCCTTTTTGTTACTCCCAAATTAAGTATAGAATACCATTTTTTATGGTAACAAAGCTTAAGGGGCTAAAGAAGCAAAAGCATCAGTGGCTTTTTAGGCTGCCATTCAATTATATTAAAAAGGATATTTTGATTGTCATCTCAATTCCTATATCTAGAATAATATAGGATAAAATATTGGAGCTCATCAGGTGGATCCTTCAGTAATCATGGTAATTAAATCTTATTAATTTATAGACAAAAGAGTAATTAAACATCCAATCCAAATACTGTTTAATTATTAGATAAAAGTACATCTCTATTTTAAGAGGTATGGTTAAAGAAAGAAAATACTATCACACATGTTAAAAGTCATTGCTTGTTAATGAGAAGCAAGAATCAATTTTTATTAAACAAAAATGCAAATTTTAGAAGGAAAGCATACAACTAATATATCCTAAATAATTTCAAGAAAAATTGAAATAATGTTAGACATTCTTAAAAATGCTTGATATCAGTTTACTGGAAGAACAGACAATATCCTAAGATGAATATTTGGAATTATATAAAAAGTATATCGAATCAATTATATATGAAGAGGATTTAATATCAACGTAAAACGATCATTTTACTAGAGCACGCTCAGGTAAAGCATCATACTATTATAGAAATCAAATTCAAGATACAATTTAAGATTGTAGATTATGGTTTAATTATAATAAGTGATCAATCTAAATATTAATTAATAAAGAAAAACTTCATAGTTAATTAATTCCTTTTGGCTTTGAAATCGAATTTATTTAAAAAACTTATCGAACCAAAATTAAAGATTATGTAAGATTTAGAAGAAGCAAATTAATACAATGTCACTCCCAATTATATATTAAACAATTTAAATCAATTTTACAATCACATAACTCCTATACTATTAAATGTAAAAGTCTAAAATTAAGAACCAAAACTCATTTTAAGGAAAAAACGATAAGAGAAAATGGCAAATACTGGATTAGTAGTGTAAAACTTAGACTAAGTAATCTTGAACTCATTAAATGTATCTGCCTATAAATTAGAAGATTTAATGTTAGGTTCATCCTACTATAAATTTTTAATTACAATTTAATTGTTGTTAAACTATCCTACATTAGATTCTAAGATCTTAGAGCAAACTATTAAACACTTCAGTAGTATTACATATATTAGAAATTGTTTAATGGAGTCGTACATATTTTTATACTTACAAATTTACGATGAGAGTGATATTTCTAAGGCTTTGATTGGATTTGAAAGGTTTGATATTAATTATGATGTTTTATTGTCATAATAATCAGGAGATTTCACTGAATCTCCATTTAACTAAAAAGATATAATGAAGATATCAGATATAGATTTCAAACAATTTTTATAACAATCCTTATAAATTATTGAAAAAGAAGATTATTAATAAACCAAAGGCTTTGATTGGCTAAGGATTCTTAATATAACTAAAAAGTTAGAAAAGTAGATATCATCATAAAAGGATCTGAAGTAGCTCTGTCCTTAGCATATTTGGGACAATTAGAATGTTGGTTAGTTAAAATCTATTTACCAAAAGTTCGAGGAAATAATAAAATATCAGTTTAATAGTTTTGAATTGTTATTTTAGGCTTTGACTGATGTTAGTTTCAAGATGATTATAAATAATGAAGTTTAGTAATAGTACATGGAGAAGTTTTAATCAAAAGATGAATTTTAAGGATGGATATCTGAATCAGAACTGCAAGAGTATATCAAATAAATTGATTAGATGAACAGCATCGCTCAAAGTAGCTATTAGAATTCTGACTTAGCAATTCTTGGAAAATCATTATGGGATTATGCATTAATGAAAATCCTAAATGAGATGAGTTTGGGTATTTATTTTCTTGACTAATTAATAGACAATGCAAGTCTAGTGACTCTATACAAAATTCTTAAGGGGATCTCATTTTTAACTTATGCAGCCATAAAATTAAAAATTCACTAATATTTAAACAGCAGTTTCTAGAAATAATTGCAAAGTTTCGTAGATTTATATGAAAAGACCAAAGATTAATCGATTACTTTTCATATTAGTTCTATACCTTATAATGAGAATTCTATTATGTTAAGGAATGCATTTCTGGCTTTGGTTGGAGCAATTTACATTGATAGTGACTTTGAATTGGCAGTAGTTCTTGAGTGGATTAAATCATTATTTACTTAGATAAATGTGGATGAATTGTATTAACCAGAGTTTTTACAAAGTAGATAAAGATATCAATTTTATTAATGGTAATAATAAATATCACAATTAGGTATCAAAAACATTTTGGAAATCCATTCAACTTTGATTTGATCAAGATCCCCCATTAGGATCAAAAGAAAATTGGTTAAGGAATGTTCTTATACATGCCCTATGATTAGAAGGAAGGTTAGATAGTGAATATAAAAGGAGAGAAGTTTTATTAGATAGCTTAATTACACATTTATGCAAAATGCAAGAGTCAGGCGTGGGATAAGTTATATGAATTAATTGAGCATTGAATGAATGAGAATGATATTTATTATAAATTATTTATAAAAAAATGAAACAACCTTCTGCAGATATTCTTGAGATGGAACATGCAATTGGATATAGTGGAAGAGTAAAATTGAATATAAATATAAGATACCTCGAAGTGTGATCTTGCATCCAAATGGAGTGGAATTCATTTGTATTGCTGGAGCATCTTTAATAATAACTGATTTAAGAGATGCTCACAAATAATCATTTTTATAAGGACATGATGATTAAATCACATGTTTAGCAGTTTCAAACAAAGGTGAATTGGTTGCATCAGGATAGAAGGGAGACAACTCGGATGTTATTATTTGGGATTATCATAGAAAAATTCAAAAATATAGATTATCAGAACATGATTATGAAGTAGTATGCGTAGATTTTAGTCATGATGATAGACTGCTCTTCTCATCAGGCAACCCAATGGATAAAAGAATATTCATTTGGGATTGCTAAACAGGATATATAGTAGGTTCAGTCAATCATACTCCTGAGCCAACAACAATAGCAAGGTGGGGTGGATTTGCTAAAGATATTAAAGGTAGAGATACACCAAAATATCAATTTGCAACATCTGGAAATAAATAAATATGCTTATGGAAATTGGACCCTAAATTAGGAGTGTTTGAGAAAGAAGTAATTAATACAGGAAATTTGGTGAGAGATTACATTTGCATGGAATTTTCAAAAAATAGAGAAGAATATCTTTTGTTAGGTACAACATCAGGAGACTTCTGTGTATTCTAGATGAAAAACAAGTAATATAATTGCATTAATTATTATAATAGATTTTTCAGTCATTAAATTGTAGTTGCTGCTTTGGGAGTGATGTCAATAAGATTCGTTGATTTTACAAGGTTTATAGTTGGAGCAGGTAATGGTACTTTAGCAATGTATTAAATTACAGAAGATAATAAAGTACAACATTATTATAATTTAGATAAATTAATTACATAAAACTGATTTAGGAGGAGCAGTTAATTCAATAACAGTAAGAGTAGATGGTTTAGAGAGTTTGATTTCAACAGATAGAGGGCTGATTTTTAGATTCAATACAAACAGCTTTTAGAAAGGATTACATAGTGAAAATCATACAGGATCAATATTGGATATGAGTTATCCACCAGGAGTTTCTGATAGATTTGCATCAGCTTCTGAAGATGGAACCATCAGACTTTGGGACATTAGTGAATATTATGTAATTGCTAAATGTTAAGCAAATGTCAATGTTGTTCCTTTAAGTTTAGTTTATAGAGATGAAGTGTTATTAAGTGGATGGGCTGATGGTAAGATTAGGATGTTCAGATCTGATAATGGTTAATAAATTTGGTAGATTGATAATGCTCATAAGACAGGAGTGACTACACTTTGCATCTCGAATAATTTGAAATTCTTCTGTAGTGGTGGAGGTGAAGGAGATGTTAGAGTTTGGGAAATGAGAACCAGAGAAATGGTATCACATTTGAAAGAACACACTCATAAAGTTACTAAAGTTAAATTGATTGCTAATGAAACACAGTTATTGACTTCATCTCGTGATAGAGCATTGTTGCAATGGGATTTGAAGACTGAAAAAAGAATTAGTGCTCATATTCAAAGAATGGGTGGAATTAATTCTTTTGACACTGTTCCTAATACTTCAGTTGTTTTTAGTACTGGATAAGATAGGAAAATCTTCACTTTGGGATCTTAATTAAAGTGAAGTCTAGAGATAATTTGAAACGAGTGGGAATCCAAAAAAAGGTTAGAAATTTATTTTAATTTAAGGTGATGAATGTTATTCAATTTGTCTATCCCCTAATTTCAAATATGCAGTCACTGGAGGATCTAATTGTTCAGTCAAATTATGGGATCTATAAACTGGACAGTAAATCTCAGAAGGATTTGGACATTCTGGACCAGTCAACACTGTGTAATTTGCTCCAGATGGAAAATAAGTTATTTCAGGCGCATAAGATGGCGTTGTTATTGTTTGGAATGTGTTCTTATGACATAATATAAAAATATTATATAATTCAATTCAAATTTATTTATACTAATAGACTCAAATAAACTGATTATCAAACCAAATATAAGTCAATTAATTAAATAAAAATGCTTAAAAGACCTCCTGTCCCCAAATTTCATGAAGAATGCAATACTCCTAAAAGAAATTAGGATATGTACGAATTGATTTCCGATATCATTTTCAAGATGAATCTTAATGCAGAAGTAGAAAAAAAATCAATCTCCATCTTTAATGTTTTATCCATTCCAAATTCATATATGCATGCATAAGCCATTGTATATTATGCTATGAAAGAGTTACAATTATAAATTGCCTGAAACTGATGAAAAACTGCAATACTTGGCTAAATGTATATAGTAACAACATTCAACCTTAATTACAACTCTATGCCAAAAACTCAAAATAGATTCAAAAGCTACTACAGTTTGTGTCACTCTCTTAAGGTAAATGTAACCTCTCATTTAAAAATTGCCAAAACCTGTTTAAAATGCAATAGTTGTAAAAATAGCCACTGATATCATATATCTGAAATAAGGTGGTATCAATATCAATATAATTGCAAACTCTGCAAATATTACAACAGAACAATTAGATTCCAACATTAACAGAATCAAACCATTTGCATTCTAAATCATTTAAGATTTGTTCAATTATTTCAATCATCATTCTATTTGATTATATTTTTATGTTTATGTTTTCTAAATATATCTCTTAAATGGAAGTATTAATTCTAATTCAGATACATGTGGATTATTCAGTTTTAATATTTACTGCTTCTCATTAAGATATTAAAATCATTAAAGAGTCTTTATATAATTATCAGTTCTAATTTAAAATATTTATAAAAACTGTTAAATAATTTAATTTTTATAAAATTATATTAATTTTATACAAAATCCATTCAATTTCCTTTGTTATGTTAGTGATGCTATTACCTAATTTATTTAATATTCAATTAATTTCAAATTGAATATGCAGTAATTAAATTTATTGTAAATTATTTTAAGTATAAATTTTATGAATAGTATTGACACTTTACACAATTAAAAATTTAATATATTAATGAATCTTGATTTTGAGATTACGTTAATCAAGTTCGCAAGTGCAAACTTGAAAGTGTTATGTGAAACACATGCTTTTAATAATAGACTTAGTAAATTATTATAATTAAATTAATGTCGAAATATGTAAAAGTAATTAAATTATTTTTTTTTAATTAAAATATATTAACAGTTTATTATTTTATTATTATAATGATTCTCGAAATTGTATTTAAATTATTTTATAAACATTCCCTTTTGTTACTTTTTAAGTGATTTGAATTTATAAATATTTCTTTTAGGCAAATTCCACTGATCTTAGATGCAGAGGGTATGAGGTTTGTAAATTTCAAATTTAAAAATAATATATTATTCAATATATATATCAATATTTTGCTCACTTATGCTTCAACAAATCAGAAGTATCCTGGATACATTTAAAATTATTGTTAAAATCCTAAGTTAACTGGAAATTAATGATAATTTGGATATATCTGATTATTTGGAGCATAATTCATATATGCATTAGGGAAACTAAACATACCATATTAGTTTCCATAACATATTTATTATGGTTAAATTTAAGGTACAGAGAAATGGTTATTTTACTGTTGAAATAAGTTTGTTGTTTGAACAATCTAGTTTGAAGATTCCTGACTTATTTTTGTTTTTTCAGTTAAAGAGACATCTAAAAAAATCAATAGACTATGTTACTTGTGGCACTGATTGCATTATCAAGAGAGAGAGGTTCTACTTTTGGTTTTTTCAAATTGGACCCTTCAGTATTCAATAGTGGAGTGTCTATTCTCTTTTAGGCTTCTTTCTTGGCCAAGAAGTCAGACATAAATTGTGTAACTGTCAAACTCAATTTTTAATCTGGGTTCTGTACGATAGCTTTGAGTAAAGATCTCTCTTCGTTTTCTTAGACCTGAATTTAATATAGAAAATTACATTAAATCGTTTCAAATTTCTAATGATTCCATTATATTAGTTTTTGATTTAATTTTCACTTCTCCCATTCATTTCACTCTGTATTTTAGACCATTTCTTACCATAATCTAAAATCAATTGTATGAGTTTAATTTTTTCCTCTTTAGTCCAACTCGACCTAGAGATGCTTGGATTAAGAACGTTATTCCATCTCTCTCTTATTTATTTGGGGTACCTCTAAGTTGAGGACAATTAGTTAAACATAATAGTTAGTTCTGTCCAATTATTTTTTGAATAGTGTTAACTAAAATATATAAAAATCTTACCTTGCAATATCTGTCAAAATCTGATCTTCTTCTTTGGTCCAAGGGGAAATTTTTAGATTGGAATGAAGTAAGGATATCCATTTTAATTCAACCAATTACTTATCCACACAGAGTATTTTCGATATATACTCCCAATCTCTGTCATTCTAACAATAAATAAAAACTATTACAGGAATTAAGTCAGATCTATTTTAAGACATTAAATATTTTGTCATGCTCCAGATAAGCAGAATTTTGTCTTGCTGATGCCATTTCTTCCTGTTCGAATCATTAGTCGATCTAATTATAGTAGGAAGATAACAATACTTTGAAAAAACTTCTTCATAGTATTATTTCATTTATTGGTCAGATGGAAATTGGCTGGCTCGAACTTTTACAAATTATTTAACTGTTTCTTCGTCAATGGGATTTAAAATCTTGATTGACTCGATAAAATCAAACCATTCCTTGGGTAGTGAGTCTTTTATTTATATCATAAAATTAAATATAATCAAGATTTGTAAAGATTAATTGGTTTATAAATATTGGTCAACATCAATAAGATAATTTAAATCAATTTTTTAATTGATTGTGTACATATATATATTTATTAACATTGTTCTATTTTTATCTTAATTATAGTCTGAGTTTATTATTAATGGATAAGTTTTTTCAAATTTCCTCTCACAATAACTTTCTTATTTTCCTTTTTTCAAATGTTCATGAAGAAAATTACATTATCAAATTATAAAATTTATTTCTTGAGTAATATCAAACCCCTCCATTACTCCACTGTCTATCATAAAAAATAAACTATTCCATTAAATATTTGTAAATCCAAAACAATTCGCTCTCTCTCCTCTATGAATATTTTCATCAGTTTTTAATCCCGTCTCTGGTACTGTGCCCCTTTTCCCTCTCATTTTTCTTTCAAATTCCACCTTCAAAAGGCTAGTTGCTATCCCAATCACCTTATAACATACAATTCTTATCGATCCTAGACATACCCTGAAACTCTAGAAATTCAAGGAAATTTATTAACTTTATGTCAGACCTAAAGATGTTGACTAAAATTAAATTATCTACAATTTAAGGAAATAAACAATCAAAAATCTATCCAATTATAAGTCTTCCTACTCCCTTAATTCATGAATATTTTTCCAATTATTTAATTTTTTGTTGTAAAGAATTTATAATTATTCCATGTACATGGTTCAGTATTTAAAACAAATAACTATTTATTTATATATAATTGTGGCAGGATTTCCACAATTAAAGCAAAATCAGAGATTCTATGACATCATTGATGTTGTTTAACATTAAATGAAATTTTATATTAAAATCCTAAAGAAATTTCAATATTTAAAATATTATTCGATAATTATAAAAAATGTTTATTTTCAAAAAGTCATTTTATATAGAATTAAAAACTGAAATTTAATAGCTTTTCCTTATGTCCCATATGTTCAGTGATTTATAACAATGAGAATAAATTATCATTGCATAATTTTCTTCACTATCAATTTCTATTATAAATTTTTTATATAAATTGTTTTAATAATATATGATTGTTAATTAATAAAACATTTAGACTATTTTTTTATTAATTTTATTTACAATAAAATTCAATATAAGCAGTACTAACTTCACTCCTTATTTTTAAAAGGAATCAGATAATTTCTTTTAGCAATTCGAATATTTAATTTTTTACAGTGAACATTACTCATTTTGTATTATTTAATTTGAGTATTACAAATTGATTCTTGTTTATAATATTATTAAATTGCTAAAAGAGGTTTAGAATTTAATTGTAATCAACATTTCCTTGTTGAAAATTTAGTTGGAAATCTCAAATCAAATAATGCCCAAATAATTTCTATCTGTAACAGCCTCTATAATTTTTAACGTTCTATTATGTTTTCATTTATTTTATAAAGTTGCTTATTTGAATAATAATAAGTTCACAGATCTCCATTTGAACCACAATTGTTAGTACTATGTTAATTTAGTATCTGATAAAAGTCAGAGTGATTAGTTTATAATTTAATTATTCATAATATCAAGTACTAATATGTTATGATAATTTAATATATATTATTTCAAATATTTTCAACACTCATAATGTTAGATTTAATTCGTATTTCTCATAAGAATTATACTGATCATTAGGAAAGGTTGGGTAGAATGCGACACAAGCATCAGAACTGCCAACATATATCATGTTATAAATTCTCCAATATATCAATCTCACCTAATAATAGATATAATATTAATACCCTTCTTGCAGGATGATACAGGCCTTATAATGCATAAAGTAAAATATTGCCTGGTCCAAGACTGACTCTCATTCCTTCAATGGCTTCCATAACAGCATTAATAACATGAGGTGATGTTTCGAATATGTTTGGCCAAACATGATTCAATAAATGCATAAGTTGTTCTTCGCATCCTAAGCATTGGACTCCAAGAGCTAAATGTTTAACAGCTGATGAGGCAGTTTATCTATGAACAAGATCTCTATCAGTCAAAGCATCAATTAATAATGGAATAACTGAATTAATATAAGAATACGCAGTTGGTCCTATGTATTCAAACATAAAAGATAATGACTTTAAAACACCATTTTACACATTTAATTCTCTAACTCTATACTCATTCATTAGAGCAGGTAAAACAGTAAAAGGACCGCATGTTTCTGCTACAATTGCAATAGCCACAGTAGTACAAACACGAAGTTATCTTTCTTAAACTTTAAGATTATTTAAAAGAGTAGACAAAACATCTTAGGGTCCTATGGCTTTGGCAATATAACCAAAAGTATTGATAGTTGCTCTTCTAATCCCTTTTTTGTGAGCCTTCAATAAATCTAACAAATCAAAACATATTCTGATCCATTCTTTTGGAGAGACATGTTCTGGTCCTCGATCTGCAATTCTACCAACTAAATCAATGCAATTCTGCTTAAACCTTCTCATGTCTATTTTTTAAGATGGGTGTCAATCTTGGCAATAAATCTTTAATAGGAGGGGACATCTTATTCATTCCTATTACATTGACTATAGCCTTCAATCCTCCTAAGATAGATCCTAGAACTTCTGGATATTCTTCACCTAGACATTCAAATAATAACTAGCCTAATCTTCCTAATCTTGCTTCTTCTTAGCAATTCTTCATGCAAACTGCAATTTTACCAATCAAATCAGCTGCTTATTATCTAACTCTGGGTGATTTATTAGATAATCTCCATTATAAAACACCACCTAATTAACTGAAATAAGGCTTAGATCTACTGCCAAAAGCATTAATTATAGATCCAAATCCACTCAACATTGTTTAGGTATCTTCACTTTGTTATTCATTAAATGCCCATAAGACTCCATCCATCAATCTGTTTTCCAATTTCGAATCGATATCTGATACTCCTAGTTAATTTATAAACTTTTCTATAGTTTCCACAACCATCTTTCTAAATGATTCATTTTCATCTTTGAGATCTCCTACAATTCTTTCTAATATTTCAGCTGCTCCCACTTTAGCAGCTATTTCACAGGTGGTTTCAACCATTTATCTGTAATTTCTTCTGTCTGTGGCTGTTCTTTTGCTCCAATAATATTTGAAGAATTCAGGCATTATCTGATCTCTTACATAAACAGCCTCTATACCTGCACATTATATGCATTATTTTATTACCATTAATACAATCTTCTTCATTTCCTCTTCCTATATTTCAAATTAGTTTTTCAATATAGGAACGATTGCTTTAACATACTCTGTTGCATGTTCCACATCCATTAATGGAATGATGAATCCAATCGCTTTTAAAAATGCTGCTAATCCTTTACCCTTATGTGTTTTGATGCCCTCCCACAAAGGAATAAGCACATTATCAAATGCTTCAATACCATATGGAAAGGAGGCTTCCGCCAAAGCAGCTAATGCTAAAGCTGTAATAGTTTTTACTTTTTATTATTCATCTTTTAATCCATGTTGTATAATTTCAACTAGTGATTTCAGATGAGGCAGAATAGCACATCCCATAAAGATACTGATTTATTGAACTATTTTAATACCAGTATGTCTTGCCTACCAACTCTTTCTACTCTAACAGACAGCCTTTAAAAATGGCAACAATGCTGGAATACCCAAAGCCGAAGCCACAATAGCAAATGCTCTTGCAGTTGTGTTACGAACATAATCATCATTATGATCAATATCAGGTCTCATGGTAGTAATCATAGTAGCCAAACCAGCTGCCTTAGCTAAATTGGAAATGATCTCTCTAGCTTCAACTCTAGCATAGTAATCTTCATGAATTAACAATGGTTAGATAACAACTAATATCTTATGTACATATGGCCTAACCAAATCATCCAATTTAAATAGGACTCTGTCAATTACTTTCACCAATAGATGTCTCTCTTGATCCTCTAAAGTTGGAGACATTAACAATGGTAAGATCTAATTGAATAATGGAGCAGGTCCAAATTCCCTGGCACTTTAAGTAATTTATCTTAAAGCTGACTTTCTCATTTAAGGAGTTCCGTTCTTTATTTTCAAAAGCAAAGCCATAATCTTTCTCTCTTTTGCCTATTCTGGAGTTAATTCATCCTCATTGATTGGTTGTAACAAAGCTGAGAATAAATTATACTCTTCTGGCTTAATTGCTGGTAATTGACCTATAGTAGGATGAGAGGGAGTAGCTGAAACTTCAATACGAATAGATTCTGGTATTTAATATTGCACTGGTGATTCAATACTATCTTTTGCATTAAGTAATTTCTTTAATGATGATCTCAATGGTTTATAATTCTCAGGTGCTCTTAATATCTATTTTATTAATTTATCATTACCTCATAACCATCCTTTGGACCAGGTAAAATGCTGGTTAATTCCTCATCAGTCATATATTTATTTCTCTCTTCCATTTCTTTTTCCAATCTAAACTAGTATACTCTATCAGGAGTCATGTTTCCTAATTATCCAGGAGTCATTGGCGTCCTCATTACAGTTCCTGGTGTATGAGGTGTCATTCCTCCTCCAAATCCATGATTGACCAGCCAAAGGTGTTCTTTCTCCCCATCTGGCTTTTATATACGAACGGTTAGGAGTGGGAGTTTCTCCGTATTTATATGGGGTATCTCCAATTTCCATATGTCCAGGAGTAGGCGTTTCTCCAAATACTGTTCCTGCTCGACCTGGAGTAGCTTATAATTTATTTGTATTATCCCATCTGGATGCTCTTGCAGATGATTATGGACCATCTAAATATTAATGAACTATTTAAAAATACCTCTTGATGGGGTTTCCCATTTTTAAGGCTTTTTAGAAACATCTTTGCTTTCTTATTCCCATTCTGATCTTTCCTATTTAATTTATTAAGCAACATTTTATTCCACCTTCACTTGTTGTTTGACCAATTTTTTTTCCTCCTTATTTAATGTCTCTGTCTTTTTAATTTTATTTTCAATTTCAGATCTGGAATTCTCCAAGTCCTATTAGATCATGATTTCTGCGTATGTTCTCCCATTCTCACCTCCTTAATCATTGAACACATCTTTTCTTTCTGGACTCAACTAGCGGTTCTTTTGCTTGTACTTGAACTTTTCTTCAACTTTGTCTAAATTTTACTTTCTTGTTTAATTGTCCTCGCCAATTTATGCAGCTTCTTCCAAAATTTGTTTTGGTGCCGTATACGCAAATCGTTATTTGCCCTGCTCTTCAGTCATTTAATTTAAATAATAAATAAAGATTTTATATTAATGTGTATATATAATATATTATTATTATTGGAAGAGCCTTAAAAAGAAATAGATTATCTATGACTCTACACAAATCTAAATAATAACATTAAATGAATTTATAAATAACAATTAAATTTAATAGATATGTAAAGCATAGTATAATTGGACTGTTTGAAGCATAATAACCAATAGATCTGCATGTTAGACATTGGAAAATCCACTCTAAATGGATCTAGAACCCTTTGCTAATCCTGTTTCAACAATTTGAGCCAAAAAGAGAATGTGATATTTCTTGCCTCTTTTTATGAAAAGTTGAATTAGCATAAAGATAAGGAACATCGTTGGATAGAGGACAAGAAATAAGAGCTCCATAAAAAGTTGTCACCTTTGATCAAGCACCTTCAAGAAGCTCAGAATAGGCTAATTAAAATTTTAGAATTTGCTTAGACCGAATTTTAGTAGTTTTAATCGATTATAGAATAGAGTTTGAACAATATGCAAGTGAAATTAGCGGCATTGGGGTAAAATCCAACAATTTCACAACTCGAAGAACTAGCCGAGAGAATTGGCAAAGGAGATCGACTTATTCCTTTTGATTTCTCAGCTGAATGCGAGAAAATGTTAACTAATAGATAATAAAATTCTTTAGGTGAACAATCTAGAAGGTTACAGGAACTATTCAAAGAAATCAAAAATATATTCTCTTATCTAGAAAATAAAAATATCAATGAGTTTGTTTTGGCTTATGAGAGCTAGGTTGACAAATTATGCTAATCTATTGGAGTAAACTACTAGGATAGAACAGTAGCAATTTCTGAAGACAAAGATATTTCTCTCTGGAATCTTGATAATTATGCGTTTGATAAAATAGATTATTTGAAGGGACATCTCGAAAAAGTCACTTGTATTTAATTTAGTTAACAATAAAATTGGTTTGTTTCTGGTTCAGATGATCAAACATTAAAAATTTGGAAAATGAATAAAGATCTTTGGTGTTGCACTCAAACTCTGGATGGACATCAAAATTATATTAGTGATATTAAAATTAGTAATGACGAGAATACTCTTATATCATCTAGTTTTGATTTTAAGATCAAAATTTGGTAATAGAAAGATCAAAAGATTTGGTTCTGTTCTTAAACCCTTGATAATCATAAAAACTATGTTTATTATTTGTCCATAAATGGATCTAATACACTTTTTGCTTCATCTTCTTGGGATTTCACTTTAAAAATTTGGTAGTTAAAAAGTAGAAAATGGGAATAGTATAGAACAATTGAGAAGAGATAAAATGAATGGATTAAACGAATCTGTTTTTTAAATGATACTTAAATAGCTTGTTAGATTGTTGGATAACCAAAAATTGTAATAATGTAAGTCATTGGGAATAATGAGATATCATAATTGCAAGAAATTCCATTAACTGAAAATGATGATGAGTACTCGTATAATCCAATGATTTATTTTTAGAAGAAGAAGCTTATAATTTTGAAGAACAACAAAAGCACACTAATACTCTAAGAAAAAAATAATGGATTATTTTAATTGATTCATACTATTAAAGGAAATCATCAAAGTCCAACTATAATTACAACTGGAAAGAGTTTAATAATGTTTGAGAAGGATAAAAAAAAGTTGTAATTATTCAAGACCTATTGAGATTGATAATGAGTTTAATCTATTAGATCTGATTATATATAAATTTTATTATTGAATTCTTTATATTATTGATCATAATCAATTAAGCAATTCATGCTCTAAGGCTTATCTATCCCACCATCCTTCAGAGTCAAAAGTGAGATATTCTCCAGTCGATTTGTCCTTGAAGATTAGATTTCTATCCAATTTGTGGTAATGGAGATTCCAAAAGTAATTCTCTAATTTTGTATTATCAATGAAGATTACCTTTTATTTCTTGCTCTGAAAAATCAACATGCTCTAAATCAGATATTTAATGCAATTTGGTGATCAATTATCCAAAAGCACCTACTTTTTGAACTGCAATCTAATGTGTATGAGGCAATAAATCCATTCTGATGACTGTTCTTCTAGTAAGTTCATAGAAGTAGGCCTAAGATTTATAAATAGTTAGTACGTTGAATCCAACAGTGTAGCCAAATAGGGCAACCAAAGCATAATAGAGGGGATATTTAGTAGTTAAGAAGAAGATTCCTCCCACGATTTCTAAGGATCTACCATATCTGAAGGGTTTTCCGAATCTGTATGAGGTGTATATATTGATGCCGTTCTCGTGAAGCTAAAGGGATGGAATGGATGCATTACCTTAGGTGGGAAATAGACATCGGAAACAGCTTCAGCTTAGACACTTGAGAATGAAGTTGCAATATATTTGACGATAGTTGAATTGTAGAGGCTAGTTAAGTAATTGAATAAGGCAATACGGTGTGATTTTGGGTAACCAAGTGTAAGTAGCAAAAAATCTCTCTTTTGCTTCTGGATGCATGTTAATGAAAACTCTATATTTATCAATGTCGACTTTAGTCATTAAATCTGGTCTGTTTGGTTGGTGATGACTGGCTTTGAGGTGATGATCGCTTGCTCTGAATTTACTCAGATTCACCAAAGATCGAACTCCATTAAACTTTTACATTATTAATATTATTTGATTTAAATATATAAATTTTCATTATTTTAATCAAAACATTAAATAAAATTTTTATTGTTCCAAAATGCATAATTATCGCGGAGTTAGACCGTCTACTGCCAAAATGAACACACTGCCTCCAGAGACAGAAAATCTGGAAGAGTATATGTACGATATTTCATATTAAGGATAGGAAAATACTTTATGATCACTAAAAGGCTTGTGAGAAAGCAGGTAAATATTTGGAGGCTGATTGTGCAAAATAAAGATTGAAAGATCTCAAAATTAAATACGAATCCAGAGCTAAATTAGATATAAGAGACAGACATGAATAAGAAGTTGATTTATAATTCATAATTTAGAAATATGAACTAACTAAATCACATCAAGAAGAAATGCAAAATTTCAATGCTTTTTGGGATGAAAAAATATAAGAGTTTGAACAAGATGCATAGAAGCTTAAAAATGAACTATAACAAAAATAAGAAGATGAAATGCAATAATTCCTATAAGATTTAGAGGGTTCTATTCCATAAACTCCCAAAGATTCTGCAGAATTATTGAGTCTCAAAAAAACAGAAGAGTAATTAGCGAGATAAGAAGAGTACTGTATTCACGCTATATTAGATATTTGGAAGCACATAAAATACAATCCAGAATCCAATAGATTTCGAAAGAAGAGCAAGAGAAGTGGACTTTAATGAGGAACAATAAAATTAAGAATCTCCTCCAATAATAAAAGATCAAGCAAAATAACGAAACCAATGTGCTAAATTAAAGAATTGAAAATGCTTAGGAAGAATAAAGAAAAATCAAAAAATCTGAGGAAGAAAAGTAGAATCTATATTTATAATAGATTAATTTAAAAGTATATTAACGTGAAAAAAGAATTAGAAGGGAAACAACTACAAGAATTACAAAGGGTTGACAAAGACTTTAAGAATACAACGTCTAATTTTATAGCTTCTAGAATGTCAAAAATGGCATCTCAATCAGGTTCCTAAATGTAAAGCGAAGATTGTAAACTAAAAATTATATATTCTAGAGTAATTCAAAGGGAAAAATTGAATATCAATTATAACATTATTTATTATATCTTACTCTTTTAATCATGATTCCATAAACACCTTTTGAGTGAATTGCTATTTATATTTTAATTTAAAATGCTCCTCAATTACAATAAATTGTATTTTATCAGTAATTTATATCACAATTGGGGGACTAGGATATTCAATAAGAATTAGTGGTGGAAACCTATGGATATCTTTAGCCATGCCAGTTTTCCTAAAAACTAATTAAATTAAGAATAAATTTATTTAATTTATGATTAAGCCACTCAAGAAATAAGTTAACTGATTCTTTTCTTTAGCATTTGATAATAAGTCATCGAATTTTTATTTCTTTATAAACAATAGAGTATTTGTATAATTGTTTTAGAATAATATGAAGTAAAAAAATAATCCAAAATAATTTAAGGTCTAAATTAATAATATTTTATTCATATTTTGATCAATAAAATAGAAATAAAGATACTCTATCATTGCAATCTTACTAAGAAAAACTTAAGGATTTTTGAATTAAATTTTAAGATATTGTAAAAATACAACTTGACAAAGTTAAGAATGTTAGGGTTTTTCAATTGGAATAACAAGAAAATTATAATCGAACAGTTTTTTTAGGGGATTTGCACATTAAAATCAAAACCTTAAAAAAATTATGAAGATTAATCATTAATTAAGTATAGCATCACTTTTGAATTAAGAAAATATAATATGGAAACTATTATAAGCAGATATTATCAAAGAATGTGCTAGTAATTAATCTTTCCTTTTTTAAATTATGCAGTTTTGAAAAAAGACACAAATATTGATAAGAAGGCGATTCGGAAAATTATCAGATTGATTTTATAAATCAACCTCTTAACTTATGATACTCGTTGGTAATTACTTCAGTCCAAGCTTACTTCAAATCAGCTACTTTAAAATTCTTCTTTAACTCAGATGTAATTTAATTTGAATTAAATTCATTTACAATCATCTCTAAAACAGTATGATATCTTTCTTCACTGTAGCAATGAAGAAAAATTCTGTTTTTCTGATATTCTTTTAAATTTGTAAAGTATTTAACCTATTCAGTTGGAAATAGAGATCCACCATTAGTATAAAACAAAGTTTCGGTTCTAAGAATAAATTTAAGTTTATACCTTTCAAATGCATCGTAATAGTCTGGTATAATAATAGTATAGGACTTTTGAAATGCATTTCTATAATCAGTGCTTCCACCATTTAGTTAAATTCTATGCTCCATTCACTTTAGATTGACACTTTCACAATCTATTGCGATTCAAGCAACATGATTAAAAATAGTAACACTCACTCTAGCATTTGGATTTTTCTATATTTCCAAAGCGTAATTTAAACAACAATTTTTCTCAGTATTCCCAAACATCTCCCTTCAAAGATTTAGAATCCTCAATCATAAAAATATAATGAATTTTTTTCAATTTCAAATTTGTAATGGTATTTTTTTGTTCTATTTCTGATTAATACACTTGAAGCCTATTTTTCAATTGCTCGTTTTCTGATACTGTTCCTTCAGCTTCACTTTCTTATTAAAACCTTTGCAACCATTATTTTAATTGATCATTTTCAGCTTTTATTGCTGATCTTTCAGTTTCACTTTATTAATGAAAAATTAATTATTGGGTTTGCGTTTGCTTTAATGATTAAATTTTGGATTAGTTGGATACAACTATAATTCTTTAATTTTGATTTTTCATGAAATTATTGTTTTTCGAATTGCTATTATTAGAACTCTTCATTTAATTATTAATAATCAATGCTTTACATCAATAATTCTTTATAAAGACATACTTCTTTCTTTTTTATTTAATTAAATCGATACTTTTATTATAGATATTAGTTTATGGATTATTTAATCATCAAATTAAGGATTATCAAATGGTTAGGTGATGATTCATTCTCTTAAGGAAATCTTAGCTTTTAAAGCTCTTACAACCAATATTCATTATCAACAACTATCTACCAATTTTAATTATCAACAACTATCTATTTAAGAAAATCATCAATTCTATTGAATGACAACTAAATGGCTTATTTAAAGGTAAATACTTCAATATTTTCTTATAATTTTTCACATAACAGTTTTATACAAAAAAAATACTAAATTTTGGGACTATTGCTTGTAATCATCCAAACTTTGAATCAAAGGATTCTAATATAACAAAAATGCTATTTAATAAAGTAAGATGTACAACAAAATGTAGTTTATCAGACGGGTTTCTTATACAACATAATTAATACTATAGAAACTATTAAGATTATTTTTCTAATTAAATTAAAATAACAGTATTTTTGGCTATTTTATTTTCTTGTTCAATTCCTTCTAGGATTAAAGATTACTTGCTACTTAAAGTTAAAGTGGCTTAACAATAAATAGTGCTAACAACTATTACATTCCAAGTATGTATTGAAGACCCAAAATTGGAATCAATTATTGTTGAATGTTACTGCTTTATATATACAAGCTAAAATATTTATCTAAACTCTCTGCGATAATTAATTTACTTTTATTAGATATTTTTATGGCTTCTTTGTTGCAATTAGTCTGTAAGAATAAAAAAGGTTACCCCATTATCTAATTAAAAAAACTACGATGTTTTGAGGTATTTAAAGCTCTTTCACAGGGCATTTTGTTTTTATTTTCTTGTTCATATTAGATTAAAAATACCTTTATTTGGAGCATTATCTGTATAAACTATTTTCAAATTTTATTACTATTAAAGATAATAAGTAAATTAAGATATGAAGCATTAATTTATTTAATTTATATTAATTAAAAAAATGAGAATATTATTGAAACTATAGTCAATATTATGGGGCATCTAAATACCGATATGATTTTGAGAAGTTATGGATTAGTATTATTTATATCACATTTTGGAGGAACTTCAAAGTAGTTGGGGTCAATAGGTTAATTTAGAGATAAAAATTAAGGAATATAAAAATATCATCCCAATATAAATGTTAAAACAGCAAATTCAATTAGAGGGTCTTAATAAAATAAATAAAATTGTTAATCCATGCTAATAAGTCCAAAATAGTCCAAAATAAGTTTATTGTCAATGGACCGAGCAATTATGTAAAAATCTTGTCATTAAAAGATATTTTGAAAATCAATTACATGCCACCAGTGTTGTCAGATATGGGTATATAAAAGTATGTTATCTAAGAAAAACTTAGTAATTATCCTTTAATTTTATCCATATAAAGTATAATATTGTAATTTTATAAAATCTTATTTTAATAAAATAATTTCATTAATGGACAATTTATATTATATTAATATTAATTAACTAAATTGGCAATGTACGAATTGCAATTAGGAGATTTGATTGGGAATGTTTATAAAGTTAAGAAACTTCTATCTTAAGGTTCCTTTGGTAGGGTATATTTGGGAAGAAACATAGAGAGTGGAATGAAAGTCGCAATAAAGGTTGAAAAATAGGAAATGTCAAATTGCTTTAGTATAGAAAGAGAGGTTAGTTGAGACATTATTAGTAGGTAAAAATATTGAAGAAATTACGAGGTATATCTTAAGTGCCATAGTTACTTTGGCACGGAAAGCACAATGAATTCTAAGTCATGATAACAAAGATGCTAGGATTTGATTTAATTTATTTCTTGAAAAAACACAAGAGATTCTCAAATGAATGCATTTTCAATATAGCTTAACAAATGATAGAAATATTAGAGAATATTCATAAAAAGTATTTTTAATCATATTATTTTAGGAATATACTCCATAGAGATTTAAAACCAGAAAATATTTTGGGTAAAAGACATTCAGATCAGATTTATCTAATTGATTATGGGATTGCAAAAGATTTTGTAAAAAGTAAGAAATAAAGTTAAGTGAAAATTCCATTTATTGGAACAAGCAGATATGCAAGTATCACAGCTCATCAAGGATTGGAGTAATCAAGAAGGGATGATTTAGAATCCTTAGGTTATGTTCTGATATATCTTTTCAAACAGAAATTACCTTGGTCTAATTATGAGAACAGTGAATATGATCGTTTAGAGAGGATCGGGTAATTGAAAAGTGAAATACCGCTAAAAGAAATTTGTGAAGGCTGTCCACAATAATTATATAAGTAATGACAAAACAAAATTTAGTTATATGATTTAGGTGGCAGAATTGAATCATCAATAAGTACCAAATTATTAAAAGCTGAAGTCCATTTTTTAATCGAAAATTAATCACAAATAACATGTGATTTTTGATTGGTCAAACACTTAATTGGCTAATTCAAAATCTAGTCAAGATAGAACTAAAAATAATTTGAAATAAAATAAATATGATAGTGTTTAGCAGATAAAGCTGTATTGACAATATAAATTATAGTAGATCTATTGAGAAGATGAGTTCTAGACATCTTCATACAATCACATTCCATGTTGACTCTAATGCTTCTTCCTGTTTCAATAGTCAACAATCAAGCAGTATGCAGCACTCTTTTGGAAGTCACCAAAGTGTATAAGTTGATTTTATGAATTCTGATTCGAGTGAACATACTCAAAAACAAGAAATAAATAAGATATCGACTTTTGAGGCTTTCTTAATAACTGATGACATCATGCCCATCAAGGATTAACTTTAATTGATGGAATTAGAAAATTAGGATCTAGAAATTAAACATACTTTGCTGCATTACCATTCAGTCTATTATAACTTCAAAAATCCATTTTAGAGTTTGCTGCAACTAAGAATGAATTGATTTATAAACTTCCTTTTTCATATAGCATATTACATCCGAATTTGAAATGGATTTATCCAAATAAATTTATGTATAATATCAACAAATAAATAAAATCAATAGACATCTTCATATCGATAGGCTCTTTTAAGGCCTAATCTTACAAGCAATTACATCCTTTGATATGAAATCAGCACAGTTCATTGCATTTACCCCTGAGACCTTTTTATCAGACATAAAAATAAGACCAGGGATAAAGTCATTTTTGTTATTCTTGTCTTTGGTACATACACAACCCATCCAAACACAAATTTAAAATATAAATATTATTATTTCTTGATTATGCATTCTGCGTACTGAACTTAAAATTTTCAATATATTTTGAATGATGGACCAATTTTAAAAGGTTGTCAAATATTTCCTCAAGTTTGTCTGAGACTAATCCTGCCTTGAATTTTAAAGGATTCTACCTTAGATATAATATTAATAAATTTAGAAAAGACAACCCCAAATTAAAATAAAAAATGATTTTAATGCTGTTGCAAATATTATTCCGAAATTCTGATAGTGAATTGATTCTATAATCCTATCTAAAGAGTATTTAAAAATGAATATTTGGTAGTATCTCACATCTCCAATGCAGTTAAGGATACAACTTAGGCTTAATTAATAGCATTAGTGATTGATCTGTTGGTAACTCTGACTTTGAGCTTATTTTTAGACCGGATGCCAAAATAATAGAAGGCAGAATTATCTAATTGAATATTTGATTAATGTGTGCAAGTATCTGTCATTGAAATTATAATATCATATCATAATTTTATATTAAATAATATATATAATTTATACACATATATATATCTTTTGGGAAAAATGAATGTAGTTATGGAAGGAGGATTGGAGGAATCCCTAGAAGATAATATTATTTATGCAATAGCTAAGGTTTTGGACGAAATTGTCTAAGAAACAGACATTATTGAGAGTCCAATTTAAACAGTCTTTCATACCAATAAAAAACCCTAAATCACAATTTATAAATATATCGAGCGTATCAAGATGTACTCTTATTGCAGCAATGAATGTTTCGTATTGGCTCTGATATATATAGACAAAGTGCAGGAGAGGAACCAGGATGTTGTTATAAATAGTCATTGCGTTCATAGGTTGATATCTAATTGTTATAACCATAGATTTCTGTTGGCCTGCATTCTTTTGAGCATTAAATACAATGATGATGACTATTACAAGAATGATTACTACGCTCGAGTCGGAGGAGTTACGCTACAGGAGCTAAACTAGCTTGAAAGGGACCTATTAACACTGTTGGATTACTAACTATTCGTTAGTTAAACTCAATACTACTATTACAAGGAAAAATTGATGAAATATGCATAACTATGATTATATAAATATAATAAAATGGAAATGGCTTAAAGATTGGATATCAATTCATTAGTGCATTTGAATAATTTCATATTTCTTGTCTTCTCAATTTGCACCGATAAAATAGTGACAGAAGACTTTCAATGCAATGACCCTGAGGGAATAGGTTTTCTGCATTTTATCCTGTATGGAAACTTAATTGTGTAAATGTCCATTTAATATCTTAGATATGGGATAATCTTCGTAATACAGTTCTTGAGTGCCTGCAATTTATTGGACACATGTACAAGGAAATTTGGAGCAGTTTGTATTACAATTAACACATTTGTCTTCTTTGGAGGAGTGATTATATTCGATGTTTTATCTATGCTCTATGGGATCAAACAACACTTCTTTTCCACCAAATCAAAATGCAGAGAAATTGAACTATTTACAATGTGTTGTGCATACATTTTTGTAGTGTGGATTAGTGTAATGATAATTGGAGCCACTAACCGCATAATTGACTATTTTAAACCAAGAAATGACTTGATATAACCATTAAATTAGAACCCTGCAGTTTTGTGAAATATTATATATTAATAACCCTGTTTGATCAAAAAACACTCAACTTAATATTGTTTATTTTAATCCCTACTCTTTTTATGATATAGTAATATTACACTGATTACATCTCTATAGGCATAAAATAAATAAATATAAATTACATTCCATTGATGTCCCCTACGTAATTTAATTCATTCTTTACTTAACTATTGTATGTATGGACTTAAAATTGGACTTCAAATTTATTGGATGTTTGATAGTTTTATTATTATTTGTCCTCAAAATTGTTTTAGGGTAGCATATCCTATCCAATATAAGCATTTAAAAAATCTCTATTTCTGGAAGCAGATATGTCAATAATATATTATAATTAATCGATATATAGTTGATATATTTTAAAGACTTTTTTCATTTCTCAAATTTCATAATGAGTTTCATTATAAAAGAGCCTATTTCATGACAATTCAACAAGAATTCTATTCATTCACTAATATCTTGACTTTGAATTCTTTCAAATTAATAAATGAATGAACTTTTAATAAATAGAGTTATTATTAAATTTAGGAATTTTCACTTCAAATAATAGTTAGTCTAATATTATTTATAGATTCTTTTTGGTAAATCTTTAATTATAAAAACTATTGAATTTATATTATTTGGTTTCTATGCCCTGGAGTTGATAGAATAAAGTTCACTCCATTATATTAAGGAATATTAAGTGATAGAAACTCAATCAAAAAAACAACAGTTTAGCTGAATATCCCCATCTATTCTATTAAGAACTTCAGAATTTTCTGTGTGTGTATAAATAGTAATAAATAGGAAAGTTTATGTAAAGTATATTAAAATTCAATGTTTTGCAGTTGATGGTCTACTCTTTTATTTATCTAATTGTACAAATTATGTAATTGATGTATAGTTACCTGGGCCAGGAACTAAAATAGTTGCATAGAATAGAATAATACCTCCACTCTTTTTAGCTGCTCTAACAGCATCATCAATAAAGCACTTTCTTTTAGCACTACCAAATCGACACTTTGGTTATGTTTGTATAAGTTAGGCATTATATTCTCCAGGTCCAGGCATAAATGTGGATTCAGTTGAGAATCTATCAGGACCTTTGTTAATAGAAATGCTTCTGTTCTTATAAATATTGGGATCATATGCTCCAGGACCAGGCATTTCTGTTGTGTGAGGACATACTCCTACTCTCTATCCAATAGAGTAACCAATAGATTTTTGAGGACTTTATAGATAAGATCCTGGACCTGGAACATCGTTATTCTGCAAATAGGATCTGTTCTTGACCATGTTTCTACTGAGTCCAAAAGATGCACCTTTTGTATTTGAAAATGAGCTAGCTGGATCATAGTAACTTTCGGTGTAGAATTACACTTTGGTGAAATCAAACTTATTTCCATATCCGAATCCTGAAGCTCTGGTGCTTCTAAAATAATTTGGTTCATAATAGTCTGTTGAACAAGGAGTATGAAGTCTTCGAAATCTTTGAGCTTTAGGGAAGGAATATTGCACTGATGCTTAGACATGTTGAGACATTATTTTTAATATTAAAATAAAGTGTAGCTCAATCATTCTTACTAATTATTTGGGTCTCCATTGATTTAGGACATCGCTTATCTAGGAGGTCTTATAACTGTGTGTTAATTAAATTAAGTTTTTGATTTCAATACGGGATCGCTAATAAAATTCTCTTGATCTGTCTTAATTACTTGTCTAGTTATTGAAGAGTTCTAACAATATAAAAATACATACTCTGATTACGGTAGACTAGATGATGGAGTTGTTCATTTTCTGTTCGTACTTCACTTTCAGAGAATCTATTTCCTTGATCTTTTCTGTCAATTCGCTACTCTTTTTCTGTATCATTTAATCTCTCTCATGAAGACTGTTCTACATATATTGAATTTATGATTATCTATAAATAAAATTAAAAATTACAAGCTTTGGTTTTCATTGTTGACAGTTTATAACTACTCTTTTAATTATTAATTCTGTTGTCCCAAATTGGAGATAGTTTATTATAACTATTATTATGTTTTTCTGTTATTTTCTGCTTCTTTATTGGTGGATTCACTCTGTCTCCTTTGTTTGTTCATCAGATTATAGATGTCCTCCACTTCCCTTGATTTATCTTATAGTGATAATTCCAACAATTAAATCTACTTCTCTAAAGTTTGTGTATGAGATTTCAATTTCAAATTGCTTTATTCTAATTCCATGACTTATTACTCCAATAGATCATATTCTGTTTTTAATTGTTCATAGTTTTCAGCTAATGAAGCATCTCTGAATTTGAACCTTAACTCTTCAATCTCATGAAGTCTCTCATCTCCAATTGTGGTCAATCTCTTTATTTCTTAACTCAATAAATGTACTCTCTATTCATAGTCCTAAATTTAATTGTTTAATTGATATTTTTGTGTTTCCCAAGACATCCTTTCTGCTTAAAATTTAGTTTCTAAGTCTCCTACTTCTAAACCATTCTTCTACATTATTGTAATTTCTGACTAATATGATTCAATTTATTAATATAGTTCCTCTATCTCTTGCAATAAGGACTTCTATTTAATTTCCTATTCATATACTCTACTCTGTTCTTCATACAATTGATTTTTGGTTCTCTCCAATTCATTAGTCATCACAATCATCTTGTTCTCTAAACTCTGCTCCTTCATATTATTTTCTCTTAAATGATTTTTTTTCTCTAATTCCAATGTACTAATTGTATTATGGTACTATTGGGTAGTTAATGTCAATTATTATATTTAATCATTTTACAACCTATTTTACTCCTCTGTTTTTTTAATTTAATTTGTGAAATCTTCAATAACACTCCATAATCTATCAATTTCAGTTGCATAAATTACAATTTTCATCCTTTCCTTAACAAAATCTTCTTTCATTTAGAATCTCTCATTAGATACTCTTTGTAATTCCATCTAATAATCTTTAATTTCCTATAATAAATTGATTCTCTCTTTCTCACTTGTTTACAATTTCTATCTCTAAATTTCTAATTGACCATCAACTGTATATTATAATTCCTAGAGATTCTATTACAACATTGAATTTTGCATTTCAACTTATTACTTTGATTATTGTAATTATCGAAACTACATGTCAAACGCTTACTTATCATTATTAAACTTTTCAGTCAAATCTCGGATTTATTGATCAAGTACAGATCTTCTCAAATACTCTCCTTATTTCTTTAACTCATTTATCTCAATTTAATGTTTATCCCTTATTAATTATATTTAATCATATAAATCTTTGATTTCAATATCTTTTTATTGACTTGTGAAGAATAGATCTTTATATTCTCTATTGATTTTCTCATATTCTTAATGCAAACTCTCCTTATCCTGATTCGCTTAATTATAGTTATAAGTGGTTCTGTTTAATTCATTTGCATAATACTCGATTTATTATCTTAATTCCTAAGATCTCCTACTTTATTATTAGGATGCTTAATCTTTAATTTCCTGAATTTCTTCCTCCAATTGAGTGATTCTCATATTGAGATTATCATTGTCACTGTTCAATAGCATCGACTCCTATTAATAGTTACTTATTTCCATTTCTAATTACAATATTATATTCGATTTTTCCTCAACAATTTAGAAATGATTCTCCAACTACTTTTAGAGTGACTCTATTTCATATTAATAATTCCTGCTCGACCTATCATTATTTCTTGTAACTAAATTTAATCTCTCAAGCTCAGTTGTTAGCATTGCGCATTTATCTTACAACTCCTAATTCCTCACTGTCCATTCTTATTAATAATATTCCTATTGCTATAGAGTATTCTAATTTTTCTCAACTTCTTAATCTAACTATTCTTTCAACTGATTGTTTAATAATTACTATTCTTCTAATAATTAACACTGCATCTCATATTGTTCTAGCCCCTAGATCTATTATTGATAAGATTGAGTTTGTTATTACTATTCTTCAATAACACAATGCAATCTTTCAATTTCAGAACTCAATACAACAATTTTCATTCTATCTTTCTAATCTTAATCTTAATAAAATTCCATTTCATTAATTTATTCCTCATATCTAGTTATAAATTACATCATTTCCTAGATCTTTGCTTTTAATTCATTGTTTTCATTTTGTAAATTTTTATTAACCACTTTATTCTATTCTAAATCTTTAACTCGCATTCTCTCCATTTCTTAAGCCAACAACACACACTTGTTTTCTAATTCAATATTTTTATTCTCTAAATTTTTTATTTTTATATCAGATTGGATTCTATCCTAATTGAACTATTAAGTAATCTCTTTAATTTGAGTATCCATCAGCGACCTTTTCCAATGCTCATTGGTTTATGAATATTGAGTTAACTCTTATTAATGGCTACTTTCTATGTTATGAATTCTGTCTTTCAATGAAACAATTTCAGCATCCTTGCCTTACAGTTACATTTTCATAATATCATAATCTTAAGAGTATTCTCTAAAGTTTTTGAGATATTCATCTCTTTCCCTACAACACTCCTAATATTTTAAATTGGATTTATTGAGCTCTGTCATGTATTATTCAACTTGGCTCTTGAGGTCAACATTCCTTTGTTTATAATTTTGAATCTACTCCAACAATTGCTTAACCTCTAATTAATGATTCTGATTCATCTCTTAGAATTAGGTTGTTAACATTTTGCTTTAAGCTTCTGCTTGTTTCAGGAATTCGATTTCTCTGTTCTTCTCCTCGAGTATTTTTTAAATGCCGTTTCCTTCTGAATTATTTGAGTAGTTGCTAATGTTATTCTGATAAACGATCTCAGATCTATGCTAACTTGCCTCTGTGTCCATATGCGGATATTTTGCCTTATTGGGAAGAGGGATGTTTTTATGCATCATATATTCAACTGGGGTCATTCGACCTTGATTGTTTGATTTAGGTTGAGAATTAAGTCTATTCATAACTTAATATTTGAATTTTAAAATAATATCAGTCAGTTCATATTAATAATAAATTAATGGAAAGTGCATTTATATTCGGATGTCTCTTTGGAATGGGAATCAGAATGACTGTCAGTCGAGTAATAAGACAACCATTCCTGTACAGTAAGCAGCAATTAGAATATTAGAATGTCATCAATATCCTAAATATATGTTCTTGACTGGACTTGCCTTTTCAGGGTTTGATTGGATTAGACGTCTCTCATTAGAAACATTGTGCGAGAAAGAGGAGTTACAAGAATTCCTAGTACGAACTGCACGCATCAACTAATTGGCAACAGGAGCAGAGTCTGTTGGAGATTACAAGAAGGAGTTTATCTAAATTGCCGTAGATGAGCACATTTATTGATAAATCATGTCATAAATCAAAATCGTCGTTGAATTCGCTATTCGGATTATTTAAACTCTCCATAAGTCCTTTGATCTTCGCAGAGTCTTTTTAATCAAGCGACATTGCACTGGCTGAAACAACTACAAAATTAACAATCCTCCATACTTCTATGCTTCTTAAATCTTCCCCAGTTTCTTATAGATTCGTCCCATTAAGATGTAGATCGCTGCTTCTTTTGGAATCAATTCTCTCAATCTCTACCATTCAAATTAAGGCCGAATTATAATCATCTATTTTTATTAATGAATTAGCCTATCATTTTATAATGGTATTTATACTTTCTAATACTTATTTAATCCATTCTGCGGATCTAATTTTTCACTCTGTTCAAAGTATTTCAAAGCCTCAAGATGTTCTCCCTTGGCAGCATAGCTCATAGCCAAAAATGTAGGTAGAACTGGATTGTTTGAGTTTATCTTTAAGGCTTAAGTGAAACATCTGATGGCGTCATCATATTTATCAGTCTTGTAGTACATGTTTCCCTGTCCCCACCAAGCATTGTATTATCTTGAGTCTAAGGAAGTTGCTTTGTCATAAGATTTCTTGGCTTATTAGAAATTTTCATTTTGCGAGAATTCATGACCCGATAAGGTATAAGCATAGGAATAGTCCTTACTCAATTAAATTGCTCTTCCGAAGAATTTAATTGAGTTGTCTATTTCCTTACTCAAACTAAAACAATTTCCAATAGCTATCCAGGTTTCAGGTGCTTGCATACTGATCTACAAACATTAATGGGCCAAGTATGTCAATTCTGATTGTTTTTTCAGATGCCATAAGCAGGATGAATAATAATCCATGCCTTCCAAGCGATTTGGCTCTATTTATCTCATTTCCTTCCAAACCTTCTCTGCATCAGCATATTTCACTTGATCCATAAAACTCCTGGCTACTTTTTCAAGTACCCAACCTGATCTATAATGCTGTGGAGGTAGCTTTTAGAAATTAGCAATTGCTTCCACTGAATAATTTGTCCATAAGTAATAAGGATGGGCAAACAATTTCAAAAGTTAAGGCAGACTAATTAAGATCTAATAATAAAAGCATACTTGATTAAACTAGGAGATTATTAAATTGCTACAGAGTTGACTTTTTGAATGTCATTTTTTTTTGGATTGAAATTCTTATTCTAATTTTACGAGAATTAAAAAGGTTGGCTCAATAGAGATTAATAATTTTAGTAAACTACTCCAGGAGTTGGCACCATCTTAGCACTTATCTTCTTTTGTTGAGGTTCTACATTAGATCTAATTAACTAGTATTACATAAGAATTTCATTTAACTATTAGAAGAATCATCCATATGAACAACTGATTGCTGAACACCAGTTATTGAAAAAGGTTTGATGGTTTAGGATTATCTTTTGCCTGAAAATTACTATTAAGCATATCGATTGTAATATTACAGAGTCATTTATTTAGACTTCATCTCTAGTTTCTTCTTCTTTCTACCCTGATTTAAAATTGGCTGTCTTATTTTTCAATAAGTTCTGTATTATCTTATAGATATTGCAACTCTACTATCTATTAGTTTCATGTTATCTCTATTTCTGATCATTGAACACCTTGTTAATAGCGACAGATTCACCAATTTTTGATAGTCTTTCAAAGGCAACCCATAAGGTGGGATTATAATCCAATGCTCTTGAATACTAGTGTTTAGCCTCGTCAATACGATGAAGTTATTCTTAAATTTGACCTAACAAGAGGAAACCAAAACCACCATTTGGTACGTTTTGAGTTTAAATCGAAAATTGATTGCTAAATTAGGTTCCAACTAAAGCAACTTCAGCTTCTTTATATTTTTGATTTCTGTATAAGGACACTGCATATTAATAACTAATAGCATTAAAATGTGTTCTACCGATTGAATTCTGATTTACAGTCCTTGAGAATATGACAAGCTTTATATGGCTAATTCTCTTATAAGTAGCATTCAGCCAATAGTGACCTGAACTCTTCAGTGTCTCTTTCATAAACCAATCTTTCAGCTATTGAATAGATGCAATTAATTACCTAAAAAGGTAGCATTTTGATCCATATGATTTTGAAGAGAATCTAAAATAGCTTCAACAAGTTGTTATTCCAATTAACTTTTGAGTTGTTATCCCTCCTCTTCAATCATAATTTCAAAATTTGAAATATTATATATATATATTGCTTATCTCTCAATCCAATATCTTGGCCTTGCATCCTTTTAAGTGTACACAAAATAAAAACACTTCATTTTAAGATCTCTCCACCTTCATCTAATACTTGTTCTTGCCTTGTTCAAACAGAAGATCACCATCAGTCGGATCAAATTTAATTAATATGACTTCCTTAGGTTCTGGAGTGAATGCCAACCCTTATTTCCAGTTTATGTTTTTATCTGAATTGTGACACGTCCCTTTTTGAAATAGTAAAATGTATTACATCCATCAGATCTAATTAAGTAAAAGCCATGACCTACAGTTGCCAAGTCTTATTACTCAAATCCTTTTTATTATCTCAACTTTTAGAGTGTCACTCCAACTGCAAAACTGTATGATTGTTTCTTCAATTGAGATTATCCCAATTGACTGCCTGACATTTACTTTAAATCGGTTTCGATAGCTCTTATCTCCAATTTCGTTTCCCATCTCTTTTAAGAAGTCAACTATTATTGGATGCATGCGAATGACCATCCCATAAATGATGCTATCATATTGAAGATATTCCAGTACTTGTTGCCTCTATTTCCTTTTTGGCTTCATCTTTGATAGCATAAATGTTGGCCTTAAATTGATCACTCCATGTGAATTTAACATTACCCAATGTGGTAATCTGTAAATCGTATTGTTAAGCTTTCAACATTCCAATGACTTCAGTTTTCAACTTATTCATACGATCATCAATCTGTTCCAAAATGAAACCGTATTTGGGAATCTTTTCCACTTAGAACTCTACAACAGTCTTTAACAAATCAGCTGTTATGTCTTTCAAATTTTCGGTTTTCCTCACAGTCCACACATATTCTGAAAGTTATTGTAAACTTGGCATTTTCCTATAATTTTTTCATTATCTTTCTTTAATACTTGATTTCATTAATTTCAAACAAATCCAACTTCTCCTTTACCTCTCTGATTATCTTTGAAATGGCATCCTTGATGGCCTTTTCGTTGCTTGTAATCTTCTGAATTTTCTATAGATCTGCATCTCCATATTTATCCAATACATAAGATTTAAACTCCTTGAATTACACCACCTTATGAGATTTGTCATTGTGTTTGGGTACGTCTGCCATCGTCAACAACAGCCTTGACTGGGAAGCGCATTTCTCATTTATTCAAAATAAAATTTGATCCATTTTAAATTAATGCTTTTCCCATAATATTAAAATAACCATATATACTATCATATCGTAAACTCAAGGCTCCCATTCTAATGCAGAGAGTGACATTCGAAGCTCCAGATTACCTCATGAATGTGTTTGTCAAGGTCGCTTTTATGATAAGGAGAAAACGGGTCTATAGTTTATGCATGTCAATTAGATTTCAAAAACGATTTAATTCCCACTTTTTTAGCGAGATTCATGTTTGATTTGTATAATTTATTTCGTCATTATGTCTAAACCCAATTGTAATTTTTTTATAACATTTATCATTTATAATTATTATAATTACAAATTAATATTAGAATTATTGATAATATAAATTAATTTTTACATTTGGATTTGCAAATAAAGTAATAATGATGATAAAGTTCAATTATATCCGAATGATTTGCAAAATTATTATATAATAATTATTTAATTATCAATAATGAGTCTAATCGTCAGATAAAGAGTTGGGATGCATGATGAGTCTGTCACCCACTCTATCTTATCTAAGGATATTAAAAAAAAAAGTAAGGCCCATTTTAAACTTAGAAAACTAAACCAGAAAACGTCAACCAATTAAACAACTAGTGTGCTTAGTGTCAATACCCAAACCCTTTTAAGAACATGTCTACATCAAATCAAATGTCGAACTTAAGTTGGCTCTTTCCTACATGCCTGACCATTGTCTAGGAGGTTTAAAAGAAACTCCTTGCACTTACAATTATAGAGTCTCACGTACTGACCAATTGGATGACGTCTACTTTTATACTCTCGAATTACTCGACCAAGCCAATCATTCAATCGATCAGATTAACAATTTGTTATTTAATTAATCAGATCCACACGCCCAATTGGCTGCTAAACTAGTTCAAGAACGTCATCAAATCTTGAATGACTACACTGAATAGCCTTACATTTCCAATGAAGACCTCCTGAACGTCGAATAAATTGCTCAAGATTTCCCATACCAATGTACAATCCAAAAGGTGAACAAAGATTCCAGTTCACTCTCCCAAAGAATAGTCAACGAATAATTCTACACCTTAATGGGAGTCAGCAGAGACATGATGCTCAACCATCTGCATGAGACTAAAACTCTCCCCTCCATTTTTGATCTTGGACCATGTCTCAAAATGTGGTGTGATTTGTCAGCCAATTCAATCCAATCTGCTCGCACTTTTGAAACCTCAATCAACACTTACGAAGGAGCCTAATATAAATGTACAGTTGAACAAAGATAGATGTTTAAAAGAACACAAGTTAACCCAAATTAAATTGTGTTTATTGAATTTTGGCTCTTCAAAGTAGATGAACCTCTAAAATCATATCTCATGAGTCCCCAGCGCATCTATAAGAACTAAATTGATTACTTTAACAAGAAGAATACCCAATTAGAACATGAGGCATTTCTGCAATCAATGAAACAGAAAACCACTCCTTTGTATAAAAACAAAAATCCTTGTGGTTATAAAGAATTGTCATGGATTTGATAGTCAATACATTTTTTATATATTATTTTTTATTTCTTAATCTCTATAATTTCTCAATATCTTCAAAATCTCGCCTTTGTCCTTTTACTAAAATTAAGACAATTTTGGTTACATTATTTTAAGTAATTACAAATGAGTTATTTTATATGATTGCTCTTTATTTTAAATATTTGCTGTCACTCTTCTCATCAAAAGTAAAGTCCCTAAAGAATTGCACTGTACCTATTATCTATGCTTATTAATATTTTTATTGGTTGATTACTTTTTTAATTATTAGAGGATAGAAAGACTGTATTTGATGAATTATGATTCTTTTGATAAGTTTAAATTGAGAAAGTAAATTAAAACTAAAATTTATGTTATATCAAAATTTAACTTAATTTCATGTAATATTACAACTATTGGATGAAAAAAATTTCTTAATTTGTTCAGAACTTATTGACACCTCCTAAATTTAGTTACACCAACATTTTTTCAGAAAACCACGATAACAGAATTTTTAGAAGTAAATACCTCCAACTTCACTTTAAAGTTTCTTATAAATTTGATTAAAAGTTATTCTCAAAAAAATGGGCTCTCCCGGGAATTGAACCCGGCTCACATGCACCCTAAGCATGCATACTACCGATATACTAGAAAGCCATCTCTATTAAAAAATTTTAAGTTTACTTTATTAAGAAGTGAAAAAAAATACATTAAATAAATTCATAATTTTTTCCTGGTGATGATAACTTAAATTACTTCTAACCATACCGAAAATGATCATCAACTTCATGGGCATCATAATTTACTCTCTAATATTAAGAGAAAGACTTTTTATTACAAGAATTTCTATGTTTTTCTGGTCATTACTCTTAAAAATAATATATTCTTAATCTGAGACTCTATTGATGACTTTCTTAACATCATTTAAACTTTATTTTGTTGCTTCTAATTTTTAAGACTTCTGTTTTAACACTATATCTTTTATTAATTTTTTCAGTTTCAGGATTAATTAGCATTTGTTTACTTTGATATTGATATTTATAATTTTAAGCATGTTAATCGCTCTTTTATAATTCTTATCTAAAATCAAATACATATTTCTAAATTAAGTAAATAAAAAAATATTAATTTCTAAATTATAATCTAATTCATAATTTAAATCAGCCCTTATTGCTTTTATATGGTTTATTGAAAAATATTTTCTAATGTTCTCGCATCAATTTTGTATAGAACATATCCAAATATACATCAGTTGTAGTTTAATTTTAATTAATAAAAGGCATTTTGATACACGCTTCTCTTCTTCAAAATCAATTTTTAAATTTAATTTATGTCTAAACCTCTTTTAATCTAGCTACAACAAGTTCTTTTAAATACTCCTCCTTATCTAGTTAGTCTTTGTTATCCAAATCATTATTCACTAAATGATTGCTCTCATCATTTTCACCATCAATTTAGTCATCTTAATCAGACAAATATTATAAATTTATATACATTATTCTTAAACTTGCTATTAATTTCATGCAGAAATAAACAATAAATATATATAAGTTATGAATTCTTCATTTAAGTATTAAACTTAAATATTAAATCGATGTACTTTGTAAAATCATGACTATAACAAAATAACGATTCTAATGTAGAAGGGATTTAAAATAAATACAAAATTACTTTGTTTGATTAATATACTATAAACAGAAGTAATCAAGACTTCTACTTTTTTCCTTTTCTTCTAGAAACTTGTCTTCTCTTTTTTCCTTTTCCAACTCTGGCTTTAGCTTTCATAGCTCTTTTATCTTTTTTCAGTCTCTTATCCACAGTCAGAACTTTCCTAGAGCTTTTGAATTCTAGAATTTAATTTATATTTATACTTCCACTTGCTTAACCTTTCCTAGCCACAATGACCTTTCTCTCCTACTCTTTTTAAATATTGGCTTTTTCTTTGTTATAGATTCTTCTCACTTGTTGCATTTTAGTCTTTTAATTGATACCATCAGTATCAAAAACTGTTTAAGCTTTCTTTGCTGCAGTCTTAAGTTTTTTTTAAGCCTTTTTCCATTTTCTAATCTTGGCTTCCATAATCTTGAATAATAATACGGTTTAAATACCTTTTTAGGCACTCGAGAGTTAATTTCATATAATCTTTGTTTTTCCTATTAAAATTCCTCTTTTGTAATAGGTTCCATCTTAAATACATGTCTTTCTTCATCATCTACAAACCATTAAGGCAAATCTTAATCTTCCCATTTGTCTCTTCCAAATGAATTTTCAATAATTTATTCTCTAGTCTTTTTCCTCATCATCTTTTTTGCCAATGCTAGATTACTAGCTAATTAATCAATATCATAATCCTCTATTCTTTTTTCTGGGACGATTTCTAATTCTTTATGATTTGGATCCTTGTCAGATGCTTACTTAGCTTTCTTCTCTTCTCTGGCAGCTATCTTCTTAAGTTGTCTTCTTCTTTTTTCCATATCTGAAATGGGAAGATTAAGTTCAAACTATTTAACTTTCTCGTCTTCTCCTGGTAATGGATCTTGAGTAATTTTTGCATCTAAATAGATTAACAAAATATATACTTAATTTTTTTTGATATTCCATTTCTTTTTTGTCAACCCTTCTCAATAGATCAACATCTTTATTATCATCTAATTAGTTTAAGTCGTCCTGAATTTACTTCTAAAGATTTTTCAGTTATTTTGGATCCATAACTTTTTCTTCCAATTCGTCACTATCTGAGTCATTCTTGAATTTATCAGCTGCTTATTCCTTATCAGTTTTCTCTTTTTTCTTCTTATCCAATTATGTAATATTTTAATTCTTCAAAGGATTGTCAAATACATCCTCTTTTTATGTTTTAAGTTATTCCTTTAATTTTTAGAACCCCTCCTTATCAAAAAATTTACTCTTTAAATCTGAAACTTTTAAGTGATCCTCTTATTTCTTCACTCTTTTAATTGGTTTGCAAGCAAGCTCATCAGCATCAACTTCTTCTTACTCAGATTCTAGGGCTTACTTCTTATTTCTAATTCTTTCTAAAGCATTTTCTTTCTTCTATTTTTTGTTTTCATAAATTAATTCTAAATTTTTATCTAATTATTTTTAATTGTTAAATTCCAATTTCTCTTTCTTTAGTTTCTCCTCTTGTTTATCTTCTACATCCACATATCCTAATTTGAGTATATTCTTATGCTTGGAAAATTAGAATAACTCTTAATCTTCTTCTTGAGGAGTGAATCCTATTCCCCTTCCTGATAGTTTCTTCTCTTACTAAGCTTACTTTTATTTTTATTTTCTTTATTCCTTTAATTCCTTCTTCTATTCCTCAATATATTATTATTCCAAAGCTTCCTTTTGTTTATCTACTAATTTATCAAGATCATCTTATTCCTCTGCTTCTTCCTCATTTACTTCATCATCTTATCCTTCTCCTTCAGCCTCATCTAGATCTTCATATTCAGCACTTTCTTGTTGCTCCTATTTTTCTAGTTACTTTTATTCTTTCTTTTATTTTGATAAGAAATGCTTGATCTTACTTCTCCATTTTAATAATTATATAATTTCTCTCTTTCCTAATACTTTGATATCCTCCATCAATATTTCATAATCCTAAGGAGGCTTAGCAAGACCCAAATACTTTTGCTTAGCTTCTTCAGTCATCTTGATTCCTGCATATTCAATAAAGATTGGATATGGATTTTCTGCATGAAGAAACTCTTCAAAATCAATCATCTAATACACAGTTTAATGAACATCATCAGCATATCCGCTTCTATGTCTTTAGGTTCTCTTTTAAAGAATTTTGTCAACTGAGACAATTTCTTTCTGGATCTATTATTACAACATATCGGTTTCAGTATCTTTGAACACATGTTTAGAATCAAATAACTTCTCATCAATGTATTCTGGTGCTAAATAGTCTAAACAAACAACAAAAATTTCAGCTGACACAAATCTACTTGCTAAGGGTTTAGTGGCTTCTACCTTTGAGAAAAATTTATTAAAGACCCACATTAAGGAATTGTAATCTGTTGATCTAAATACCTTTGTCACAAACACACCTCCCTTCTTTAAAAATTAAGATGCCAATCTCAAGGCTGATAAGACTAGATCATTTTAGTTATATGCATCCTTAGCCCAACTGGCTCCCACATTAGGAGCACCATCATGTAAGAATACATCTGCTTTTTATGGTATTTCCTTTTTAAGCAATTACACACATTGTGGTGTTGTAATGTCTTAGGTGAATGCTTTGCATCCTGGAATTGGTTTGATGTGAACCAAATCCAAACCAATTATGATTGAACTTGTAGGCATTATTTGAGCACACACTTGCATCCATCCTCCTGGGGCTGCACATAAATCTACGACTGTTCTTGCATTATTGAGAAAATTGTATTTGCGATTTAATTAGAACAATTTAAACGCTGCTCTTGATCTATATCCTTGATCCTTAGCAAGGTTGTAATATTTATCCAGTCGAGAACGTGCTTTTGTTTTTCTAGGCATTTTGGTTATTAAAATTAATTTGTGACCAGAATAATAATTTACATACAATATCAATTATTTTGTATTCAATAATTATAATTAAGAGCATCCATTGAAAAAATAAAAATAAACAAAAACTTTTATGAATCAAAATTCAATTTTTCCTGTTAACTAATTGTTTTATTAATTTTTGACTGTTGTCTAGTTTTGGAACATCATTTAATCTATTCTGAATTTACAATTATAATTTTCTAATTTAAAATATTAAGATACTGTAAATTGGTTTATTAAAATTTAGTTTATTTTAATTGATTTTCCAAATTGAAGTTTTCTTAATCTAATCTTATCTTATTTTGCTATTAAATTGGAGTGGAAGGAGCTGAACTCTTCTGTTTAAATTCCATCTATTTACAGTAATTAGCAGTTAATGGAAATCCTTTCTATTCATGTACAGACTTATGGGTTTCCTATTTTTGAGTCATCATTTAATTGAAAGACTTTTAAAGAGTACTGATTTATTCCCCATATTTAAGTTTTACTTTTTAAATTTCATTCTGCATCTCTTGATTCAATTGAATAATTTTATCTTCAATTTGCTTCTTTTTCAGCAGAGGGGATTCTGCAATTGCAGGAGTTCTTTATTGATTCAAACTTTATAACCCAAATTCGGACTAATAAAAATAAATACAGTCGATACCACTCTATTCATTGCTTTTTCATACTTATCTGCATCTTGATATTGATGTTCTAGCATCGTTCCTGTTTCATTCATTTGAATATCATCAATATTGTTGATAATCATTGTTCCTAGATCTTCTTCCTCTTCGCATTCTATTAAGGTATCTAATGGGACTCCAATCTATTCTTGGGAGAATTGAAATTATTATTCATCCTATTTCTTCTACTTACTTAATTTATATGATTCGATTTGCTTTTTGCATTTAAGCATGAATTATTGAATGTATTCTCTACTCTTACAATATTTTTGAAAAAAGGGGTCTTATAATAATTCTTTAGTGGAGGGCCTCTCTTTGGGATCTAAAGTAAGGCATCTTTTTACAAATTAATTGAATTCTCTTGACCATTTACTTTAATCAGTCAATGAGTTGGGGGGATTATTTTTAATAGCAAACATCGCTCTAATTGGATGTATATGTGCATAGGGTGGTTCCCCTTCTGCCATTTCAATTGCTGTGATTCCCAAGGACCAAATGTCAGTCTTTTTGCTGTATCTTGATTTGAGTAGAATCTCTGGTGACATCCAAAAAGGACTTCCAATCACTGTATCAGTGTCAGCCATAGTGTGTACCAGTTATGTGGAAACACCAAAATCAGCTAATTTAATATTGCCCAAATGATCAATTAGAATATTTCCACATTTAACATCTCGATGTATTTTTTTATGGCTGTGCATGTAATCAATGCCTTTAACTGTTTAATATAGAATGGTGGCAATTATTTCTTCAGGCAAAGGATATTGCAAAGCCTTAATCAGTTCTAAAACACTTCCTCCTGAACAATATTCCATGATTAACCACAATTATCCATTTGAATGATAGGATCCGAAATATTTGACTATGTTATCACATCTACAATCTCTGAGTATTTGAATTTCTCTTTTGAGGGATTCAATCTCTCCAGAAGATGGTACTATCTTTATGGCAACTGCCTTCCCATTGTCCAATTGTATCCCCTTGTAAACTTAGCCATACGATCCCTCTCCAATTACACATTCTAAACGATAATAATTCTCGGGGTTGATTTGAGTTTCATTCATATTTTGAATTTATTTAAATTAATCGTTGATGGATAATATACCACAAGCACAGTATAATATTTGCTTATCATTTAAAGGAAGAAATATGTTCTCACAGACATAATGAAAAAGAGAAAGCATCAATCAAGTCTGAATGAGGAGAGAGCACGTTAAATTAAGGAGAGAATCCAGAAGAAAAAATAAAAGACTAAGGATTTTGTGCATCCTGAAAAGTTTGTGGACAAGTATCGTAAATAACAAACAGCATATTCCTATTTTAAAAGAAAAGTACTTTCAATCTATAATTTAATTAGGAACGCAAACAAAATTTAGAAACAGTCGATGCGAAATCTATTCCAATTAATAAAACATTACTTGTGGTGAGAATTAGAGGGTATACAAATTTAACTAGATTATTTTTAGTGTTAAAGATATCTCCAACAGACAACAAAAAATACTGAAGGAACTAAGATTAAACAAGGTTAACACAGCTGTTTTTGTGAAGACTACTGTAGATATTTGGAAGAAGTTGAAATTAGTTGAGAATTACATTACCTATGGGTAATGATTCCAAATCTATTTAGATTGCCAACACGATAAATTATCAACGATTTAATTGTCAAGAGAGGACACATCATGAAAGATAAAGAAATTATTGCATTGAAATCAAATGAAATCATCGAAGAGTATATGAGTGAGAAAGACATTATTTGTGTTGAGGACATTGTGAATACAATTGCAAATGCATCAGAGAATTTCGACTTTGTTACCAAATTCTTAGTGTATTATATTTAAATAATCATTAGACCATTAAAATTAAATCATCCTGAAGGACAATTAAAAAGTGGCAAGATTAAAAAGCCATTGACCAAACAAGGCGAGTGGGGTTACAGGGAGGAAAGAATAAACAGCCTTGTAGAAAACATGATTTGATTTATATTATATATGTTATCAAATTATATTAATATCTCCAAAATTATTATCCTAATAAATTTCAATTGCAATTTAGATATTGCAATTTAATTTAGATAGTAAATTTTATTGTACTTTTTGCTAATGTGATAAATTGAATCGCATTAACAAATTTCATTAATTATTTTGAATTCAAAATAAAATATCATGTAATAGCAGACTGTCGATGAAAGCATTCTCTAATAAGTATTTTACTCAAATAATTGTAGTTGAGACGCATTTTAAGTTTTGACTTCTTAAGTAGAAACTATTTTCTATTAAGAAAATTTGATCCGAACTCAGGGTATGTAATGCTTCAGAGTTTAGCCAAAGAAAAAAGCTTTAGACCTTTAATAGATTACCCCTATGGAATAGAGGCACTCGTCAATGTATAAATAAGTCATATTTGATTTTTAGATATTGATCCAATACAACTACAGTAATTGGATTTTTGATCAAACTTTCAATGTAGTTCGACCCATCTTTGCATAAGAGAGAAAATAAGTCCAAATTTTGATCAAAAAGAATTAAGTAGATGATTTCAAGACATTTTTACAAGAATTAGATCTTGTAAAGGAATGTGAAGTGTAGGAAGCAGAGTACATTGCAAATAAGGATATGATAAAGTTGTTCATCATTTTTGACAATGAAGATGAAGCATAAATGAACTTTAGCAAAATCTAATAACAAAAAGCTACAGTAACTTATTAATATAAAATCTAGTACTCAATACAAAATGCTAAAATGGAAGAAGTTGATTACTTCACCAAATTTCTTAACATTGTTCAATCCAAACAATAATAATTTTAAGAGTACAGGATGAATAACCCGAGAAATTATGAAGATAGGCAAGCCGAAGATTAATAATTTTCACATTAATAAACACAAAATTAATAATAATAGAAATTCTATTAGCACCATTAACAAGAAAAACAATAATAATAAGATTACACCTCCTCAGATATTGTTAATTAAAGATTGAATCAGATCAGATCAAGTGATAGAATAGAATTCAATTATGCCCCACTTTAAGAACAGTAGTCCCTGTTCTCCTTTGTGCCTCTTGTCAACCCTACACAATAAGTGGCAGTTTAATATAGCACTTAATTTATTGAGAAGAAAAACTCAATTGAAATATTACCCTCAGAGGTAGTTCCTGAATGCGCACGAAAAGAGGATGCTGAATAAATTGAGACTCAAAATAATTAGATGCAAATTACAAGAGAAACAGAATCCAACAAGGAGAATTCAGTGGAAAGGAATAATTAAAAATCATATTCAAGGGAGTTATACTAAGAAAAGTAGCACTTCAAACCTGGATATTAATAAAATGGATATGTAATTATTATTTCTAACTTAGTAATAGAAGAGAAGAAATAACTATGATTACAATCAAAGTAAATATCATAACAATAGAAAACCACAATATTATAGTATTAAATTAAGTAATTTAGATCGTTTAGAGGATGACCTAAAGGAATTTACTGGGTATAAGAAATACCAACAACGATAATAGAAGGAATATTATGAATTAAAGAAGGAATATTGATTTCTCAATCATTTTTGTTATTCCATAACTTTACATTCTCCAAACCAATCCTTATATATATTATTAATGTTTCCAAGAGATTAACTTCACTTTTATTCAAACTGACTTGTATTCTCAAATCTTAGACTTCTATGGAGACAATCAATTTAAATAGACAAAATTATAAGGTTCATTCTATAAACTTATTCCATAGATAAAAATCGCATAGATTTCCAAAATTTTTTTCTTGTTGTGTTTTAATTGGATTATGCAATCAAGAATTATGCAGATAAATTCCTAAATTCGTTATTACAACTCTTTCTAAGATTTAAGAATATAGATTGAGAGTTATCAATAATTGTGAAATATTTTATTATATTTTATTCAATAATAATTCTTACAGAATGGCATCATAGATGTATTCATTTATTAGAATTTCATTAGAGTATTTAAGGAGAAGGATTACGAATTTATTTACAAAACCAGAGTCATTTAATTATAATAAACTACAGACAATCCATTGAGATTAGACAGACCAAAGGTTACAATACAAAGAGGAAGGAAAGCCAATGTATAAATAAGAACAAAAGGAAATTTCGTTGATCCTTTGTCAAGAGCAGCTACTTAAAAAGCTTAAACAAATCCATTAAGCAGACCACAAACCGTGGATCCATTGGCTAGACCTTCAGCTTAACCAACTCAAAAAATAGAATAGTCATAATCACAAGCCTAGGCGAAAAGTGTTGAGCCAAATAAGCCATAATAATAATAATAGGAAGGCAAACTTGAGATTGATGCAGAAGAGAAATAATTAAAAGCAACAGGAGAATTTTCAATTTATTGGTCGGAAATAAGAGAGGACTTCTAAAACATATTTCAAATTAAAACATACGATTTAGAGCAACCAGTACCAAATGTATAAACAAATTATATGCTAGCCTTTTGGATCTAATGTTCAAGCTATGAATTAATTTGATGGATAAGCTAAATCAGCATATAGTGGAGACAGCAAAATTGAATATTAGACACAGGCTCCAAAGTAAGGGACTTAAAAAATGATCTTATAAAAAACATACATTCAAAAGGTCTTGGATATCAGAAGAGATTTAAAGAGACAATGGATTAATGGAGACAAGGTGGCATCATTATAATTAGCAATCTAATCTTGCAAATTACTAATTGATAATGATAAGCCTCTCTTCGCTCCTGTCAAATATGTTTACATTATTGACATTTTGGAAACCTTTGGTAAATTCGTAATTGAGAGATTGTTAAAATTAAGTTATCCACAGTATACAGACTAAAAGATTGCTGAAATCAGTTTATAAAGTGTGGTTGGATCAAACATCTCTGAAACAGCTTCAGAAATAGGAAGAAATTGGATAAATAAAATAGGATCTATAAGAGAATTATTACCTCGATTGTATGTGGAAGCCACTCTGTTGAAGGTTTATTATTTTATTGATTAAACCTAAATTAAACCAATATTCCAAAGACTTATTAAATAAGTCAGGGCAATTGGTGATTATATCAATGTACACTGTTTTTGTATTCAATTAGGCTTTGTACTTTGCACTTTATCTATTTAGAATAGGAGCTGAATTATTCTCAGGCGAGAAGGATTATCTCATATCTACATTAAAAGATTTCTTTATCTATATGAATCAAAAAACTAAATTTGGCAAATTAGATGTCTAAGGAGACTAATATCTAAGACTTTTTGAACCATATTTAATATAGACATTTAGACAATATTCACAAAATTGTACAGAAGTAACTTATTTAATTAACTTCAATTTAGAGAGAATTTAAGGATATTTTTGAACATTTTAGATAGAGTACTTAAAATCATTTTGTTTTGAAAAAAATGATTGAATAATTTTAGGCTGTTCATATTAGTACACTAGCATTAGAGTTATTTTCAATAATGCAAGCTTATCCTGTGGATAATAAATATTAATTATATGCTTGCTTTTTACCTAAAATAGCTAAGGGATTAACTAATGTAGCTGCTGGTGCTGAGATATGTGAGTATGTTTTATAGGACATTTTATAAATAAAGTCATTTTCACTCTTTTTAGAGATCTTGGCATCATTAATTGAATTGATTTTTAGATCCTTTTAGGGATATCAGAAAAATTAATTCTTTTTCTTGATATTATAAAGATTCAATGATTTATTTAGTATGGTTGAAAAGGATCAAGTGAATACCAATTAAAGTAGGGATACTTTTATCAAATTGCATTAATTTATTATTAAAATATTTTAAGATTCTTAAGATATTTCAGAAATACTCTAAATTGACACATTTATTACTTGTATCTAATTTTTCCCTGAAGACATGAAGAAGCTAGTGTGTAATGATTTGCTTTCGATGATAATAAATAGGGATCAGAAAGAAAAAATCACTGATCCTATGGCAGTGCATTCAATTGTAAAGTTAACAGCAAATTTGAATAATAAGAAATCAATTACCAAGGATGAATAAAAAAGCTTGGCAAAAATAATTAATTAATTATTGTAAAAGATTGATTTTGGTAAAGATTTAGAATAAACATTGAATCTATATGCTGAAATGAGAGCTTAATTTGGAAATATAAAGTGGGTTATCTGAAATTTTGATAGATAGAGCTTTGGATTTTAATTTTTTAAAGGGCAAGCGATTGTCGAAGGGGAAAATATCAAAAAGAAGATAATTTCATTTTTTTAGGCTTGGCATAGCTTATAGTTTTATCACTATTCCCACAATAGATAATCCAATATCTAGGTTGAGAAAATATATTCAAGTGGCTCAAGTTGGTTTATCATTGAATTTATTATCATAAAGTGAAGCAGTCATTAAAACTACTATTGAAAATCTTCTTGAATTACCTGAAACATTTAATGGTCGACCCATCGATGAAATCGTTGTGCCATACATTTTGGACTTAATTTCCTTCATTATTGTTGTCCCTGACGACCCTTCTGCTGGCTACTTGAATATTTTCCAAGGCTTGTTGAAAGCACTTGAGTAGCTCAAATGGAATCCAAAGAATGGAGGAATTCACGCAATAGTAATATATGTTAATTGCATTCAATACTTATGTGCTTAAGTTTAAGAAAGATTGCCTTATCATTTTGAGAATGTTAAATCTAATGATGCTTTGTTCAATAAGGACTCTTAATTTAGTTTGACCATATTGGAATTAGTGCAATAATTGTATGTTAAATTGGGGGAACAAGCTTAAGCAATTCTAAAATCAAATATTACCGATTCAATAGTAAGATTATGTTTTATATAAAAAGGAAAATGGTTTGATTGTAAAGCAGATGTTAAGTTGCTTGAATAGATTGCTATTGTTATTAAAATTTAATAAAGAAGCAGAAACTACATTTACAATAATGGTTGATTTAATATATAAAAAAATAAATGAATTAAACAGAGATAGAACAGGAAAGGTGTAATTGACCATATTAAAAGCATATTTCCTCTAAACTTTTATTAGCATTGAGAAGTCAACTACAGTAATCAATTATTAATAATTTAGTTTAATTTTGAGGAGAAAAAGAATTAAATGGTAAGTATCTTAGAAAGCGCAAAAAATTGAACATTAATTTCATTTAGACGTTATATTTAATAAGTGTATTTCTTGCAAATTCTCAATATTTAAATTATTCTAAACTTTTTAGTACAATAAATATTATAATCAAAATTTCAAACCATTTCAGTTTCTGATTGATCAACCTAACTGATTCGACTAAATTGCTATCTTTTAATAAATGATTCTGCTAATCTGAGTCCCAGAGGAATTATCATTAAAAACAATATGGATATTTTTATATAGTGAAATTAAGCAAAAAATATTTTGCATAGCAATCTCTTTGTTTCAGACGGCCCTCCTATTCTACTTGTTGCTTTCTTTTCAAAGCTCTAAATCCAATACATAGCAATATAGGTCAGGAGGTACTGAATATTTTAGCCAATTTAGGTTAATATTTAATCCGATTCAATTTTGATTAGCATTTATTATTTTGAATAGAAAGCTAACAAATAACAAGGGAAAAATAATATTGAAAATCCAGAGATATCATGAGTTTCAAATTTAGTTTTAGGATTATACCCTCCTCCCCTTGTACAGAGTGGCTATTTTAAGATATTTTATTTCCATTATTATTTCATATCTATTAGTGATTGTTCATAATGCCTTTCAAAATACAAGAGAAATGCTAAGGCAAACACTATCAATGAGACCAATAATATTTTTAGATATCTATATTGGTTTAACAATAGTGAGTTGCTGAAAGCTTTCTGTATCATTTTCTCCAAACCACAATAGTAATATATGTAAAGTATATATCCTCCTATGATCCAACCTATAACGATTTAATTTAAGAAATGAACACCAAAGTATAATCTCCCAATACCTATTAGGAATGCAAAGGTTGCAATAAACATCTTATACTTTGAATAGGAGATATATTGATTTTCATAAATTGAATTATACAATTCAGAACTAAGAATTAATTAAAAGAATACTTAGAGATTTCTTTTTAGTCGTATATCTGTTTTTCAGAATCCAAGAGTATACTGTTCTCGGAATGGTTGTATTTCTTTAATACAATAGTTTCAATTAGTATTGCATAGAACACAAAAGACCTCAGGGAATGGCCACTTGGATCTCCATACCCAGTATAGCAGAAATCCAGTTTGATCTGTGGATCTAGGTAAAATGGTCTTGGTTGAGTCATAACCATCTTTATTAAGTTGCCAAATGCTGCGGCTATTGCATTCATAGTAATGAGCTTGAATATCTGAATTTTGTTTTAAGCTTTCAACCAAATCAAAATTGTTAAGACATTAGTGCATTCTGCATCACCTGCAGTTGAGAATATCAAGAGTATGTACTCTAAAATATTTTAAGAGTTGTACCGAATATTCCAGTTTCTTTTCCATATTCAAATTAAATTTGGAGAAATTTGGTGATTTCATTACTTATGTTGTATGTTAAGCCTCCAAAAAAGTGGTCCAAAACCAAAAGAAATAGGAGTATCAAAGTTGAGAATATTAGTTTGTACATTAAATAAAGAAAATTAGAATTCAAAAGAATTTAAAATTAACTTCTGAAATTCCAATATTCTTATCAAGAGTTATGATTATTTTACATTAAATAATATTTAATAAATTTTACATTAGCATTAGAAAAAGATAAAATCCATCCTTATTGAATGATTTTTTAGACAAGGATTGTATAGTTAATTTGGATACCATGTATCTCAGAACTTTACATTAATGAATAAATTAGATTATCGTTAATTTATTGTAAGATTCATCAATTCTAAGCTCTATGATTTAATGAAAATATGAACTTCTCCATCCCCCATACTGTTATTTATCATTTAATTCATAAAAAGAAAAGTATATGATATAAATATATTCAACTCTGAATGTTATTTCTAATGTTAAATGAAAATAAATTATATGAATATATTTATATTGATTGCATTTATAGCAATTAATGCAGAACTAGTCAGAATACATGAAGAAGTAAAAGAGAGTTTTGAAGGGAACAATAGTATAAGCAAAATTAAAATTTAGGATGGACGATTAAAAATGGAATAGTGAAAAAAGAGTTTTGTAATTCTAAATTAGTTTTTGGAGGATTTGGTGGTTAAACAGTTATTAGTAAATTATTGATTGTTCCAACTCATGCTTATATTAAAATAAGTGTGGATATTTGGAGGTAGTATGCATTGGTATGACAAAGTTTTAATTAATGGGGATAAGTTAAAGCATACTTGGATCATGTTGAAATATAATCCGTATAGATCCAATAAAGATGTAGTGAAAATGACTATTACTTAAGTACTTTTACTTCTGAATTTATTCACAGTGGAGCATCCATAATATTAGTGATGAGTGGGAATGGAGAGTAAAATGATAATTAAGTAATGATAAAACTTAGAACTAGTGGGGATTTCGAAACTTGGAAATTTCAATTGAATAATGTCCATAATCTTGCTAAATTTGTGATTAGGGAGATGTGGCAGAGACATGTTAAATTTGGAAGAGTGCTGCAAATAGTTGGAATGCTGCACATACAAATTTTATGGGTTAAGATGGTTGGATATCAATTAATGGGATAAGTGGATCCTCGAAATGCGGAGGTATAAGAATCACACTATAATTATAGGAGTGCCATTAATAGGAGGTTATTAAAGGTTTGGAAAAAATCAGGGATTGAGCAAGACAATCAGACTATAACCTCATTATAAATTACGATTATTAGTTCTATGGGCTAAGATCGACTCTTGGGATAATGAAAATGGATTAATTCTATTTGATGGGAAGCAAGTTTGGAACTAAAATTTTAATAATGATAATGGATATTAAGTCAAGGTTTGTGGTAATTCTGAACCTAAATATCACACTCTATTTAAAAGGATAGATATTACAGTTGATCATTCAGGTGATTAAGTTAAGATAGATTTTTGGTCTTCTTTAGATTCAGGTTCAGATGATGAATCCTTTGGTTTAAGGGATCTTTAGTTGTTCTATGCTCCTTGTTAGGATTAATGTGAAGTATGTAAAGGTGAATTAGGAAGTGAATGCATAAGTATTGATACACATATATCTTTAGGATGCTCTAATTATCAGTTTCAGAATGTAAAAGGATGCTCTGAAGCATAGAGCTTTTATATATTGGAAAGAAGCTTTTATGCTTAAAAGTTTACAAGTTTGGAGGGATGGATATTAAAGGAGACTCAGTAAAACTTAATGATCACTGATTATTAAGATAAGACAATTGTTGGAGGGCAAAATATTTTGGGAGTAGGAGCAACAGCTGAGAAGTTGTTTATCTTACCTCCTCATACTTAATTGAGATTGGAAGTCACTTTATACAAAATTGATTTGTGGGATGGAGAAAATATAATAATTGAAGTGGATGATTAGAATATTTGGGATACCTAGAGATTTTAAGACTCAAATGGATTCTTATATGGAACTGCTTAATTTGGTAATATAATATACGCCAGTTCAATTTTTAAACATGATAAATCAGAAGCTCTTGTAAGGATAAGATCCACCTTAGATGAAGGTGCTGATAATGGTAATAGATCTTAATAATTGTAGAATCATGGGGATTCAGAGATTTTTGTTTGATGTATGATGTAGCTACAGTGGTTGAAATATCTGATGCCTTAGAATAATATTTAATAACTTTAGGAATAGTAATGATTATTAGTTTTATCTGATACGAAATCAGTTACATTATTTTATATAATCAACAAATTTATATATAATAATATTATGTTTATACAACCGAATCACCATTCCAATACATCTAAACTCTTCTCAAAATCAGCAGAACCTTCGTAAAATTGGGAATACCATTATCTCCAATTTAATAAGGCTTGGTCAGCCTGAGATTTCATATTATATCTTAGGGTTTCTGAAAATATCTTAGCATTCCACAATTTGACATCGAATATCACCTATCTTAATTCAGCATGAAGAAGATAAGCCGATACCCAATAAGGTAAGTAATTATTTGTAAATACAGTGTGATAGACTTTTTATGTGAATTTTTCCACAGGTTAGATTGCCTACTTAAATAGTACCTCAAAGATGGCACTCTTAACGTATAATGCAACTGTTGCTGGACCCATCTAGAATCCAGTCGCCCAAACAGCATGGAATTTGTACTTATTAAACAGAATGACATATCCATCTAACAACAAAACATTCAAATATGGAATGAGTTCTTTGTTGACAAGATATTGATCAAATAAAGATTTCTAGTAAGTTCTACACTTTTCAACTGGATGAGTCATTTTCTCCAAGAAATCTGGATCTTTGGCATTTTTAGTTCTCATCTCCCATCTTAGTTATACCAACCATGAGGGTATGATATCCATAGCCGAATAATGAACATAATCAAAATGTTTCATATCAGCGCCATTTTCAGGAATTTCTTGAATGTGGCAATTCACATAATTTACACTCTCAGCTCTCAAATTCAGATGTTCACTTTACTCATTCACTAGATCGTACCATCTAAATTAATAACAAATATATGTACGGTTTTGATTCTTTGGAATGCAGCCAAATATATACGATTCCTTTGAGTTCTTTGACAAGATAAGTTTTAATTTTAACTTCTCCATCAGATATTTTCTATAGATACTCTCCTTTCTGGTTTTTGGTTACTCTCTCAATGTCAGGATAACAATATGTTGAAACTACTTTAGGATCTAATTTATCAGAGTTAACACATAAGCCACTTTTACCGTCGAAAGCCCATCCATGGAATGGACATCTAATTATGATATAAAGTAATTACTCTATGCAGGATCTGAATTTTACTTAGCCTCCAATTCCTAAATTAGCACCCATATGTGGACAATAAGCAGCTACTGCATACACTGTTTTATCAGTTCCTCGATAGTATGCTATGTGTCTACCACACAATTTGATTTCTCTCACTTCTCTATTTTATTATCATTTAAACATACCCTGATTACAACTCCCCAGATCTACATAGACGATACCAGCCATTTGGATAAGAGGGAGGGCATTTTCCTCTAGGCAATTTGTTTCTTATATTGTGTTGTTCCAATTCCTCAACGATTGAAAAGAATTTGAATTTCCTGTAATACAGGTAATAGAGGATGAAGGCTATCGATGTTAGGATGACTTCCCACGAGAAGATTGTCATTTTGAATAGGATTTAATGAAATAAATTTATATTTTATATCTTCTTTAGTATATACAGTTATATTATTTTAATATTTAATCAGTTAACAATGGCAGAGGAAGAAGATAATCAAGTAATACAATTTGAAGGAGATGACCAAGAATAAAATGTAATCAAGCAAACTATTTACTTAGGATAATCATTAAGAAAAATCTCCAATTGAATAAAAAGAGGAACAGGTTAATAATTACGATTAAAACTATAATCAAGAGCAGGAACCACATTCTAATGATCTTAAACCCCTTGAATCTGAAAAATAACCCATCTAAGTGGTTCCTGATGTTGAAGAAGGGTTTTTCAATCGAATTAAAGGATGCTCTTGCAGGAGACAGGCTGATGAAAAAACAGAAGAAAACAATGATGGATGCATTACGAAGTTAGATAAATTCATTTAGAAATACTTCACTCCTACATATTTGCTTCTAGTATACTATTCTGTCTTTTCCACAGCATTGCTTTTCTCACTTAAATTGATCATTTAAGATTAAGATCTGTATCATGCTGAAATTTTAGGGGTATTTTAAATTTAAAAATATTAGGGCTTGTTTCTATTCGTTCAAGTTTTGAAAGGATTGCTCATCTATTTTCTGAACGATGAATGGCTTGATGAATTGCCTTATTTGGATAGTACCTTTGAGAATGGCTGGAGATTATTTAAGATAACATTCTTTGTTATAACTAATTTAGATATTTGTTATTGGATCTATTACATCTATGCTTAAAATAAAAAGGATGGCACAATTGAACACATGATGACACTGTGTAGAATGGTAGATGCATTCTTCTTCAATTTCCCTCTTATGATAGTGTTTTTCTATCTTTAATTGCAAGACTTACAAACCATTCAAATACCTTATCTAGTTATTGCAGGACTCAATTTGCTCCAAATAGTTAATGGATTCATGCACTTAAACTTTTTTGCTGGAAGTTCCTTCTTAAGCATCAGATGGAGCATTTAACTCATTTGTGAATTATATGTTAAACTCCTCTTAGTTGAGTCAGTGTACATTTAGTTGGCAGAATTCAATATTCAATTTGAGTACTTCGGGTTATTCTGTTTGTGTGGCCTAATTCAATTTTACTTATTCTCTGAAGATCAAGATATAATTGGATAAGTATTGTCCATAATCTATTTTCCCAATTGAAAACATTCTTTGTGATTACATTCAAGGAAGAAAGCTTTGGAATGTCAGATTTGGATTGCGATGCATAACCAGGAATTCTAAATGTTGTTGTCCAAAAATCAACGTAGTATTTTCATTTTATTTAGTTATTCCTATATTTAGAAGGCATTCAATTTCTTCTAATTGTTATCCCTCGCTTTCATTTTTTGGCTTTTTGGTGGATGGGATAACATCATGAAGAATGAGATACTCTATTATCTGTTCCTCGTAGGATTAGGATGTTTAGGTATTATATCCTTGAACTTGTTATATGTTGTTCTAAGTGGATGGAAAAAGAACATGGTCAAACCTTGAATTATATATTTTAATAAATTTTATTTAACCCTAATAATTTATAATAAATTATAAAAAATAAATAATAAATATTCTGTCATAAGCTAAATTAACCAAAATTCTTATAAATCTTGAATTTTTTAAGAAGAAAGATTACATATTTATATAATTTGAAAGTATAATTGTGAAATCAGTAAGATTTTTTTTAATTTTTAGATAAAGAAATAGTAAAATGGAACGATATTATTATTTATCGAAATTTTGTTATTACATCAATACATCAATCATTATCACATTTACTACTTTCTGTATATTATTATTCATATTTCAATTATCTTTCTTATTTAATAAAAAATACATTTCTTTATTAAAATTAATTTAAAAATTATTATCTTATTTTTAAATTAATCATTAATAGAAAAATAGAATGCTCCATTACCATTCTAAAATCCTTGTGATGAAGATAGAATCTTAAGATTTTACTGCCAATACTTAGCACTTTCTCAATGTGGTTATTGCTTTGATTTTTATAAGAGAAGTCCCAAAATTAATATTATACAGGCACAAGCTCTGGATTAATTTCTAAGGCCTCTATTCTCTATTATTATTTAATTCGTGATAGTTAAAGGTCTAATCCATTACCAGAATATTGCCTATGCATTTCATTTTCCCCTTATCTTCAATAGGCAAGAAATTAAGGCAAGCACAATAATGTAATAAATACAGATTTAATTCGTTCAGAAATATATAATAATAGAGATCAAGATAGCACGGCCTAAATACCCAATCGGCCTTTGATTGTGATTTTATTTTTTAGAATTGAATTTAAACCAATTCTAGTTTCAAGTGGTTTAGAAATCCCTATTACAAATTTGTGTTGTTGTAAGGTGGTTAAGAAATTATCCTGGTCTTGCAAAATGGGCTATTCATTCAAATCTGTGTCTATGAACTCCCACTCATTTAGTTTTGATGAAGTTGAGTGATCAACTTATGATAGCTTTTTCTGGATTTTTTCATGTGTTTCCATATAAGCGATTGATATATTTATCGAAATTATTATAGTGTTATCTTAATTTTAATAATAATCACTAAATCATATTACTTCAGTGAGGCCAATTAAATAACAATAATTTTCAATCAATTTTATTTCTCACCTAAACCTCGAGCCCTAACTGCTCCTTATTACTAATTACAGTCTTCTCTAATGTACAATTGAATGAAAAACAATAGTAAAACTACCTCATAACAGGAGAGACAATTTTACTGGGAGAACAAGTAGTTGAATTAATTAATATAAATTCTAAACTTTGATTCCTAAGTTAAAGTAGCTATAAGATATTATGAAATAAAAAAACTGAATATTATCACGTAATAATTAATTTGTATTTATAAAACAATTTAATCCAACATCAATGGGATCTAAGAATTCAAAAGAAACAAGTAAGATTTACAAAGATAACTTTAGGTTCAAATGACGCTGCATAGATAAATTTAAAATAGGAGAAGAAATAGGGTCAAGTTGAATCGAATTAGAAATCTAATTCAAGGAGTTTGAAGACCAAAATGAAATCGTTGCCAAATAAAGAGTAATTCATGAACGATGTGCCTTAATTAGAGGAAGAATAGCCTTAACAACACTAAATAACATTCTATAAGGGGGATTTTGAGAATCAAAATTTTCCTCAATTAGATCAGTCAACAGTTTTCAATAATAATGCTCAAAGCTAGTTAAAAGAGCAAGGGATAGGCTCATCTCTGGATGCTAACGTAGAAATTCATGACGATCAAGCTATGGACGTGAATGGATGCAGAAACAAATTGAGAAACAATAGGCTGTTTTAGATGGAAGAACATGATCCTATAATAGTAGCCATTTTGGATGATTTGGAATCTAAAACATCTATTCATCATCCATCCAGTGCTTAGGCTAAGCTATATCTTGGCTCTTAAATTATGATAAAGAATCGAATTATAGCTGGCTTTTGGAGCAAGTTGGGACCGTATAAAGTAACAAATTTTCACTTCAAACCATTTGAACTTCATGAGGATTAGATTTATTATGGGGAGTGGTTTTAATAAAAAAGAAATGGTTTTGGATTTTTGATTTGTGATGATTTTATTTATGAAGGATATTGGTTGAATGATGTTTATAACGGTGATGGAAGGATGATTTGCAAAGATGGAAATATTTACATCGGAGAGTTCAGAAATGGCTTATTTAATGGTGATGGTTTCCATCTTAACAATGAATAAATAGTTTATGAAGGTGAATGGGAAAATGGATAAAAAAATGGAATTGGAAAAGAGTAAATGCCTGATGGATCAGTTTTTGTTGGACAGTTTCAAAAAAATTCAAGGAATGGTTAAGGGAAACTATACAATAATAAGGAATAATTTGTGTTTGAAGGTTAATGGATACATGGAAAGGCCTTGGAATAAGGGAGAGTAATTTGGTAGGATGGTAGAATATTTGAAGGGAAGTGGTGCAATGGAATGATGCATGGTCATGGAGTATTTATATGGCCTGGAGGCAAGAAATACATTGGGAATTATGTGAATAATGTAAGGGATGGATATGGAGAATACTATTATCCAGATGGAAAGATTTATAAGGGAATGTGGAAAAAGGGATTAATGCATGGATAGGGAATCATAATCTATCCAAATAACTCTCATGAGAAGGGGTAGTGGAAACAAGGAAAGAGAGTTGTAAGTTAAGAAAAGAAAGATAACGAAAAGTCTAAAAAAAAATAAGAAAATAAGGCTCTCTTGCCACTTTGATAATATTTTGATATTACTTATTTTTAGAGTTATTGTAATAATAAATAAACCTAAAGTTATCTTATTCAATTATAAATCATTCTTTAAGTGCACAAATAAGTGCTGTTCCTCTTAATGTCCAATAATCAGGAGGTTAATCTAAAGTTGGTAAATCCTAAAATTATATATATTTATAATTAATTACCACAGCCAAAACGTAATTTGTACTTTGTCCTGTAGTGGATAACACACCAGCTCTAGTTTATGTTTTGTAAACAGGACAACTAATTAATTAATCACAATTAATACCTATAATTATCAGATCTCGATTAATATTTGTCCTATTGTAAAGGTAAGAAGTGGATCACTGGCATCAACATACTCATTTGACCCTAAATATAAATAATAATATATTACAAAATTAAGATCAGCCAGACATTTCTTCTTCCATTGAGCCCCTTCTAAGAACAGCCCATAAATAAATACACCATCAACTGGTTTGATTGAACATTGTTCCTTCTCAAATTCCTACACTTTAAATGAGAAAACAAGGTTGTCAATAGCTATGGCTGTCTTACGAGCATGAGTTTATAAAACACCAGTTAAAAATCCTTAAGGATAAAAGAACCCTGATATCCAGAAACAATTAGGTCCTCCTGTAACAAGCCATTCCGACATGAACTTCACTCTTTCTTTCAAGTCTCTAATCCATGATGCCAAACCCTTCAACGACAAATATCCGACTTTATTCCAAACCTTTGGAACTTCATTGTTCATTAGTGAATAATACATGCTATCCAATTCTTGACTCATTACCACTATACCTTCAATAGCTTAAGCCAATCCTTACAATGTTCTGCCCATAGTTGAGAGTAAAATGTTAAAACGCTCTAATTCTTACAATAGAACTGTAGACAAGGAGGGAATTAGATTTTTCTCTGGATTAATTTACCATAATTCTTTATTAGATTCTTCTTTGTTTAAGAGAGGAGGGAGATCATCTTAAATACTCTTGACAAGTTCTAATACTATTTAATCAGGTGTTTTTTCTGATGATCCTCCGCCTTCTCTTGGCTATATAGACAAGATAGTTTCTAGGATTGAGTCGCTTTCTCTTTATTGGAATGTAATATTGGCATTTTCATGCATACCAAAAACTGCAGGATCATCAGTCATGGGTAAAGATTCAACATATTTAATATACTCTTCAACTACATTTTTCTCAGGTATTCTGTATATGTTATTTTCACAAAAGACATAGTTATCATCCAAGACCTCATTGCATATGAATTTCCTCAAAATGGTCATCAAACATCTTCTATCCCAATCATCAGTTACTCTACCTCCATAGTTGATATTACCACTGACATACAACATGGCATCCCAAGGTACAGTGTCATTTTCGCCTAAAAGCATCTTAATGACTGTCTTTGAAGTATCAAGATCACTATCATTAAATTCATATTTGATATTCCATCCCAAAGGACCGAATTTCTTTCTTTCTTAAATAATGGCATGGAAATAGCACAATCCCATAACCAATTTATGATAGATCTCTGGTTTAGCAGCAGTATCCAAGAATTCATTAGAAATATCTTAAAGAGATCTCTTCAGATTTGCCTTCAAACCTCGAGGTGGTTCTGTTGTTAATTTAATTCCATTTTGAAGTATACTTACAGGGAAATATGAAGCAGGCATTGAAGTTAAGAACAACCTATAACTAGGGTTTACTGTTTATTTCTTGGCTGTAATATCATCCACCAATTTTTCTAAATCTGGCATAAATGTCCTTGCCAAATGACAATTTTATAATAACACCCAACCTCCCGTTGTGGTAGCATCATTAATTTGTTTGGTTGCAATCTTTCCTTAACCTTGACCCAAAGAGATAATAGCTAAGTTTTCTTCAAAGTTTCTTTCCTTTGCGAATTTTAATATCTGTGATGTTGGATCTGCTCCTTAGGATAGTACAAATATAATAGGAGTTGTAACATCAGAGTCATTATATAATATTTCCATAGTTGTGTTTGGAGATTCCAAATAAAATCTACCAATGTTTTATTCAACGTAACTTGAGAGTGCAAATAATATTTTTTCACTTCTAAATATCTTAATAATCATCATTTTTTCAAATTCATCCAATTTACTTTGATAAGGTTCTTCTAATTTCACAACCAAAG